TGCCGTTCTTGACCGTAGTCTTGGCGTGTTTGGTCGGTGCACCGTGAATCCGTGATGCCGTTCCCGAGAGAGAGATAGTCTGGTCACCAGGGTTAGGTTTGGGGTTTGTTGGTTTCTCTATGTTTTGGGGACGCTCAAGAATCATTGGTTGGTTCACAAGTGCAAAAGGACCAAAAGTAATAGAATAGAATAATATGATTCATTTCACAGAGATTGCAACGTAGAAATTTAATGAAATAATTTTTTGTACAGATGCCCCAGAAATGTAAGTTCTAAAAGTACATACAATGACAAAGGAAATGACCCCCAAAAAAAGAGAATAACAAAGGGATAATGCGTAATAAAAGTTATCGGCTACGTAGTAAGTAACCAGTTATAGAAATACAGTCAATGTATCATGCAAGTCCACCACATTCATCACACCCCCCCCCACTTAATACCCTGAGGGAGATGCGACACCAGCAGAAGAAGCAGCAGCTGTGGTGGTAGGCGCAACGACGGCGGTGGTGCTAGATGTTGCGGTGCACTGGGTTGGCATGTCCATGTCAGATGGCTTCAAGGCCGAGACCGCTGTGCACCACTTTGCGGTCCTGTCCTCGGTGATATCGCCTGCATCGATGCACAACTCGATGTAGTTCTTGAAACCCTCGTAACCATCGGTAATGAGTCCTTCATAATGCTCGCGTTTGCATTGCTTGACCAAATACCATGGTGCAGCTTTGAATGTGAGGCTGGAAAAAGACATATTAGCATGGATATCCTAAAGCAGAATGGGGGCTAGAGACATACTTTACGGGAAGAACAAGTGCACGGATGGAGTTCATGGTGTCATTGCTGAAGGTAGCGGTCTCGGCTTCGGTGACCTCTGCAGCAGGCTTTCCAATGATAGTGCTCATCTCCTCATCAAGCCCACACCAGAGAGCGAATTTGTAGACCCATTTGAACATCAACATCGCCTTGGCTATTCAGTTTGTTAGCAAAAAAAATCCTACGCTTGCCGGGGAAAAAAGGTATACAAACTTCCTTGTCCAGGCCTTCCAGGGAAATGATTGATATTGTAGACAAAGTCGCCAGACTCAAACGCGATGAGCGATGCTAGCGCCGCCTTTGGACCCAGCGACCAAACTTTGTATGCCTTGAAGGCATTGTTAAGTTGCTCCGTTGCAACAGTGGCGTCTGTGCATTCATCAGGGAATGAAGCTTTGGTGCAATCCGCAGAGTTAGGAGCGATTGCGAGCACCTGCGCTTCGGTCAGGGCGCCGATCTTGGTGTTGGTTGAGAAGATCGTCGCCGTGACGCTGTTGACGGCGACCAAAGATACTAGGGAAGCGAACAAGACATTAGAGCTGGAGAAATACATTGCTGCTGTTGTGTGCGAGTATGTGTTGGGAAGCTGTAGTAGATACTGTGTTTTGACTGGTTGATGGGTTGAGTGTCGGTGCAGATGTTGGAGGGAAGTTGTAGTTTATGTAGTTTTTTGTAACTGTGTGAGAAGGAGGACCCTTGCGAAGCATCTGCTATGTACTTGTTATATAGCCACAGCATCTACAGCTTGAATGCGGTTGCCAACCCCCCGCCCCTCAAGTCCCCTGCCTACTAGGCCGAAACTGCACCCACAAAGGCACTATTCTATGTGACAGGCATACACCTACACACTTCTTTCCTCTAAACATGGATCCTTACTCACTAGCTACCTAATTGAATTGACACCCCACTCGACGCTGTGGGTTGTGGTGGTTGGCGGCGGTGGCTCTGTCAGCTAGAATAAACTGTTGTGAGTTAGCTGCGGGAGGGATCGATTGGACGAGAGTGCTTCTCGCGACCAGCTGGCACAAAACGTATGTACCCCTGAGAAAGGAAAAAAAAGATTAAACGCATGATGATGATACCTAAAGGAAGTTGTTGTTGTCAGTCAATACCCGTCTAATTTCTTTTCTTTTCTCACTTCGCCTACACAGCCGTTTTCCCTTCCTATTTTCTCACTGTGATGTCTCTTACTCCCTCTTTTGGAGTATATTCTAAGAACTGTCGAAAAACAGTAACGTTGGTGGCTAGTGCTTAGTTTCGATCGTGGCGCTGTCTAGCTTTCCACTTTGGGGCTGCAGGATAAATTTCTCTCTGCCAAGCCACCCACGATCTACCCCTCTCAGGGCTGAAGGAAAAGCGCTCAGGGTATATAAATAAAGTTACCCGATATTTTATTGGTTTTCGGTAAGGCGCGTGGGTTTGTAAGGGTCTTGCTTGTTTGTGCCTTTACATACAGATCATAGAGTGGATTAAATGGGGTAGGCGACGCAGCTGGGGAGGGGGGCGGTGTGCCACGCCCACCCACCCCAACTTGGCAATTTGAGAGTGAAAAATTCAGGAACAAGATACAATGCGGGTTTCACATATGGGGGACTGTTACAGGCAGGCGGCTCAAAGAAACAAGTTTCTGTCGATGCTACTGGTCGAGGCCCGTTTATCCTCAACCCTAACCTTTGGTAATAATCTGCGTAGCTGAAACGCTCGGCTCCGTTTGTCAAATTGCCAGGACCGCGGATCACAGAAGATCACTCGGTTGTTTTTATTGGGCTAGCTCACATGCTTGCCAAGGAGGAAGCCATCACAGAAATAAATGTGCAAAATACGGTTAGAAGGGTCAAGCAGGGTAATACCGAAAACGGATGTGCGTAGTACTAATGTGTAGCAAGCATGTCACCGCCCTACATGTGTATATTTGCGCGGTCAGCATCTTTATGACCGCTTTTCTTATGGGTGCCAGGAATTGTGACGGGTGAATAATTTGTTTTCATATCGATTGACAGTACATAGGATCCTTAGGCGAGACAAAGTCTCCTTTTGAACTAGATCTTACTGTGCATGAGCCGTTCTGACTAGAACCGAACGCGGAATGCATTATTCCTAGCAATTACCAATTTGACTTAGCCTCAAGTCCAGTTTAGACTCGTGCCGCAGAAAACCAGGACGATCAGGAATCTAAGATTTGTAAATGGATGTCCAGGCGAGCGAACCTACATCTTCAGAGAAAGAGACATCACAGATACTCGTGGGAGAGAAACTTGATGTCTCAAGACCACGTCTTTTCGGCCACGCTAAAAAGAAATTACCATCGAAGCTAAAATTCCGGGATATGCTAATGAGTCATGCACGCACTATCAATGTTTGCTCAAATAGCAATTTCCAAAGTTGTTCTAACAGCAACATGGCGCAGCGGAAGCGCGCCGGGCTCATAACCCGGAGGTCCCCCGATCGAAACGGGGTGTTGCTATCAAGTTCGAATCGCCTCCAGGCAGTTCATTTTTTTTATTTCTCATTGACATCTCCTTCTCTTACGAAAGGAAGACATATCTCCATTTCTATGTGTAACCCTGGAACCATGGGCTCGGGGAATTCACTGTAACGCGCGCTTCTTAGTTAGGCCCATTCTCTGGCGCCGCCCAGCCGGCAATCAATCACAATTTATCACCCGATCTTAAAAGTTGATGTCGTAGATTTAGGCTTAAACTAAATATTTGTCGCGCTTATCTAGAAATTTTACAGGCTCAATTGCCGTGCCCAAGCCGATTCGACATCACAAAAGAAAACTCACTCGCTGCAAGTCGTTCGTATCGGACGGATAAGACACTTGACTTAGTCTGTGGAGTAAGCCACGTGCATACAGCCACGTACAAGGCTCTGGGATTAAGTGAGTGAACGGATCCACACCAGTCAACACCCCATTTAGTTCACTCACTTAATGCCAGAGCCTTGTACGTAAAGAATAGCTTAAATTGTTCGACCACAGACCACAGTCGGGAGAGCGTTCATCACAAAATCGGCCATAGCTCACTGTGCTCTCCATCCCGTCTGACAGCCTTTTTTTCTTTTCTGCACGTCGTGACTTAAGCTTCCCACATACATAGATGCGTCTGCAACAGGCTTAGCTTAGGATATATCCACAGTGATATAGACTAGAGCATCGTGGCTGTAGTGGCTCTATATATAGCCCCCAGAGCCTGGTACCTACTCGAGAGCACTCAGCAGGCCCTGTACCTAAAGTTAGACCCTCTTTGCTGACAAAGCCTTATGTGGCCAGCACTCTCTCTCTGTCACGAGACCTCGACTGCTGCAAGAGGAAATGCAATTATGATAAATAAGTGTCGAAACGGTTTCATGATGAGCCTACATCCGAAACCCTTCCAAAAAAGCTTGATTTCCACGCGCGCGGCCTTATTGGATAGGGCAGCCTATATTTCTACCCCTCTCGGAGTCGCAATCAGGGGTACATATATTGTAGGCAGCAGCGATCAGGGGGGCGTGTGGCCAGTTAATTCTTCTTCTCGGGTCGTTATGATGGCGAAGAAATCTGCCACGCGCTTTCACACTACCAGCTTGTATGTACCTACTTTATTTTACCCGTCCGTTCCGGTCAAAGGTTTGTCCGTTTAGCTGTCTTTTCGGTGTTTCAAGAAGCGCCACGAAATCTCTTGAAATCCATGTGAATATAGAAGCAATTATGCATTTAAGGTTAGGGTTACCACAACGACCGGCGTTGTTTCCGGGGCAACGGTTTATCCTTTCCCGCTATATACCAAGACATGGCAAACATAGACGTCATACATCCAAGATGTGTAGGTATTTCGCAGCAAATTAAAGTGTAAAGCAAGCCCAAGTGGAATCGAGCCATGCTGCCGCCCCGCTACTAACTACTATTGTGTGTCGGTTGTGGATGCAGGTAATGATCCATTACACGGTTATTAGACAGGTATGAGGTCACCTGTAGTGGTATCAAAAATCATCTAAGACGGCCTTCGGAAATGTTTCACAGCCAGCGAGATATGAAATCCGCAGAGATTGATTTATAAACTGAGCATGTGTGGACAGAGAAGGATTTGATATTTATATAGCTCCCCGTGGGAATTAGAATGCGTCCTCACATCTTCAAACTCACAGTAGTTCGTCCAACAGTTGTGCCAAAAAACTTTACTTTGATCCATACCCATATCTTTAAAAACGCAATGGCTTCTTATACATCCTTAGACCCCTCAGCTTACCCCAATACCGGGCTCCTCGCATCGAAGCTCTTCGACGTCAGCGGCTTTAAAGCTGTCGTGACGGGTGGTGGAACGGGTATTGGGTTGATGATAACCCAGGCGCTGGTAGCCAACGGAGCGACAGTTTATATTTCCGGGCGTCGTAAGGAAGCATTGGATACGGTTGTAGAGAAGTATTCAGGCAAGGGTGGTCCACATGCTGGAAAGATTATTGCGTATGTTGTTCCTAGCGTAATTAGGATGAATATGAAGAAACTGATAGTGGTTAATATTTAGGGCGCCAGCGGATATTACGGATAAGGAAGATATCAAACGCCTTGCCCTCGAGATCAAGGAGAAGGAGCCAAACGGTATTCATCTCCTTGTTAACAATGCCGGCGTTGCAAAGGAGAAGGAAACCACTTCATATAAGACTGGAGAGCCAGACTTCTCCAATGCCGACTCCATCACCGAGCATCTGTGGAAAGCAACCCCGGAGTCATGGGCAGGTTAGTACTACCGCCCGATTTCTCTTCCAGGTGATCTTGAAATAACACAATTATTATATAGAAACCTTCGAGACAAATCTGACGGCCCAATTCTTCTGCTCGGTTGCATTCCTACCACTCTTGTCAAAAGGAACTGCAAACACATTAGGTTACTCAGCATCCATCATCAACATCACCTCCATCTCCGGTGTTCTTAAAGGAAGCAGCTCGGGACAGTTCGCATATGCCACTTCTAAAGCCGGTACCTAATCTCTTCCATCGGCATGGCGACGTCCAAGTGTTGACATTTATACAGGATTTATCCACCTGACACGGATGCTGGGAACCACATTCGCCGAGTGCAAGGTTCGTGTCAACTCCATCGCACCCGGCATCTTCCCAAGTGAGATGACAGCCGACAGCTCGGACGAGAATCAAAAGTCGGAGCTTAAGGGCATGGGAAAAAGTCTTCCTGCTAGTAAGTAAACCCCGGGTATTAGTATGTATTTCGAGTGATTGTTAATGATCCTTTTGTAGAGCGCACTGGAGGTGATGCTGATATGGTTGCTGCGGTATTATATCTTGCTGGCCCTGGAGGTGTCTTCCTTAACGGACAAGTGTTATATCCCGATGGAGGTATGTTACTTCATACTGTGTCCCCAGGATATCAAATACTAATTGCTGTTGTAGGAAACATCTTGACAAGCCCTTCATCAACTTAAATCCCCATGGGTGTTAGCATTTGCGTCTAATTTTAATTGTGATTAACGAATCCATGTACTTTTACTTGACGAAATTCAATTCTATGTTTGTTCAAAATAAAAAATCCGCTTAGTGGGGTATAAAATGAAGATAAAACCAACAACGCCTAAACATGCCAGAAATTTCGTTTCTTCGAGATGCGAAGAAGAACCAAATAACGGCCGCCCCCCCCCCCAAAAGTCGGCTCTCTAACGCCTAAAAAAACAACCAAAAACCAAAAAATAGCCCCACAAAACGTGCTACTGCCGTAAAAGAAGATCTGCCCACCTTTCAAATATCGTCTTCTCCTTCCCCCATTTTTGTTCCTCTATTCACTCCCCATCCGTTCCTCAGCACACTCTCAATCTCCTCCATCCTAAGACCTCTCGTCTCAGGATAAATCCTATAAACCGCCAGAAACCCGCCCCCACACACAAGTGCATAAACGACAAACAGCCCCTCAGCTCCGCCCCACATCCATTCTACAGCAGGAAGGAAAGTTGCCCCAACGACAAAGTTGAGCACCCAATTTGTAGCTGTAGCCATACCAGTTCCGAGCCCTCTGACACGCATAGGGAAGAACTCGGATTGTACGACCCACGGGATAGCACCGACACCGATTGCATAAGCTGCCACATACGTCATCATAAATATAATAAGTAGTGGGGTCCATATGGAAGGTGAAGGTTCTGAAGCAGTGGTGGTCAGAATTGGCAGATGGTGGAAAGCTATCGCACACAATAATAGCCCCACTATCATACCCGGGATCGACCAAAGTAAGATCCTTCTCCTCCCGATACGGTCAATCAATGTGAAGGCCAACGCAGTAAACACCAGATTTGTTCCAGCAACGACCATAGCAGTAGCGGTAGGGTTCTTGAACCCCACTAGGGAAAATATAGTGGCAGAGTAGTACATGAGAGAATTGAACCCGCAGGCCTGTTGAAGGCCTTGGAGCAAGCAACTTATTGCCAGAGCACGCCGATTGGCCCCAACTGCAAAGATCGCTCTGAGCTTGGCCATGAAGGGATCTTTTGACACAGTCTCAACACCCTGTTCGATACCACCGAGGACTTTCTCAACTGACGTTTCAGAGAGGTCGCCATAGACCTTCCGTACAACTCTTGCAGCTTCATCGCGACGAGAGTGCTGCACTAGCCACCGCGGCGTCTCTGGCATGAAAAACATAAACACGAACTGGAAGCATGCAGGGACACCACCGAGTCCAAGTATAAACCTCCAGCTAAGGTCTTGAGAGAGCGTTGGAGGGGAAAGGATGAGACCAACAGCATAAGCAATCAGCTGCCCGAACGTGATAAACAAAACATTAATAACGACCAGGCGACCTCGGTGGGATGGAGGGGATAGCTCGGAGATGTATCTGTTTTCGTTAGCAAATATCGAACAAGAGCCCGGCCATACATCGCAAACGGGGGGGCGATGGGTGCTCATGTAGGAAGATTTCCATCCGGTTTCACTCACAGCGGCACAATCAGACTTCCAACACCAACACCCAAGCCCACCACAGCCCGACCTATCACCATGCTGCCCACACTCCCGGCGAGAGCCTGCCATAGGGCACCAAGAATGAACAGAACATCTGCAACCCAGATGACCCCTCTCCGCCCAATGCGATCTGCCAGCAATCCAGCAAACAAGCCACCTACTAATGCACCGAGTGATGTGGAGGACGTTATCAGGGACTTATCCCACGTTGTTACAGGCTTCTCCGGCGTGGAGAGCGACGGGCCAAGGTGCAGTAGTGCAGCCGATATGGAAGCTGTATCATCTGCAGGACGTCAGTCTTGTCAGTTGCAGCGTCGTAGTCGAGATAGGGAGCCTTTGTATACTCACAGCCGAACAGCAGACCACTTATACCAGCTGTCAAGGTGAGGAGCCATATCCAGCCTGTCATAGCCCCATCTTCGGGACTGTCCACGTTTTCCGTGGGATCGGAAAGGACATCTGGATTCGCTATCAAAGGCTGGGTACTGAGTGACTGTGGGTCATCGTCGGTATCGAGGCGAGAATATTGAGACATCTTCAAGTGTGGAGCTATGGGGAAGCTATCGCATCCAGTTAGGTTCCCAGGACGGATATCCGATACGCTCTGTTTCGTTGCAGAGATTGGTTTAAGATCCGGTGGCTCCTTAGAGGAAGTAGATATAATGTAAAGTGATGAGAACGATTAGCACCTTTGTGAGCAGGAATGCTCCCAGGCGAGCGCACAGGATCCGGCGATGTTTTACATGGTGTTTCTCGGACCAAGGGGCTCCGCGGGGTTAGGGCTGTTGTCCAGGGTTAGGGTTATTCTGACCAATAGACGACCTCCTGGCCTAGCTACTCGGACACCACCCTCACTCCAGAAGTCACTTGAAACATTGATCTTCTCTTTTCTACACTAACTATCCGAGTGAGGGAGGTGTCCGGGTGGCCAGGGAAACAGTCTATATTATTATGATGGTCTGCTGATCTGCTAACCTTCACATGACGTTTTTTCCGCGCCTGGGCGTGATCACGTACGAATAGTAGAATTTGCATTCAATCCTTATAAAGAGACGGATCCCATTAAAGATAGTCCCAAAATATCCATATAATAAACATAGTAAACGGCAATGACCTTGCCAGTGGTAAAGAAGGAAAGATAGAAAAAAACGCCAGTAGAATCATTACCCCGCCCATTTTTACCATCCCCATCCATTTCGTACCCCATCCATTATCAATCATTACAGGTTTATCCGTAAATATATGCCAATCCATTGTAAGTTTCAATAATTCGCAATTGTCGTAAATGCTCGTGTGTCGTTAAGTGAACTTAAACTTAGGGTTCTTAAAACTAAACCCATTTTCAAGATCATCCATAGGACCGCTCTTTTCTCGAAGTCTAGGTGTAGGAATAGGTGGCAATTTATTCCAAAGCGTCATAAACATAGATTCACACCACGTACCAACGTCCTGGAAAGTCTGGCCTGTGAGTAATCTCGGAGTAGGTCTCGGAAGCTGGGACATCGGGAACGGGAAAACATACGCTGGAATATTTGAACATAGCCCATCCGGCGAGGACCATTACAAATAGTGAGAAACTCAAAACCACATACCACCACCACTTAACCGGACCAGTTTCCAATATATCCAAGTTCATACCAAACAAACTCTTAATTCAACTATTAGCTTTTATCTCCCAATAAGTGTTGCGGAGTATGATGCTTACAGCTACGAAAAGCAATGGTAGAAAAATAAACGTGATCCAGGTGAGGCGTTTCATGCTCTGAGCAGTTGTGGTGGATATACGTGCTTCGAAAATGGAAACCAAGTTAAATTCCTGTTACGAATTAGCCAAACCACATGACAATACTTCATAAAGGTGAGTTCTCACGAGTTCGATCATGTCCTTCGTCCTTTTCTCCAACTTCTTTATATTTTCTCTGCAGTCCTTCTTCATAGCATCTATCAATTCATCCAAATGTTTCGTCTCGTGATATATTGTATCCTTTTTCTCTTTGGGATCTTTCCCCTTTCTGTCCTTCTTCCTTTTCTTCTTCTTCTTCTTTTTCTCATGCTCGGGACAGTCGGAAGAAAAGATTGATGACGTTTCGCTCTGTGTACCGTCCCCAAGGGATTCCTCTGTTAATGTTGCTTTGTCTTCGAAGTGGTTGACTTCATCATAAAGCAGTCGCTTCTCGCGGAAATCTTTCACCAAAGCTTTGGCTTCTCTCACGTGCTGCTTATACAATGTTCTGAAATCCGACCATAGTTGCGCATCTCTTAAAAACGTTCGTATAAGACTTGTGGTTTTTCCTTCTTTAAGCAAGAGGTTTTTCCGCTGGGTGGTGGAAATTAGAATAAGTTTACAACACCAGTATATCGCTAAGGTATTTGATACATACGCTTTGTTTGAGGTGTTCCTCGGCTTTATGAAAGATATCCAGCCACTTTTGATGTAGATCTTCGATGAACAGAGTAAAGAAATCAACTCCATGCCTTGGCACACAGCCATACTCCAAAGTACTCCTGTAGTTCATGGAGCGGAATATCTGCTGGTCCCCAGATCCAGCCTTTCGCATGATCCATGAGATCTGTGTTTTCTGGATCTCAGTATGGAAGCACGATTCCTGTGGGGTTTCATCAGGTTCAAGTTGTGCCACTTCTGGAGGGATGTGAACGACAAAGTCAAATGCAACATAGCAGACCAATAGCGCTTTGAATTTTGATCAGCCATAAGATCACGACACTTGAGGTGGATGAGATAGAAACACACCTTTAGTATGGGCAGTTGTTGCGATATTTCCAATGTTTGGGATCCCAAGACCATAGTTCCGTGTAGGGCCGTGTAAGTCTTTCCTTGGGTTCACCAGCGCCCATATCCATTGCACATCAGCACCGCTGATTTCTGGGCGAACATTACCATGTAAAGCCAAATATTTCGACATGAAGTTCCAGGGATCAACGAGTCTTTTGCACCTTAGATCATCCCATTTGAGCCCATTTGCATTACTATTATAAAGTAGTTAGTATAGTTCTTTTCAATTATTTGTTGCCTGTAGTTTACTTACTAGAATTGTTTCAATGGTAGCAAATCCTCTGTCTCGATCCCAATTTTCGCATTGTCGATGTCAACCTTCTTGATATCGTTCGCACCGGACGTACCCTCGCTTATCATAATGATGTCGGTGTCACCTGCGTTCAATACTGCTTGCCAACTCTTTACACGCGATTCCCGAATATTATCACCCCTGCCAAGCATCACCTTCACCAAGTCCTCATACTTCTTCTCCAGCGCCAAATGCAATGGCCTCCGAGTTCTATTATCTTCAATCTCCATATCAGCGCCTGCGTCTAGCAGACTGATAAGAAGTTCCTTGCACCCATTCTCAGCAGCATAATGCAGCGGTGTCATTCCATCGTAATCCGCATGGTCGATAAATGCACCTAGTTTCACCAGCTCCTGCAACGTCTCACTACTCATCTTCAATGAGAACAGGCACGTTCTTCCCATAGAGTTTCTAGTGTTTATATTCACACCAGCGTCCAGCAGCATCCTCACAATCCTCAGTTGCCCAGCATTTACAGCAGCCTCCAGTGCTTCCGCTCCATACGATTCCGTTTTCGCCGCTCCCGTAGAAATCTCTGCTTCCAGGATGAGCCTTACAATTTCTTCATAGCCCCCTCCCGCTGCAGCCTGCAGTGCCGTTTTTCCGGAAAATTCTGATGTTGGAGCATCCGTGTCTGCACCGGCGTCGATCAATATTTTCACGATTCTCTCATGGCCGGCCTCTGCCGCAGCCTGTAGCGCAGTCCTCCCGGAAGAGTTTGCCGGCGGTGCATTTATATTCGCCCCCTTTCTTAAAAGCAGAGAAACTACACTTTCTCTTCCCTCCCCCGCAGCAGCCTGCAGCGCAGTTCTTCCAGAAAACTCGCAAGGTGGGGCATCGATGTTTGCATCAAATTCCAGTAAGATCTTGACAATGTTTTCATGCCCTGCCCCAGCTGCAGCCTGCAACGCTGTTCTACCATGGAAACTCGATGGATATGCATTGACGTACGCCTCCGCCCTGAGAAGCATCAGTACCACTTCGTCATGCCCGCCCTCCGCTGCAGCTTGTAAAGCTGTTCTCCCGGACGATTTGGATGGTGGGGCATCAACGTTTGCGCCGCAACTTAGCAGGATTTCGACTACATCCATGTGACCGCTTCCCGCTGCTGTCTGTAGGGCAGTTCTACCAAAATCTCCAGTTGGGAGAGCATCGATTTTCGCCCCAGCGCTTATAAGCCTTTTCACAATCCCACCATATCCCCTCTCCGCCGCAGCCTGCAACGCCGTCCTCCCAGAGTACTCAGCAGCAGGTGTAACCAAAGATGCCCCAGCATTCAACAGTAGCACCACCATGCCCTCATGGCCGTTCTCCGCCGCCGCCTGCAAAGCGGTCTTCCCGGATATTTCCGCGGCGTTGACATTTGTTCCTGACTCGAGGAGTTTCTTGACCAAACTCTCGTCACCGTCTCGAGCTGCATTTATCAGAGTCTCACGGGCCGCATCTGCTATGAATCTTCCGCTACCGTCCACAACCTCGGAAATATCTGAGACTGAAACTGTGAGGCTGTGTCGCTTGGGAGTTTCTGGGGGAGGGTGGAGCGAGGACAGGGCGTTCGCCCTCATGATGGGTGCTCCTGGAAACGACATTGCCGGTACACCTGCTCCTCCTGCTGATGGTTGTGGGTACGATGACATTTCCTACGGGGGGGTGGGATAAGGGGGGTGTACGTACTCTCTTGCTCGAGGGTACGCACGCTTTTACGGAATGGACAGCTAGATTCGAAGCCGTTCCGACTATCGGGGGGTGGCTGGGAGTCCTCCAAACTGTCTATACTCTAGACAGTATAACAATAATGATTCTGGGTACTGCGGTAGGTATGTGGGTGGTGATGCCGATTACTCAACTCCAACCTATCAGGTCTTAGGTGCCAGCTAGCTGAGCCGTCGTCCGTTAACCTCGTGGGATTAAAAAGGGTGCAGTTCTTCTTCCTGTTCTGCTTCTTCTTCTGGAAAACTGGTACAGATCAGAGAGAGATACACATACCCGTCGAGTTATTTTCCCAGCTGACGGTCCGTTGTTGGGAGAAAGAATCGGTCTGGTCCTGGAGAGCAGGATCTTTTCTTCTTTTCTTTTCTCCTATGTCTTAGCCTTCCAGGCTAGACGGGCGTCCTTTGCTATTAAGGAATTGGAAATTGAGGATTAGATTGAGGTCCTCAGTCTTTACTTTCCTCTCCCTCTCACCAGTGCGTCTTGCTTGTACCACTGAACCAGCCATACAAGGCTGAAATCGCCTCATAGAGTAAGGTAACGGAGCACGAGCACGGCATTGGGTCCAGTTGTCTTAAAGAGCAAAGAGCCGGGGGGGGGTGAAAAACGTATCCACTCGGCTCATCAGCCACCCACCAACCCAACCAGAGACGGCCACAACAATTTTTCATGACAGAACAATGGGATGCACCCACCGATCCCACATTTTGGACCAATTTTCCTCCCCACCCCGGCCGGCGGGGACGGGTTGGTTGCTGCTTCGCTGTCAGTTGAAATTTGTCTCAGCTGCAGGGACCACTCCTATTAGAGGGTACACCGTGCGCATTTCAACTTTAGAGCTAGGATCAGTGATGGCTCTCTACATAAGCCTCCTCCGGGGTGGTTGGGGTCTTGGTATGGATTACTAGAACGAGTATGGTATGCGAGTGCGAAAAAACCGAAAGAACAAAGGTCGGAAAGAATGATTCGACAGAACTTCGATGTTTTTTCAGCACATCTGCTCCATAAACCGGGTAAATTGCCCGCGATAGAGATCGGGTATGTAATGTATGCAGCACATAAAATGCCCACCTACTGCAGGTGTAGATAGAGTGACTCTCTCCCTTTATCAAGGGATGATATGACGTCTAGAAGACTGCCTATCTCTCCGTCTGCGGGGATGAAGGTTGCGGGGACCCTTGAAAGGTAGAGTACTCTAGAGCAGACTGAGCTGAAAGACACATGGATCCAGCAAAGGAAAAGCAAAGTCAAGGTTAACTGCCCACCACTCCAACAGCAGCGATGTTTCCGATTGTTAAACACATGCATGAGAAGGAACATATGTGTTTTCCCTGAGGAGACCGAATTAAAATCTTTGCTAAGTAAGCGTGCACGTCCTATGGGTGAGTTCGTAGGAGAGCCAATAGACAGTGCACCACAGGAGTATCTGTGCATGTGGGGTACTCTATCCAGAGTATGAAATGGTTGTGTATGATAGCTCACGTGCCGCGCGTAAGACGAGGAGATTAGGTCTCATATGGATGATAGATAATCGAAGTCGATTTTACAAAAGCCAGGTCTTCATGACCAGCCAATAATTATCGACGGGTGTAGTTGTCCATTCGAGCCCCAAGGTGCAGGGCAACTACATGTGCAAAGAAGCCCTGATAGGCATGTAGTCAGGTTACACTTTCTACTCGTGTCGGTGTGACATCCGAAACGATTAACTGTAGCTGAGTAATCGACCTCCTCCACAACCTCTCACTCGTTGGGCCCAAGCATTTGTCAGCCAGTGACAACAGCCAGCGAGCCATGCCTGCCTGTTTATCCTTTCCAATACCAGTACTTACAATAACCCAGTCGAAAGGTATCCAGCACAACTGGATCGTCCAACCTCATTGATTGAACCCAGAGATTTCTAGGAGATCCCATCCATGGTTGATCAATTGAGTCCACTGTATATATATATAAGAACAATCCCTTTGGTTCCCGAGGTGGATAATATCGAATGCCGCAAAGCACGACCCCAATATGCAATGTTTATCGTCTCGAGAGTAGCATCCATCGGTAGTGCCTATACCAAGGGTTTAGTTACGACGGGAGTCAATCCTATGCATAGTGACATCGTCCTCGACGACGACTACATGTAGCAACTAAGGGTTGGCTTGGTGTTACCACCGCAAAGACTGATTGATGACCTAGCTATAGTTAGATATAAGTACGTTTTAAACTGGCACCGTTTCAGACCTCAAGACTGGGAAATGGGCCATTGACATACAAATTTGGTTTTGATTAGACAATGATGGATCCATAACTGAAGTCCCCAACGAAACTACCTGTTATATTGTATGATCATATCAGCAGCAAAAGCAAGAAAAAGAAGTGGCCTGGAGCGGAATGCAAGAACGGGAAAGTAGGATGTGAATGCTGATGGTGAAGAGGGCCCTAACCAACCCCCTCCCCCCCCCCCCCTTTTCCCCTCCCCCACAATCATTTTCAAGTTACTTTTACCCCGCAGTTTTAACAGATGGCGTTACTAGAGCCCAGCAACAGCTTTGATTATGTCCTCAAATATCGGGACTATTTCGTCCCGGGAAGCAATCTCGGTCCAGAGCGCGAAGTCTACACACCTCTAATTGATACCGAAATATATCCAACTCTAAAATAATCAAAGAAAAAAACCTTCCGTTATCATGCAGAATGAACACATATGCGCAGCACCGTGGCCAAACCAAAAACCGGTACAAACTCTAAACTACCTATGGGGAGTAGAGATCTAAAGACGTAAAATTACAAATGCCCCACCTTTTGAACACCAAAAAAAAACAATCAGAATCTATGTAAAGTATATATATACAGACCTCATAATCACAACCGCCCCCGCGGGCCAAGATATGCCCCTCGCCGTATGGTGAAACCTCTCTCCGTTATTACTGCCGTTCGCGGCGCTGGCTCGCGCTCGGGCAGAGACCAATCTTCTAGGACCTCCCGTGGTTTTTCGGGGGGCTCGTCTGGCTTCTTGAAGGGCTGCCGGTGCAAAATCTCATAATCACTCAAGGGGTCTCTACTTAGAGACCGACGGAAGACTGGCCGCACCAGCTGGTTCTTCTCCCGCTGCTGTTTCTTCTGTTCATCTCTCTGCTGCTCCGGGTCGCACGTTGTACTTACCGGGCCCAGATATCCCTTCCCGGGAACATAGATCTGTCGAACTGTTTTATCTTGAGATATCCGGGCGCGATTTGGCACATCGTCTCGATACGCCCTGTCCTCCGCCATTTCCGTCCGATCTTTCGACATCCTATTTCCGCTCACACATTAGCCCAAACCTTTATCTCAGGAGCTGTGGATAACAAACCAATCAGTCCCCATCTCCAAGTGCGCTAGCTCTACCGCCACTTGTGCTGCTACTCGAGCATTGTGCATCAGCATCACCTTCTCCGCTGCTACCGTTCTGTCTCTATTATTAAATTGCCGGATTGTAGACACTATTTTCTCGACCACCTCCTTGTCCTTCTTACTGTGTTTCTTGCGTTCCTTGAAGTATTTATGAACACTCTTCTCGACTATTTCGAGGTTCAATTGGTTTTCGTACGGGATGGGATTGCACAGGAGCTGTCCCGTTTCGAGTCCCCATTGGTGACTTGTATCTATCACCCACTCATTAGCTGAGACTAGGATAAACTGAAGGGTATATGCTCACAGATCATCCTCGCGGCATCTTTTGCGTCCTTCAGCACCAACGGACTCTGAAGCACTCCCTCAGTACTATAATGTGCTGGGAGCTTGACCTCCATCGCCCCCCCTCCAAACGTAGCTACTGGCACACCCTTCGTTTCCAGGTACTCTATCGTCCCTTCCGCATCCATATAAACCTTTGGCCCCGAACATACCACTGCCACGTTCCTCCGGCCGAGCTCGTTAATATCAGCGGAGATGTCCATCAGTGTTGTCGCCGATCTATGGACACCCCCGATCGCGCCGGTTGCGAGGACCTTGATACCAATCATCGATGCAATCGTCAATGCCGCAGACACCGTAAGACCACCGCTACGTCGACCTGGCTGCAGTCCGCAAATCCTACAGTTAGCCCGCCACCGAAGAAACCGGAACGAAGCAACCATACCATCCCAAGCACATACGGCAACTCCCTCTGCGAGACCTTCATCGTAGCTCTACGCGCTATATCGTAATAGAGAGCTGGGTCCTCAACACCAACATGCACCCTCCCAGCCAACACCATCATCGTTGCCGGTATCGCGCCCATCTTCCTGATCTCCCGCTCCACCTTGGTCGCATATTCTGTGTTGTGTGGCTCTGGCAAGGCTAAAGAAGAAGAGAAAAAAACCTACTTGTCAGCACTCAATTCCCCGCGCAGACAAGAAAGGGCAAACCAACTAACCCCCCACCTCACCCGGGCAAGTGATGTTCGCCGACTCGAGTGCTACGACGGGCGCCCCACGCTGCAGCGCAGTTTGGATTTCGGGGGAGATCGTGATGAACTGGAAGGACTGTGGCAAGGATGAGAGCTTGTGCACGCTGCGGCGGTGATGGTGCGGGCATGATCTGAGTGTTGGTGGTAAGAGCACATGTCGCGTTACTGTCGTGAGAAGTTTGGTTGACGACATTTTCTGGGTGTATGAGGACCCTGTTTAATTTCCTATGGGTGGATTTTGGTGGGGTGAAACTTCTAGGGGAGGGCAGGGTAACAATGCATGCTAGTGGGGTGGATTAGGGCTTGGGGCATGGTGGGAAATGTGGATTTGAGTATACCTATTCCGTAGATGGAATGAATGCTTGTACAGAAAGATGCCCCCATTGTTGAGATGTTTCTTAATTATCGAAAAATTGATGGTATGAGCATCTCCGGGCTGTCAACGTAAGCCGAGTCCTAAGGATTCAATCCGAGTACGTCGATCGACTACCACATGCACAACGATTAATCCAACCCAACAAAGATTTCTTCAATTGATCAAGCGTTTCACTAATCTCCAACCAATTACTTATCGGCGGAGATTGGCCAGAAGGACTTTCAGTAGAGAAACCGGATCACTAAGCCCGAGACTTTCTTTTTGGCGGAGATTATTATGATACATGTACAGTGGGGTTTAATAGTTGCAACAAGTCTAAGTCGGAGGAGGCTGTTCAACTTCAAATCCAACCTTAGCTACTCTAGATCATCCGCATAGATATAAGCTAAATATAAACACAGGGAACATGTCCAGTAGATCTCGTCGTAAAATTTAAGCTTGACTCGTCTATCTTTCCTGCATGCACGTGCGCATTACTAGATCAGCAGTTCGGACAAGAGTAGTAAGAACCAATGATAATCTGTCAGGCAAGGGGGAGAGCCTAGTACTCCTGTTTTCCCCTCTCTCCTCTAAATACATGTAGTAGTGCATCAAAACCGTTCCTGTGTAGAGCAAAACGTTCTTCAGATCTAGATATTAGTAAGACTGCGCTTCTGAAATTGGGATCAGTTCTTGAATTTCAACTCAGTGCATAGTAATGTAATCTTCTAAAGCTCAATTATGATTATTAGAGATTCGTCTTCGTCCTGCTCAGTGGATATATCATCGCCAGCCAACAATTAAAGACTAAAAAGGAAAGAGAAAAAAAGAAGTTGGTTCACCGTATATACAAAATGGAAAGATGATTCTGTGTGAAGAAAAAGGTATTGCAGCCAACCAAGGAGGTTAATTGGAATACTTTGAGAGGTCCTACCCGGAGTCGAACCGGGATTACAAGAATCAGAATCTTGGGTGCTAACCATTACACTATAGAACCTTGTGTGACCGAGTCAATTTGACATCTATGAAGAATTTTCAAATTCTACATGTAATTGGTTAGTTCCATTTGCTAGTGGTGGTTAGCTTGGCCTTGGCATGGCTACAATTGTCGCTGTTCAGGACAGCGACAAGCAATTACAAGTCGGGGGCCTATCAAATAACAATACCTGAGTTAGGCAAACAGTTCTCGGCTGAGTTACGTACACACGTCCTAGCAGTTGTGAAATAAATTTTGTGAGATATCTACAGGTCAATGATAGAGGTTACGCAATCCCCAGAGTCAAAGAAATTAAAACCAACGCCGCACGCGTCATGAGCAGAGGCTAGAGTGTTTCTACATGGCCCATTCTCGCTACTGGTACCATTTTTTCTCTATCATCTCTTAAGATCATCTTTTATCATGGATACTAACTATATGTTGTAACACCACCCGTCAAGATTCAATTACCCAAATAACCAGTTATGTAGCTGTCCGGTCCCCGCTGCAGAATTGATTAAATTTCAATCTATTTGCCAGGCCAGACTAGACCAGATGGGACTACATGCGCGTGTAATCTAGAAGCCTACTCAAAGTACCTAGCTCGCCTGATTAACCTGGGAATATTTAAGATTGGACAATTTACGTGTCGTGGGATGACCTGGGCTGTCTTTTTTTGCCAAATGCTTCTTTCCCCATGCCCAGAGAATTAGAGCGCCGGAACCTGATACGGGACTGATACACCCCCACAATTCAGAAGTATCTTCGCCATCCCTTCCTTCCTGCCTGCGAGCTCTCGGGCCGTTTCAAAAAAAGCTTACCATGGCATCCCTCTCGGCCCTTGAAAGAAAGGAGATAAGATTATATGCATCACCGACTCCTTTACAGGATAGATACAACCATCCTGGGGCCTGGAGGATAAGATAGCTACATCACGTCCACAACCCTGACCCTCCAGCCACCTCCGTATTGTATCCCTTGAATTCGATTCTTTTCCTTTATAATTGTAGGTATAAGTATCTACCCATCTCCCTAGTATCCTGTATCTAATCCATGACCTCTCGCGCATCAGAAAAATAAAATGGGGAGGTACAATTAGGAGTACACGTCTTGAAATGCTAGTATCTGCTTTACATCGCAAATGCCTGTACGGATCCTTGATATTGTGAGTGCATAAAAAAAAAAGCTACGTTGAACTTTCTTATACACATAACCCTACCCTTATTATGTGCATCCATATCATTACCACGTGTTTTATGCAACCAAAAAGCTAAGGTTGCCTGCAAGCCTATCGACGTCAGCAATAAACGACGCCAGGGACGACCCATCACGACGCGGAATGAAAGGAGATGAGGAACTTGCATATCCCATGGTAACAAGCTGTCCCCCACTGAATTCCTCTATTTGTTTCCCGGGTTGAAGGTGTACGTCGGTAAACAAAATAACATTGCCATTGCCATTGCAAACAAACTACTTATATTCCATACCTGGCCATGGCCATGGCCATGCCGATACCGATACCCCATACCCATACCATCCACAACACAATTCCTCTCCGTGCACGTGTCAAAATATCATACCAGTGGATGGATCGGGAAGGCAGCATAATTTAAAAATAAGGGTGATGAAACGCGCGGCTCTTTACGCAAAACACCTTCCCCACAAATCAGGTCAATCACAACGCGGAAGTGAGCAGTCTTTTTTTCGTATGTGCAAATGAGTGAGTGATAATGCCTCTATTTTGTGCGTAATAACGCACTGACACTGATTTTGATATATATGATGTGTAAAAACAATAAGAACAGGGACCCCAAAAAAAACCAGACCAGCACCAATAGGGCGATGCAAATACAGGAAACAAACAAAAAATAAAGTACAAATAATACAATGTTCTTTCTTCGTCCTCAAACAAGCCCCCAATGAATACAGTAGGTAACGTGATACCGTGTTTTGAAGGGTATGAAATCTATAACTCGATTTGAATGAGGGAGAGAAGAAAAATAGAAGAGGAATAAATACTACAAATAGAGTACAACCTATGTCGTTCGGTCCGAACAGTAATACTTACAAAAGCTAGGTCATAAACCCAAGACAACCATCAGATCAAAACAATAAATTCCGCAAACTAACACCACCACCCAAGCTCATCGAGAACAGAGGTATCATAAGACACTAAAAATTTGAGTAAGATGACAAGGAAACCGGTCTATCCAAAATTCTTTTATATTTAGGCGAATGGGGCACGCTCGTGCTTCAATGCCCTCCTGGTGGCCTGCTTCTTGGAGCAGTCGAAAGCGCCACCCCATGGGCAAGAGCCAGAGGAAGTGTAGTCGTAGCAAGAGATGGATCCGTCGGTCTGAGACTTGTACCAGCATGGTGGGCAGGCAGTTCCGGTGCAAGGCTTGTCAGACATTCCTCCAAGGTATCCAGTGGCGGTAGAGCAGGCAGCAGCTTCGGCATCTTCGTCTTCGTCAACGTAGCTGGAATCATCGGAGTTGTCGTAGGTTGGTCCTAGAATGAGATGTTAGTACATTGAATAAGATAAATTGGAGTATATGGGCAGAACTTACCAACGAAGTCAGAGTCGACGATCTCAATATCGAAGCAGGTGGACCAAGAGTTAGCCCATCTGCCGTCATAACCGGTCTTCTCGTTAAGAGCACCGAAGCCAGAATCCCAGGCCCAAACCCAGACCATAGAGTGTCTTCCGGCCTCAATGTCCTTCGGGAGTGTCAAATCGAAGTAGTTGGCCTTCTCGTTCATGGTGTTTCCAGTGATGAGAGTAACGGCATCAGCGCTGAAGTTGGCCTGAGCACCCGGGAGCCAGTTGGCCTCAGTGAGGTCGGACTTGTATTTGAGCTCGGTTTCCTTCTGACCAGCCCAATAGACACGGACGAGACCGGGGTCACGGTGGTTGGGGGAACCGATGTCCCAGCGTGAGTGACCGTTACCCCAGTGACGCATGCGAAGAGTCTGGCCAGGCACAGCGGTGGTCATAGGGTACTCTGAAGGGTATGTTGCTGAGTCCTGGCTCCCGGGACGGCAAGCAAGGCCCTCGGTGTTGCTGGCGTTGTTCAAGTTCCATGCGTAGAATGAAGACTCCTTGATCCAGTCGTAATCGTAGATCTTGTTACGCGGGAAACCATTGCAAGTTCTCACTCTACAGAGAATAGAATATCGTCAGTAAGGTATTCATCATTCCAAGAAATTGCTTGTGAAAAAAAGAAAGAAAGAAATTGTTATTATGTAAGGGGTAGATGAATACTTACGGGTCAAGGTTGGGGTTGGCAATGCACTCGTCGTAGTTGGTGACATTGGTGTCAACACAGGCGAGCCATGAGTGAGCGGCGGCGGATCCAGCCATGAGCGCGGAGGCGAAAAGAGAGGTTGCTTGGAACTTCATGTTGATGATTGTTTAATTATTGTGCTGGTTCGAATTAATTGACTAATTGAGGATGTTAAAAGCTGCAAAAGAGTGTGCAGAAATCAATTCTCAAGAGAGTGTGAGTAACGACGAAAAGAATGAATGTCAAACACAAGTGAGTGAGTGAATGTGTTGGTGGGAGAAGGATGAGAGTGAGATCTGTAGGGAAGGAAGTCCCTTGGTTCTTGTAGTCAGAAAGGTTGAGGAGGGAGAAGGGGAAAAGAGAGGAAAGGGACTAGGGCAATGGGAGATATGCCGAGAAAGCGTGTGTGTGTATGGAAAGGGGAGGGATGTGATGGGTGGGAAAAGAGAGGACGGTGCGGCAATCCCAGTCTCGGGTTCCTTGGATATGCAACTGCAGCATCCTTCCCACTCCAGGCTGCTAATGATGCACAGGGCCTGGCAGTCTGGGAGCTTTCTGCAGTTCTGCTGTGACTTGCTTGCTGCCTTCACAGTCCCTATTTTCTGCCCCTCTCCCATAATGGTTACCAAATGCTGTACCTTTGTGCTTTGTGCCCTGGCGGTGCTTTGATAGGCATCCACCCTCGTTCCCCCCCCCCCCCCTCCCCTCCTTGACCCCAGTAGGTTGTCAATCCCTGAATACGGACGTTTCAGCCATTCATTGGGTTATTTCCATTTCAGGGGAGGCTCTATCTGGATGCAAATGTTTCCTCCGATTGTCGCCCACTCACAGCATGCGCTTAACCTGCGTTTCCTATTAACGGTTTGTTCGTAGTCAATGGATCCCATTCCCCTTTAGGAATCCTTCTTTCTCAACTCTATACCTCATTTCACTTCCCCACCCACTATTTTCTCGTCCTCCTCCGCTCAAGATTCAAGAGAAGCGTCACGTCTCTCTAATCTCGTTTCATATCAACCCTTATACCCGCCGTTACGGGTGATCCGGCACTCGGTTGCTGCCTCGACCACTAAGCTAGAGCATGATGTAGCTTTTTTAATTCTGTCTGCCCTGTGCGAACAGCCTGTCTCCTCATCTCTCAGCTGTCACGACGGTTTATAACATTAGCGTATAATTGGTCAATGGGGGTCTCCGTTAATACCATCTATCGTAATTTACATAGCATCATCGTCTGCAGCCCAGTCAGGCAATCAGATAGCCTGCTGTAGATGTTTAGCTGTTGTTGTGGGGGGACCCCATCACATGCGGCTGTCGAGTGTACCTGAGTGGCACAGTGGCACAGTGGCACAGTCGGGGATTTGATTTTCTTCCTTCTCTTTTCTCTCCTCAGCCAAAAGCCTCGCCGTTCCTGCATCTCGGTTGCTCCCTGCCCCTGTTGCGTTCGTTGCCCCTGAACCTTACCACTCTCTGTCAACTGGTTGACTTTTGGGTGGCAACCTATTCGGTACGCTAGACCGTTGCTGGCCTGTTTCCATCTCTCAACTCTGTTCGGTTGTCCCGTCTCTCGCTCTCTCCGTCGCACTCACTTTCTCTCTCTATGTACTGCGGACCTTTCCCATACCCATGAATCTATGTGACCACCATACTCTACTCTACATGCATGCTCTACATACACGAACAAGCCAAAACAAAGCACACGGCTCGGCTCTTTTGTGAATACAGCTATGCAAATACATACATGGACCTTATGTATGCTGTGTGCTTTTCTGCAATCCTGTAACAGCATATTTTAATTTTTTTTTTTTCTCCATCAGTATACTTATTTGATGTTTTGTTTGATCTCGGACCGGATTCGACGGTTACGGCCTTGACTGCTGCTTCCCAGCAGTCGCTTCTCCGGAAAAAAAATGGAATTTTGATTCATCCTGTTTGTGTTTGATTTTGTTCTCTATATCCATTGGCTGCTGCTCGTTTATTGCCGTTGGTGATCTTTAAAAACAAGGCGAGATTTCGTACCTGACTTGGACTGCTCCGTGCTGGCTGGATGGCTTGTCTGGTCTCGATCTACGGACAGGCACGTTACAAGATCCAAGTGCAAATGGCGGGCTTGGCCACCGCAGCCTCCTTCTTCTCTGCCTGGTGAATGGGCGAATGAATAGAAAGAAAGTCAAAAAGCAAAGAGAGAGAGAAAATCACCCTTGGCACAATCTCTTCAAAATAGAGCTTGTTAACTTCTAGAGGGTTCGTCCAACCGTCGAGAATTCCATCCCATCTCACGTCCCCAGCCTTTCTATCCTTTCCTAGACTAAATCATATTATTCCTAGCTAGTCCAAATCAACTTCACCCCCAGACTTTCAACTTCCCTCACTCAGCCCGAGTCAGCCGGCAATCCACTCCCGTCACCCTGGATTATTAACCCCCCCGGGTCTTCCCCCCCCCCCCCCACCTATCACCCCCGACAAGGGCGTTTGGTGGGTTGATGAACCTAGGCCAGATGAAATATATTAGCCCAACGTGGCCACGCGTCCGCTCTCCTTCTCGGTTCATAGGGCAGCTTCGTCTTCTTAATCTTTGTCTCTATGGACCATCTCATCTCCCTCCCCCTACCATAGTCAAACTAACGTGATTATCAGCAAAGAAGCTTTTCAAGATCCCACATCAATGTTGAATGAGGAAAGGAAAGAAATCAAAACTAAGACCTCGGATCGATGGCCTTGCGAGTCTTGCTTGTCCTTCCCCTCATTCAATCGGTTAGCCCCTACACATACCTGTAGATATGTAGGTACGCAAGGCAAATCTCCCAGGGAATAATACTATGTGTGCAACTCAATCCGAGTAGCCGTAGGGTGAATTCCTAAATGTTACAAAGTAGCATCTCCATGATCTCTTGCCCAGAGAATTGACCGCAAAACTGGGAAATTGAAATTAATACGGCACCAAGTCTTTTTGTGCACCGATTGATTTGCGTCGCTACCGCTGTGATGGCATTTTCGAAATGGCTTCTTTGAAAAGAAGGCACCCTACTCCATTCTACATGACTAGGTGAATGTGGAGATGATGGGCTGCTAGCTTTCTTGAATTTTACAGTCAAAGATTCTAGCGTCTCGGCGGCATCTCCGATCCTTCTTCATCATTATCATCATATTCTTCTACTTTGGCTCTTGTTCCGACTCTCCTTCTATTGCTCTTCTCCTTCTTGTTCCTGTTCCTTTCTCCGCAGAAATTAAACTGGGGAAATACTCGGATGTAATCAAAAATCACCTTCCTGAGCCGTACACGCATATCGACCAATTCCTAAATCCAAACAAATGACGCCAACTATAACCGACCTCCCTAGAGTACCATAGGCCCATCCCGACTCCAACCACCACCAACCAGCAAAAATAAGATATAGATCGACAACCGTTAAAGATTACCTACCTGAATCTCCCCTCTTCTCTCCCTCCTCTCGCACTTTCCCGTGGTGCAGCTGGCCCATACATAGAACAAAAAAGGGATCGTCGTCCTTCCCGAAATACAAAACATATGCCCCCAAAATGGTGGCGGCTAGAATTGCAAGCAAGTGTGAGTGAAGTGAGGTGTCTTACCGCGCGCGCACGCCCAATGAGGTGTTACGGGGGGGGAGCGTTTCTTTTTCTGGGGGACTCTATGCAGCTGGTAGTTGCCGTGGGGAGAGCGGTGAGTACCACAGCTCTGCATATGGAGAGGAGAGTAGAATTATCGGAGGTGCGAAATGCAGGTCCGCCCGACGGGTGGCAGACGTACACGCGCGCCGACGGGTAGGTTGAAGATGTATTTCAAACAAACGGCCGACATACATATTCCATGTATTCGCACCAGGGTCCCGTGAAATATTCACGAGTAAGATACTGGGAGTAAGAAACCTAGTTATAAACCGGTTATAAACTCAGCTCCGGTTGAGAGGGAGTAAGATACTGATGCAAGGTTAGGGTTATTTAAGCAGAAACAATCCAACGAGTGACCGTAAAGAGTGAGGAAGAAAGCACTAGAAGAGGCAGATACAACTAGCCTGACAGTTGAAGAGGCATTCCGCGTTTTTTTTTTTGGCTTACATTATCGGAGTATCATGCAGTTATAAACATCAGTTTCCAACAGCTCGAGTATTTTGCTCTGTTTTAAACACGGTCTCGAGTATCTCACGGGACCCTGATTCGCACTGCGTTCTACCCGTTATACAGTACAATCCAAATATGAAGTACAGCGATTCACAGTCATTTGGCGAATACACCCATTTGGCGAACAGGGATTAAGGCCAATAAGAATCAAGATATCTTAGTCAAACTCGAGGTTTTACTGGTTGCTGGCTGGTTGCTACATACAAATTCGCCAAATGGGTGTATTCGCCAAATGACTGTGAATCGCTGTATCTATATATGGCCCCCAAACAATGAGGTAACTAAGTTACGTAGATAGTAGATACCAGCCAGCCTCCTCACCCACAACCGTCTACCCGTGGTTCAGTCCATTGGTACACGTTGTTACTATGTCCTCACGGCACAATTGGAGAGATCCGATCTTGTTATTTGTTGTATGTGTCTGTTTTTTGTTTTTGGGTTGCGGTACAATCAATAAAAAGGGATGAGACGAGGTGATCTTGTGGAGCTTGTGGTGGTGGTGGCGCCGCCCGACCGCCTGTTATCGCGATAAAGGACGTTTTTGACGGGTGGGTGGGGGTTTCGGTTTGGGACAGGTTGGGGGCGGCGTAGTGGTTACTGAGGAAATAGCATCGTGGGGAAACATTCGTGGAGTTGAGCAATGGCGGTCAATTGCAATTTTGAGGTGTGAGTGCACTGCAGTAGTTTGCGTGAGGCGCTCAGTTACCATGCCCGGGTAGAGCACCCATACGTGGTGCCTAAGTGTAACTGTACCTGATGCCCCTGAGGAATCGAATTGAATTGAACAGGCGAGAGCAGTCGGTACACGTGATATTTCAGAGCAGCAGCAAGCCACACGCACCGTACTCGTATCCGTATCCTTAGATGGTGTTTAGTTAATAATCCAGCCAGGTATGTTAGGTTCCCGCACAGATATCGAATCGAATCACCTCAGAGCGCACGGCACAGCTCGTCTAACAAACGGCCCGGGTACTACTTCATACCGACCGCGCCTCGAACTCGGCAAAGGCCTCATGCCGACATATGCTCTGATGCCTGGTGCTTGTCCGTGTGTCGGTGGCGATATACAAGTAATCATTTTCGTCTCTGAAGTTCGAAGTAGGAATGGAATGGTAAATCGAGTGATAGGCGATGATCCGCGTCTTCATGCCGGTTTTGGGTGGTTCCGGTATAACGGGGTGGTGGTGCAAGGGGGGTGCGAGTGATTGTGTGTGAATTGGTCGAGGGGATTTTTGGTTTTGGTTGGTTGATTGGTTCTGTGGGAGTATGTAGCTGAAGGTGGTAGGCTCAGCGGCGTGAAGTTGTGATTAACGAGTTGATTGATGAGATTTGATTGACTGATTTACTGATTTACTGGTTTACTGATTGACATTGACTAACCGATCAATTCACCCACCAAGCACGTACAACCTTCCGGTAATGGCATCAAAGTAATAGAGTCCTCTAGCTGTGCGGATACTTTCATGTAATTTCCTCACTCCATATATAAATATTTCCAAGCAAGTTGAATCTCCGGATTACCTACCACAAGTCAAAGAAACAAGTAACACCAGAGCTTAGTGTGGCATTTTTACTATCCCTTTTGGCCCTCAGGCTAGTCTCGTTCCCAGCCTGTGGTGTAATGCTCCAGCACAGAATCAAAAAACACAGGCTGGGCGCGAGACTACCATCAGGCCATTCTCAACTTACAAGTATAACTCAATGTGGCGCTTTCCGCTCCGGGAGGCTCTCAGAGTATTCCTGCCAAAGCATTCTATTGAAATAGATCCATAATTTATGTTGCCGGTTATGGTCTACTTGAGCCTAGTTTTGCTAGACTTATGGGTTGGTCTGACGGCCAAAGGGGTAAGACTATACAACTTTGTGACTCTGATTTGGTCGGAATTGCTGTTTAAAGGATCCAGAACTGTTCCTAGCATCCCCGTAGTGCGGAAAATCGAGTGATAATCCATGAACGGGACAAAACCTCAGATTACATTTATACGTGTAATGCAGCGTCAGAGTATAATCATAGTCGCATTAGAAGATCTCTACAGAGCTGGATTTATGTTGGGTGTGCCCGTTGTGGGTGATTGCATGGGATGTCACTCGTCCGAGTGATTCCACGTAGCCGGATTTCTGGGGTATTTCTGTAGGCCAGAGAGTCGGACGATTTGGAGTGAGTGTCGGTACCCGGGGGAGACAAATGTGTTCAAGACTGCGGAAATCGACTGGAAGCGCAATAAACAGTCAATTATGAAATAAATAACTTGCGGAAGAAATTGACTTTTTATAGCACGACTCTATTCAAAGAAAGAACCTATATTACAAACTAAGAAAAAAGAAAAAGAATGATAAAGATCCTCTAAACTAAATAAATATATACCCAAGCAATCACCTCCCCATCACGCAGTCGCCTCCCAATCCAGCTTCCCCATCAGCACATAACTCTCCCAACTCCGGCCCCTCTCCTCCAGCTTCAACTCGCCTACCTCCCCGCCCGCGCTCGCCCACCCCTGAAACAGCTTCCTCCAATAACACACCTCGCCCGCGGGCGTCAAGTACCAGTCGCGGAACAGCCGCACCGTGTTATTCGCGATGCGCTCCGCCTCGATGGGGTGGTCGAGGTAGTACTGCACCTTCTCCTCGAGGTCGGACCAGTCGGGGGCGACTTCGACGTAGTTTTGGTCGGGCCCTGAGGACTGCAGGAGGAAGGATTGGTATTGGCGCCAGGCGAGGCGCGGGGTGATGATGATACTGCGGCAGTGTTGGAAGTAGCGGAGGCGGCCGGAGTAGGTTACGCCCTGTTTATGAATATTGGTGTTAGTATCATCCACAATATAGCACTCGAGCTCCTAGGTAGGTGGAGGGGGAAGACAAACCTCGGTATAGATCAAGAACTTGTATTTGCAAAACTCCTCAATCTTGAGCGCATTTGTTTTCCAGTCCAGCTCGGCAACATCGCTCCACGGCTTCCCTTTCGCCACCTCCAACAGCTTCCCTCGAAGCTCTCCATTCCAGTGAACTGTCCCCCGCCACACCGCAAGACCCTGCTTGTCCGCCCAACTGAGTGGTCGGTCCACCTCCTCGATCTTTTCCTTCGCCTCGGCGTATGATCCAATGTGCGGTTCCGGCCAAGACCAGAACCCGTAGTCGGGCATGATCCATGTGTCGTGGACCTCGCCATCGTTGCCGCTCCATGCCAGCGACCACGTGCTCGGTGCCGGATGGTCGTTGACGAGGAATTGGAACTCGATGTTGGGGATTTCGGATGGGTTAGGGGCGGTAAGAAGGGAGCGATGAATCTGGTGTAGAATTGCGTATTGGCGCTGTTTGTTCCCCCCCTAATGTCAGCAAAAAAGAAGAAGATTTGGTCGGGTGCTATTTAGCTAGCTCTACTTACGTGCCAGACATCGTCGCCTTTCGCGACAATGTAGAGCTTCCCCTTGTAGATCCTCGCCTTCACGTAACCCTTATCGCCATCGTGGAACGGGATCTCGCCGATATCGCCGCGCGCCTTCGCGACATCAATCTCCGTGAAGAGGCCGGGGAACTTTGCATCGCACTCCTCCGAATTGTAGAAAAGGTTGTCACCGTCCGTGGCCGGGTCAAAGGGGCGCAATGAGGGCTTGATCCAGCCCTTGGGGTCCTCCGGCGGCTGCCCGTAGTTGGGGTGGTTTGGCGTTTGCTGCACTTGGGGGAGCAGTGGGGTGTATTGGGACTTTGTAAAGTGCGAGAGACTGAAGAGGCATATGAGCAGGAGCGAGGCGGCGATGATGTAGAGCAGCCGCGGAGGCAGCGAGGTAAGGAGTGGTGTCTGCATTTTAGGAGACCTGCAGCTGGGTAGGGAGAAAAGGAAGGGAATGTCTAGACCAGTGGGCAGGTGCTTCTAGGTAGGGGGTAGGGGGTACAAATAGGATTTCCTGGAAAAGCTCCTCTCGAGCTTTCTCGCCTCGAGTCGCGTCTTTAGATATCTCGGGACGTTGATTGACTGATTGACGCTCAGGAGGTCCCTTCGTTAATTGTTCTGCACAGGCTGTTTGCGATAAGGTAACTGTGGTAGGTATCCTTGGCCCTTGGCGAGAAATTCGCCGAGAGACTTGCTCTGGTTCATTACTGGATCTGGAACAGCACGGGACCGATCATTGCCTATGCTATGCTGCCATGGTAGGTAATTGGCAATTGCTGCTGGTGGTGAGGATCAGCAGTTGTGAGGGCTGCCATTTGTCGCGAGTATAACCCAAGCCTTTGTGCGAAACGCAGGGTCATTTATATCCATCACCACTGTATTTAGTTAGAGTAGGGTGTGTGAGGATTTGGAAGAGGAGGAATGATTGTTCGTACTTTGATGAATATAGAATATTGCCTGAAGGGTGAGGAGGAAACATGTAGGTAGGACGCGCTTTATGAGATGATAGTGCCAAGAGGAAATGTGTGCTCAGAGAGAGGTACAGATGCAGATGGTAGATGGAGGAGAGCGTCTCCACTCAATAAACTTGACTCGTTCAATCCAGCCGTGCAAACCTCTGATAGGAAACTTCTCTGTACTGTGCCTATTCTCGTGGTTACGAAGAGTCCTCTTTGAAGAGGTTTACTGTGTTTCTTCGACGCAGACAGCATCCTCCACAGACGCATTGGCTAGTCGAAGTGCACGCAACCAACTGATCTCTGCCGTCCTGTCAAAGCTCTCGATCTCTAGAATATTTGAAAAAGAGCCGCACAGCACAGGCCACATCAGGTTAGACACATACCCCAAAAGGCGTCAGGCCAGCCATCAATTATACAACCATCCCACCACCACCACCGCCATCACCCCCACCCTTTCGACTACAGCAACCTCTATTCTACTTGAAACTGGCCGGTCGATCTTTAATATCGAGTTTCGGTCCTTCTGGCCGACGTATCGACACACATCCGTAGCAAAGCTCGTGATTGGACACAGGGTCCAATATAACCTTCTATTCACATGAATAGTAATCTAATGTAATATGATCTGCTCTATTGGACTCTAAGGTAAAGCATTTTGAATCTTTCGTTTTTTCATATACACAAATACATCGTCTCACACACATTCTAGGAGTTCCATGAATAATAAATCTACAATCTAACCAGTCCACTTGGCCGGTCCAGGGATGGTGTAGGTGGTCGCCGTCGATGAGTAGATATCGATCGTGATACTAAGTGAAGGCAGTACTCGTTAGCATTCCGTTCTGTCAATAAAAACCACAGGATGCAAACTCACCCAGGATCACTCGCGGCATAAGCACCCGGGAACGAGGTCAAGTAGGCTCCCGACGGCACCCCCGTTCCACTGCCGGTAACGGTGAGCTGAGCACACTCGGGATAGAACTGAGGAGTGTTTGCTTGGTGGAGCGCAATAAGCTCGTGCTATGATTTCCGTCCCATGCATTAGCCTCAGGTACACCAGGAAAAAGCGGAAGAAGAAGCTGGGCGTGAATAGATATACACATACCCTGATCAAGTAGTTCCCTGGAGCAAGGTTCGCCGGGATGGTGGTGGTCCACTCCAAGGTATCCAGGACCACCCCGAGACCCCAGGACCCGGCATTGACAGTGCCTGACAGGAGACCTGCTTCGTCGATCTTGAACCACTTGAGTCCATCGCCGTCAGAGTCTGCAAAGGTGTCTCCTACTTTGGCCATGTACTATATGTGCACCACACGCATCTCGTCAGCGGATTGAATGCACTGATTGGTGATAACAATCACTCACGACCAAGACAGGGCCTTCAGCGTGGGTCCATTGCGCCCATTTGGCAACAACGGTGCCACCAGCTGCAACAGTAGCAACTAGAGCAGCTGGACCAGTCCCGGGAGTGTTGCCTATGAAACCAACCAAAATGTTAATCACTACTTTTGAAGTCATTTGAGAGGAACATGTGTTACGAACATTTGAGGAAGGCATCAGTGGGCGAGTACAAAGGATCGTAGGAGCTATACTGCCTCTGTATCGTGGACTGTCCAGTGGCTGGGTTGTAGGGCGACCAGCCGGGGTAGCTGGTGCCGTCGATAACGTATGTGGTGACACCGCCGTGGGCGAGGGCCTGCCCGACGAGGAAGGCGGACGTGGAAATGAGCGTGGAGAACTTCATTGTGATGGATGGTGATAGTGATGATGATGGGTGAGGGCGAGTGGTCAGATTATTGGTGAGGTAGATGGTGGGTATTTATACTGATTTTCTTTAGGATTTTTTTTGGTTTTTGATTCTGGCTGGCTGGCTGGCATGGGGGCCCTATGTTCACGGACGTGAGTGAGTGAGTGAGTGAAAAATTAAGATAAAACTTACATATATTACCCAGCTACTGTACTCACCAGACAAAAACCCAGTCTACCATCCAAAACACAATAAAAACCAGGTACGCACCCCCATATAGACGCTATACTACGGAGACTACAACCGGCCTACACGACCTCTCCCCCTAGGAAAAAAACAGAAAAAGGAAAGAGCAAGAGCGAAATAAGCCTTTACCGGAACAGCCGTCAAAATGTTCCGACGGAGCAACCATGGATCACACACCTTTTGGGCAGGGTGCGGTTGATTACCCCACACTCATGCGCCGATCGCTGTCACTTCTGTCACAAATCTCCGCAAAAAGATGGGCTAGTAGGTTAGAATTCCCGTACTCCCGTGATCTTCGCTGGGTAGAGTAGGGTGCTTGAAGACATGCAACGGGGAAGAGGTTGTTGGGCCGGAGATAGAGAGAGAGAGAGAGAGAGAGAGGAGGAGGATTGTTGGAGCTGATCTATCTAGATCTGCACAGCTAGCTCTAGCTGTCGCTTTTGATACCCTTGAGCCATGGACAGCATGTACAGGGAGCTGGAGATTCAGGAGTAAAGACGCGGTATGTACCGCTCAAGCTAGCATCCTGGACGTGAATGGGGGTTTAATTCGGAGCTTAATATCTGGCAGTGACGTAATTACTTTTCTGTGTTACAGAAAGCTCTTTCGAAGTTGCGTGCATGGTTGCGCCATCAGGGCAAAAAGTTTCGTTACTTGGCCATGGCCTGTAGGGGGGGTGTTGGGCGCCGAGTGAGAAGTTATGAACATAGCTGGAAGGGACTAGTTTGCGATATCCTGAGGAGCACATGGTCATGGCCAGGGAAACAACGAAGGCTGACCACCCTTTTTTTCGCCCTTTCTTCCTCTAGGAGAAGGTTAGACTGCCGGCAATATTTCCCGCAACTCCTCAGGCACGGGTAGGTACCTACGGATATTAGAAGCACTCGTCGTACTCCTTGCAAGTGAGTATAAGCATTTTAATCTCGACAGCATCCAGATCTACAGAAACAAGGCGAAACTCATTAGCAAAAAAGACAAGTCTCGATCCTGAAGCTACTTACATGTAATTATGTACTAACCCTCGAATTCACTCTTCCTCTATCAGGTGATTGGGATAGGTATGTAGTTACTTTCTAACTATCTCTACCGGAATGCGGCAAACACTTGGAAACCTTCTCCCCGGGGTCATTTGATCTGGTTCTGGATATCAAGCTTTCATTAAAGATATGTTTTTTTTTAACGGGAGGACATTCTAGCTTTGTTTTGTAAAAGGACAAAGCCATTCGGCTCGTTCCTCGATTTTACTTTTCGACCGAATCATTGGTAGTGCTTTGCACCGCCATAACTACTGTCAAACACTCTTCTAAATTTCAATACTATCAAACTAATTCTCTGATTGATGGGTTAGGCGAAAACAAAAACAAAAAACTAATTCTCTGATCTCCACCCAGCATCGACCATACTTACCGCATTGATTCAAAAGCTTTACTTACGCCTTCTTGTTATCCTCCTCGCATGCATCAAAACATGGATCTGCAACTGAAATCGAGTACCAGTTCATAATACAAGTAACCACTGCTATCCTGACCAACTGGAAAAAACACGGATTCATCGTCATGGTCTCTTGAAAGACCCCCCACCCACCGAGTCCTTTATTCTCGTCGGCCCCCAGGAAAGCATACGTCTCCTCCACAAGCAGTGCATCAGGGACCTCTGGAGCAAACCCCGTAGAACCCTGAATTATAATCCGCCTCATCTCCCCAGTCACAGCAGCAATCCTCTCCCCCCTATCATTCAAGAACACAGTAGCCCGCGCCACAGCACCCCCACCCACCTGTGGACGCTCCATCACGGGCACGGGACCATGCTCCACACCACCCCCCAATTGCAAACTATCCATAACGACCTCCAGAACGTCCCTCTCCTGTCTATCAGTGCTGTTCTTATACTCCCGCACCAGCACCTCACGCTCATGCAGCTGCTTCGCAAACTCCATGATCTTCAACATCGCCACGAACCGCATCGTCTGCGTCCGCGAGGTAAACACCCGGATCACCTCCGAAAACCGCGTATGCAGCAACTCCCCCGCGCCGGCGCCCCGCATTTGATCAGCCAATCGATCGCGAGTGGTGGTTCTGGCCCGGCGCTGCTGCTGCTGCTGGGAGATAAAGTTGCGGACGATGTAGGCTACTGCGGACCGGAAAGCGGCTGCTGGGCCGGGGGCGGTTTGGTCAATCATTTTGGTGGAAGGATTGTGATTTGATGTGGTTGAGTAGTAGTGTGGTAAGTTTGTTTTTGTGGTAATAGTTGCTTTGATAGCTAGCTGTACTGTGTGATGGGGTTTGGTTTGGTGTGCTGGACGAGGGCATTTATATGATCTGGCTGGGGTTGGTTCTTGAAATTTGGAATTTTCAAGTGGTGAATTTGGTCTGCCACTTGAAGCAATTTAGTAAGAGATATAAATTTCTCTTCTCGAATTCATATTTCAAGACCGAGCCCGGGCCCTCCATACTGATTTGCCATTGGAATGAAGAGCCACTGAGGACTCATATTAGCTGGACCGAACTAGTGAAAATTGAGGGGAGAAAACTCATACATTATCCCACCTAATGTTCGATAAGAGAGCAGACGTCAAGTATATTATTTATATTCGTGCAAAAAAGACTGTTCGCCCTTGAAAAGGTGATGGAAATGATATACGGTACGAGCAAGTCAAAATAAGTCAAAAGGTCCTGCCCGGAGTCGAACCGGGATTACAAGAATCAGAATCTTGGGTGCTAACCATTACACTACAGAACCATGACATCATTAGCATCTTATGTAATAATAAAGAAAATTTTATAAGCATTAAGCGAGTATTAGCATAGGGAACGGGACGTAGAATGGAATATGGATCCCGTGTTCCGCGTCATGGACAGTCACTCGTTTCGCGGCTAACCGGTAAATTGATAAGCGTAGTCGTGGGTTTTCTGGCCATGCTTGGGTCCGCGCGGGTAGCAAGGAACTTGTTGGAGTGTCACTAAAGCCGGAAGCAAGTAACAATAACATTGACAAGCAATTATATGTAATTAACAAATGCGAATATCTTTTCTTACTTACTACATGTACCGACCGCAACGGCGCTGCGGCCGGAGGCAATTAATAGAAATCGATAAGTGTAAGAGTGATGACTGTCTGGGGACGGCACGTACTAAAAGGAATTGTCAATCATTCCATACTACACCACAGTCAAGTACATGTAGTTATGACTTAGCAGATGTTGTGGGATGACATGATATGATCCGAACATAAATATATTTGTGTGAGGTAAGTTGGTGTATTTGCTGCCCTTGATTAAAATATATATAAAAGACTACAATACCATGGCTTTTTGTTATATATATCCAGGATGCTATAAATGGCAACCAGCACATGTACTAAAAATATAAAATCAAACTAACCTAAACTAACCTGAAATAACTGAATGCAACTAATTGCAGACCGTAGTGGCTACGATCTGGAGTTGGGTACTATCGGTGAAAATAACACCGTAGACACTACGGTGTCAGATATAGTGTAAGCGATAGAAGTAGCACTGTAGAGTCTACGGTGAACCGTATAACATAAGAAACAGATAGAGTAATATTGAGTCTACTATCTTCAATACAGGGTAAACAGTGAGAAGAACACCGTAGATTCTACGGTCAACCGTGTAACATTGAAATTTCGAATTAACCGGTTATTGACAACCAACACATGCACCAAAGATTCTAGAATCTCACTATAAATGAAAAAATAACAATAAAAGTAACTCTGAAGTAGATGATTTACATCCATTGAGACAACCTGGAAAACTTTTGGGTTTTGGGCTGGTGTTTTCGGGGTGCATTAGACGGTTTCTATGGTCAGTGGCAACCTTGGTTACAATCTGTAAAGTTGGAGTGAAAATAGCAGAAAGTTAGGGAAAGAACACCCCAAAGCCAATTTTTTTCTTTGACACCTATGGTGGAGGGTATTGCGTCACGTGTGGTGGGTGCCATTATATATCACAGAAGTCCGTAGCATTGCGGCCTTCTACCGTTAAAATAATGAAGTTTAACATTTAAATATTATAACTACAAACTTGTCGGTGGCTGCGTCGTAGAGTATGTTGCGCTGCTTGAGTCTTCGGTTCAAAGGGATTTGAGAAGAAAGCAAAAACCGAAACTCAAAAGCCGTCCAATTCTTTCTCCAAATACCTCTCGCAAAACAAGACATATTATATCCCGGTTTTTTCGATGATGTATGATACTCCTCCCAATTCCCGTCCTCGACAGAAGTACGTATATTTATGGGCCCAGCCGTCAACGATCAAGAACACCAGGGAAAAAGGAGCGTTAAAGAGCTTACTAGTACTACAAACAAAAACAAAACATGATAGTAGAATAATGAAAGTAATATATCGGAGTCCACACGAATCAATTTCTCCTCCGACAACGCAATGCGTTTGTTATTCCATCCCCGTCTGCTGTCTCGGGGATCGCGGTAGAGTTCACGCGCGCCAAGAACGTCTAGCTATCGAGCATACCGCGACACCCGAAGTAGCCTTAACTCTCAAGGGTAAACGCTGCGCCCTAGACATGCTGTGGCCTAGTGTAGCAAAACCAACCGACTAATGTCATGGATGCCGCGCCTACTTCTTCTCAACACAAGCATCGATTTAGGGGCCGGAGATGCGGATAGTAAAAGCTAGGCAGTGAATATTGCGACCGACGAGAAGCGGAATGAATCCATCTATACTCTAGCTAAAGAAGCCAAATGAGAGGAAATAGGTGGATGAACTGGCCTTAGAAATTGCAGCACTTCTTGATCACGGCCAGTAATTACTATCTAAGTTGAAAAAAGGGGTATAAGTATCTTAGGCTTAATCGACTTAGTCGAGTGCACCTGGACCCTAACATGTAGAGCTGTAGATACAATGCGGTGAAATGAATGATCGCATTCGGGCCAGAAGCAACCAAAACATGGCTTTTACCCACAACGCATTAACGCCATAAATGTCTGGTGTTGTAGGAACAGGTAGAGGTATTTATAAGTACCCAGTGTTGTAAATTTGGTACATGCGCGACAGTTATTGAAGGTGCTACGTGGCTTAAGATGAGAAGGGTTCATGATGTTGGTCAAAAACCCATACAAACTTGAGGTTTAGCAAGTCCGCCCACAAAACTCTGTAAAAATTGATGGAACTATTCTTCCTATTGATAAGCCTATATTATACAAGGCCTCATGTTGCCGCCTTCAGAGTTCGTGGAGGAGGAAAGGGTCGAAAATGTTAAATCTGGCACTGATCTCCGACTAGGAGTTATCCACAGATATCATGCATACAAGAGTGTGAAACTCAAAAGCAAAGTACATATGTCTAGATCTATCCGTGATGAGGGGTGATAGAGGAGACTAGGATTTCTTCTTTTGTATGTGCGAAGTCTTTCGTGCGTGCAAAGCCGTGAGCCGGTCGCGATGGATGAATTAGGTGCACGTGTTCCGAAATACCAACACTCTGAGCTCCGAGTAGACTAGAAGGTTAGATCCGAGAGAACCTCGAGTATACTCTGGTCCTAAGGAAAACGAGTGATCCAGGACGAGCTGATAGAAAACTAAAAGATAAAGTAGACGAAGAAGGAGAATGATCCGGTTGTGTCTGAGATGATTGAGGCTTGTTCCCGTAGAAACTGGCCTTGTAGCTTAATGTCAAGTAAATGAATCAACAAGCCGAGAGCCGTCTCCCGAACACTCTCTCCTTGCACCATTATAATTAGAGACTCTAGGTAGACGTATGAGAATCGTGACTCTATATTTCTTGTTGGTAGATTGAATAGGTGGCAAGGAGCACGTGGGGAAAGGAAAGAAAGGAAAATGCGAACCCGCATCCGGGGCGAAGCCAACAAACGAGGTAATTAAACGCAGGGGACGAGCAAAATTTGGCTAACACAAAGCTTTTTAAGCCCCCTCTAGTACTTGGACATGAGACTCACCCTCTATCAAATCGACAAGTAACACCCCACTACCTGTGCGGTATGTACCTAGAGTGGGGGGTTAAACGTGAGACGGGTCTAGATAGGACGAAAGAAAAAAGGAAGGAATGAAGGAAGGTAATCTCATTGTCCGAAATTTGGTGCTCTCGACCCAAGTTCAGATTCAAACCTAGAATTAACTGGCCAGCTGGTAAGGCTGTAATTAGGAATATTATTCTAATTCCGCATATTACTTAAACATTCAAAAACCAATGTAGGAGCGTATGTAATTAATAATAGCTTGTGCTAACTTTATAAAATTGGTGATATATAACAGCTACATTGAACAGTGACAAACTGCTCATCTGGAACCTGAGATATGGCCATCACAAAGAAAAATGTGCTGAGATCTGTACACATCTACATCAATATTGTGATCGAACCAGCACAAGTATGTAATCCTCCACTGCCAAGCGCGGGCGTCATGATCACGGGGCGCTCAGCGCCAACTCCGCATAGTTGCATACTTTACAGCCGCATATCCCTAAGAGCCGATGTGCCTTATTCTAGGATGTAGATAGCGCAAAGCCTTGCATAGATATCGGCTAATAAAGCTGCTCTTTCCTTCTTAACTGGTCCGGAGGGCATTTACATGTGCCCTGGTGCATTTACATATGCGCATGTACTATGAGATACAACACTAATTAATACGTAATATGAGTGATATTTGATGATGCTTATCCTCATAATTATAACGTATAGAATGAGATGCGTGAAAGTGCGTTTTTCGTAAGGAAAACAACTATTCGGTTTGAGAGTACATGTACCTATATGTGTAATATCATAGAGAACATACATGTAGACAATTCTTTTGTGGCCGATCGATCACTCAGCGGTAATCATAAAGTTGTTGGTGTGTTGAGCCTGCAGGGCGAACCACCAAACTAGAAGGCGCTAAGGTAAAAAGAAATTCTCAACTTAGCTCCTATTTATTTAGAGTCCAATTGATTTAGCAAGCCAAAGGCCTTTACGACGATATTGACAATGATTCAGCAGTCCAATTATTATTTTCTGGTCAGCTACCCCGAAGATCTATTATATTAGTAGTAGACAATAAAAGTCAGATCAAAGTGATACCGATCACCTGGTGTCTGGAGTTTGCTATTCGAAGGGTGGGTCGCCATGGTGAGGCGGTTCAGTTGGTCAGGGCGATTGAGGTGCTGTCATCTGGAACAAATAGCCATTGCACTAGGAGAATAGAAGAAGGAATGGTTAAGAGCTCATGGCTGACTATCGACAAGCTTTCAAATGTTATCTTGCCTTTGATTGCGTGCTATATGCTCCTCGCATGCAGACTTCGCCGTCAGTCGCATTGTCGTGCTACGTTTGTGGTTTAAGGCTTTAGAAATGCATGTAGCTATAGGAACTCTGTGGACACTTCCACCCACATAGTGCAGGTAAAGTACATGGCCTTGGTAATATAGCTACATTCGATGTATAATACAAAGTCTTTTACGTTGATCTGAATTGCGGGCCATAATACCCCCCACACATTACTCTAATACCATATGGCTATCCTATATGCATGTACCTACATAAGCTTTAATGCTTATAGGTCATGCGAGACATTATAGGAAGAGAAAAAATATTCACAAGTGAATCCGGAATACCAACTTCCGTCGGATACTTTACAGCACAGACTCTCCTATTTTGACAGGCGGCATGGCACTGCAAATTGTTCGCGCCAAGCCCTAGCAGAATGTTCTTCTCAGATATCATTGGCTGGGATTAGCCGACAGCAACCGCCGAAGTATCCCAAACCGCCCAATGACAAGTCAAAATCCCGCCCATCCAACCTCAACCATCACAAATTCTCTATCTCAATTAGGGCCAGGGGTGTAGTTTTGAGGGGAATAGAGGGGTTAAAAAGATGATATATTTGATCATGGGTCATAAAACTTGATCATGAGGGATGTATGGGCTTTCGATCTAATCATGATAACTCCTTATCGAACAATGGAGTTTGATTCCATTCGCCAATCAGTAGGCTTGAAAGGGGGGGGTATTTGATCAAAAACAAAACCGTTGCATAAATGCCTATTTTGCGCAGCCTCCTAGTCAAAAGTCTCACAAATTCCTAAATATGCATGTGCTTAGGTTATAGACCGCGCTGGGCCATTACCATGCATTTAGTTAACTTTTCGATCCCACAAATCTCAGAACTTGCGGCCAAAGGTTCCTCCCGGTTGTGGGAAGTAGGATAAATATAGAGAAAGTATTTGAAGCAACTAAAATTAGTAGATGTTGTAGAAATATCAAACTTGTTTGACAACTTGACTGTAGTACATGTTCCGAACTTGATTAATTAACCTGTATTCGTTAACTGTCAGTACATGTAGTTGTGAGTGAATGAAAACTAAACCCAAGAATCTCGATAACTGGAAATTCGACAAAATTACGCCTTAAAAGGTTGATTCCTTTGATGACTTACCTTCCACAGTAGATAGGCACCGAAATGGCTATCCAACCAGCGAAGGGCTACCTGATTATAACAGATCTCCTCTTCGTTCTTTCTTGTTTTAATCTACGGTTAAGAGCATCTAGTAGTCTTAACAATCTTTCTATTCGTCAAGCTGCCAGGCAACACATGTATAGTTCTCGTTCAAAAATCATGGGACAACGCAACCGCGAGTTGCTACGGGGGCTTGTCCCAGGATTTTTGACATGGAGTTAGACCGTGTGCACCTGTGTCGAGCATGTACCTGTGCCGAGCACCTTATAATAAAGGCAGCATTTTAGCCACCATTTGGAGCGGATCCCTAGAGATCAGATAAGATGCTCGGCACAGGTACATTCTCGGCACAGGTGCACACGGTCTATACATATCACATATATAGCTAGGTACTCTGGTGTATGCACCATCATCGCCCACACCACGTGCAACCAACGAAGCATAGGCACGATTGTGGCTGAATTGCCTTATGGGATAGAATACCGCATGCCGAGCTCGTGTATGGAGAACCTACTGGGCAGTCACACTTTAGGTTAACACGAATAGGTATCATATCACCGTGCAACACTGTACCCGGTCATCGGAGAGGATGCAAGTAAGCAAGGTTAAGCACCAAGTGCAGCCGCCACCGCCTATAAAGAATGAGATGCTGACGCTTATTGATTGTAAGGTTGAATTGAAATCGGTAGTATGATGAGAAGCGTCTATGTATTATACGTACCTTGTACACACAAATTCTTTGGGCTACGGGATGGAGAACCAGAACTAGGTCGATACCCCAGGAAAGTACGAGGAGGAGGGTAGGCCTTGGACTACTGTTTTTCTTCTTCTTTCGTCTTTCCTTTCCTTACGCTTGTGAAACGTACTAGAAATGAATACATAACTTCGGAAAGTTAGTCTGAAGGAGAATGAAGAAGAGGCAGTGGTGGCCGAGTAAGGAGCGCGTGCCAGGCGTCAAATATTACCGTAATGACAAGAGGAGCAGCCTATCGGTGAAAGCTCCAACTAGGGCTTACCAAGATCTCGTTGGATGGAGTGGTCGGGCTTCTTCTAGAAGCGGCGAAAATTGGGATTCGGTGAGTACCACTGGTGTAGCTAGCCATGTAACCCATATAACTATAGTAAAACCTATAGACTCACTCCATGCTTGATCGTAGAGGCTGTGTTTAGTTATGGGCATTATAATAGAAGGTGAATGTGTTTGGTTGATGGTATTTGTGTGGCTATCTCGATATATTGTTTCGGCGAATCAATCAACGCAGTACGTATTGCCTTGAAGTTAAGGGCGTATGCAGCGGTAAGCAAGTAGGCGCGAGGAATACTACTGACTTAAGGCACCGAATTGATAGCGCTAGTGGGGAGATGCTTCTTTATTAACTGGAGCGTTTGCCGTTGGTGGCAGGATCGAATTCAGTATTGGCCTCTTTGGTTCTATGGTGGACTTTGACGAATCTCTTATTAAGGCCGGTCGAGAGCTATCTATCTTTCCTTCGATTTCACAAAGGTGCAGAAGCGTAAGTAAACAAGATGAAGATCTGGAATTATCTTGGTTTTTCAAACTTACTAACATATCAAAAGCCAGCCGCAGTGCCAAAAGTTTTGTCACCAGCACACACACCAATCCACAAACTGGTATACCTCCTGTGCGGCTTCAGTGTCATTCCATCGGTGATCTATGATGATTGTCGGCCACAGATTTATTCGATAAAAATCGGAAATTTTTGATAAAAGTCCCATGGACCTTTCGTATACGTACCCTTATATCTTTTCCACCACAAGCTAATATATTTAATAGCGCAATAAGGACCAGTCGGCATCTAGACCACGTCTAGAATATTTGTTCAATGCAACCATCGAGTTATTGGGAGATACTTATGGTATCGTAAGATTAAGAAAAGGAATGCAAGCTGGGATTGATGTAGGTTGTTAATTTTCGACATAAAGTTTTATCTTCTGCCTGTGATGTAAGCTGAGGCTAATACGTGTTCTCTGAGGGGTCCCGAGATCTACATACATACGTATACATAAACTTATACGACCAGTTAACGCACAGGCCGGTACTTGCAGATTTCGTATTCTGTCAACTTTGAACTCAGCACATAATCTTTGAAGTACCGATCATTGAGTGAACCGATGGTCCCATGAACGACACCGAACCTCAAACACCCGCATTTTCCTCTTTCAAGTGTAAATACTCCTCGATTTTCAGGGTATGAATGTTTAGTCATTGTGGACTACATCAAGATTTGATTTGTTGCTAACAGTACCGCTCTGGGTATCACTATCACCTCTCTAGATCTAGCCCTGGATTACTGCTGTACGTGTGATCGATCTGTACTATCAACTTATTCCGGGAGTTCTGATTTCCTACCTGGGGACAATTGCCAGGCCTAAAAAGCCGTGAGGATCGATACAGTGTAAGGGATAAGAAGTATATGTAAGTAAGATCATCAATGAGGTGTATATATTCTCTTTTGAGGTTTATGCTTATATAACGTATGCATGCATATGTTGTGGGCTGGTATATATATTTGATTGATGTACCGGGTATACGTACTTTCGGGAACAGCACGTCAGCCTGAACATGTGTTGGGACCTGGAGCCGATCATCCAGAATTATGATTTTGCATACTTGCATTCCGGCAATCCTCGATTTCGCATCTTATCGCATCACCCGATTATGCTAGAGCATATACATATGCATACCTCCTCACTCGTCCGTTTTTTGTTCTGGAACATCTACACTTTGTGATGATGCTTACAGAACATACCAATTGCAAAAAAAGTCATCATTTCTCAAAGCCTCGTCGACTGCCTGAGTCTTGAGTATGATATGAGCACTAACGTCATGGTCGATTACTATATATGAAACATTAACTTAAAGGCCAATGGCTTGTTTCGACTACCAATTGCAAGTTACGCTGAAACACAACATGTATCTATTGCGTGGAAAGGTATTCTCAAACTCGGTGACCCTCATAGCTTAGACAGTTCACTACTAATTAATCGTTTCCAGATCTATGAGGCGTACGTCTCTGAAATCTGTGCTTGTATGAAAGAGTGTAGGTATAGACAGACAGTGTCCTGCTTGCCTAATCGAGGTTCATAATTTTGCCTAACGGTCTCTGGGCCCGAGAGAAGATATCAGATCAGCAGAGCTCTATCTTTATTTCATTCACTCTATTTCCTGGCATATAAACTCTAGGATCCGTGAGATGCGATTTCCGTGGAGCGAGACACCCATATATACCCGATTTTGAGCTGTCAGATGTAACAATGGATGGCTCGCATAATCAAAGTATGCGCTTTAAAACACCGTGGAGAATTTATCGGGAACCTTTAAAGTCGGGTGTTATTCAATCAATCGCGAGGTCTGACCTTGTGTGACATCGCCTGCGGAAATTCCTCTCGCTTGGTCATGTAGATCCTGGACATGTTTGAGATGAAGTGGTTTTCGCTTATCTCTCGTCTATGATTACATACTGTTGTGTAGACCTTGCATTTATGGTCAGCCTTATCCGGAATACCATGAAGCATTAGTATGAAGAATTATTAATACCAACCACAACACCTAACGGGAAAAATCGACGGTCCTCCGAAAAATATCGCGGTATTACTGCAGCATTTCAACCATTTCAACCATTTCCACCGGCCTGGACATTTAAAAAACCAAACTAGGAAGTGAAAGAAGTCCTCAGGCTCTGTAAATGTCTGGCAAACAATCATGTTTAAGGACGAAGATGTTCAAGGAGAGAAAAGAAGTACTCCCATTACGAGTTTTCGAAATTTCATATGCCTGACATTTATTGTTTAATGACGAACAGGATGGCAGCAATATATCCTCTTGAACCCTTGAAAGGATAATACATAGGAATTTCTTGCAAAGGATTACTTGGTATATAAACATTCCTCTTCTGGCCGGCCTTACGAGTATGTAATCATTGCTGATATATAACTAATAATAGGCATCTGCCGCTACTATCTTATCTGATATTACTGTTCGGGAGGATGTCTTGGCAAATGGATCCAATACCGCCAATCTACGAAGCTCCAGATCTATAGCTACAATATTATACCTTCGCGCGGGTGTCGGGTAAGGACCTTTAATTTGCTCCTCGATACTTCCAATCGTTCCCCGCAATCAAGGTACTTCCATCAAACTCGCTAATATAACGTTCCTGCGCCGCACTAGGATCGCGGCTGCCTATCTGTATCAGCCCTTACAACGAGCGAGCGAGCTCGCCATTTCGCCAAAGTAAGGAACGCAAACAAAGAAATACGAAACGAACATTCCGAAGTAACCGCATATTTACCTACACATAAGTATGTTCGTGAAAGTCTTTGCAAGGAACTGTCATGTTTGCATAGACTAATTTCCAGGCAACAATATTAGTGAATCATTGGTTATGTTCAGCTTCCATTCAATTTGGTCAAGTACATAAAACTCATTAACGTCATAGCGATTTGCCACCGAGATATCATCGAACCCGAGAAGTGTATTTTCCTACATGTAGTTGCTAGTGTGAGGCTCTGTTCGCTATCGTCCTGATTGGCTTGCTGTGCCATAAATTTCAGCCAGCGGTAGCAGCTAGCACAAGAATGGCGCTGAGAAACCATGTGAAAGTATGTTCATGTCTCCTTCGGATCATAAAAAACTTACTGGTATTTTTATTTAGGCAGATATCTCAATAGGTTTTGGAGGCTCAGTCAACCAATGACTAACTGCATAATTCCCCCACATGTAGGTACAAACGGTGCACTGGTCCGTCGGCCAAACGGTCGGCTATTTCCTAATCATCTATCGGTGGCGACAATATTTCACACGTTAATCTGCCATGCAGGTACTTGGCTTTAGGTAAATGTTGTTCGACTTTGCTGTGTCTCGTTCTACACGTGGATGTTAACTCGAAATCTTTCTAAGGCAGCAATATTATCTCTTTGGAAGACTGCCTTCCTCGCGTTCTCTCCGATCGTTCACCAGATTCCCGACTCTATCCCTTTAATAATGGGGAAATGGGACTAGCTAGCGAGATCTTCCCCTGATCTGAGCGGCTATTTTTGGCGACCCATATTGTGGGCGCGTATCATATCGTCCACAAACGTTGGCGCCTGCGCGCCACACACCGCCAGGGCAGGATCCGAGTTTGTTAAGCCTCGGGGGAAGGGTAGTAGAGAAAAGATGAGAAGTCTGTGGCTTTGGTAAATTTTTTTGGCTTGAAGTTGTTTGATTGCTTATGTATCCATGGCTAACTACATACAATGTCCATTTTGCGTGGGTTGAACTCGAAACAATAACCACCAAGTACTCAACCCCGCCACAAAATAATCGTCTAATTCTAGATCTGAGCTTATGTTAAGAGACTCAACGCATGAATCCCCTTTGTTAGTTGGAGTGCCCGGTATTATCTATCGCCTCGACAACTACATTTACAGTATTCAACTAGTACTCTATACCAACCCAAATTGTTTTACTCGATGTGTTATTACTAAACGAAAGAAGAGGGGAGGTGCATCATGCCTAGATACCTAAAACGTCTAATCCAGTAGTACTCTCCCAGTTCCATGGTTTAAAACGATCTAGAAGTCTAGCCGGTGAGGTCAAAAGCCAGGAAGGAGGAGGCTTGGCGCACCAATTGTCACTGCCTACGGTGGCGGGGGTCAGATTTCTACTTCAGTGTTTGGACCACTGGGGGACCTAGCAATTATTGAACTATGGTCAGTAACTTATTGGTACCTTTGTATCCTGGAAGTCAATCCTCGGTTATTCTTACACGTTCAAACGGTTTTCAATGCAGTTGAAACATCCAATCCCAACTTTCCTTTCACTCATAATCCCCCGGACATATGTCACCTGAGGTAGCCTCGCACTGGAGATCAAATTTTAGGGATTATTGCCTTGTGAACTCTCGGAGAACCTCTATAACGCACACATGAACCGCAAGCCCAAAAGGGTGCGGCGAGGTTCGAAAAAAAAAAAAAAACGGTTTAGAAGCCTCAGATAGACCATATATCAAAATTTACCTAGCTTCCTGCAAGAATGAACGTCATTAGGGCGAAGCTTGGACACCATGGTTACATGTAATCTTCCGAGATCACGGTACGCTAGATATCTGTCCGAGATCAGTCGAAAACATTTCTGTGACCCTCTATCGAGGTAGAATTTACAACTATGCGGCGGAGGAAATCATTGTGTGCCTTGAGCATTTGATTGAGTATGTTCAAAGTTCGGTCATTCTACTAATGTCGGAAATCGCGTTTAAAGACAGAAGCTTCCCTCCATCTTTCAGTCTCTCTATCCTTCTCATACCCACAGCATCCGATACTTAAACGCGCCTACCGCCCTTCACGCTTCCAACTCCAGCTCTATCATTTTCAAACATCGATTCATTACTACTACTACTACTACTATTACTACTACTCCTACTCAACTTCCACACTCGATTCTCAATCACATCAATCGTTTTCACCATCCCATCAAGATCCTCTTTCAATTAGATCCAAACTCCACCCGAGCCTTTCACCATGTGCCATTTCAAAGTTGTCAAATACAGCGGCTGCGGCTGTGAGCTCAAGCTTGTTATGGCTTGCTGCTCACAGGGAGACGGTGCTGGCAACTGCAGCGGAGCATCAAGATACGAGAGGGTGCTCCAGGCTGGTGTCTGTGGACGTGCGAATTGCAGCTACTACGAGCACCAACGCCCCAGCGGAAGATGGGCTTCAGGGAACTCGAGCACCACCCCAAATATCCATATCAATTTCGACAACTTTGGAGTCCACCCCAAGGGCCCTAGTCCTTCACCCGCTGCTCCCAAGCCTACTCCGGAAATACCAATGCCTACTGCCCCCAAGCCATACTTGTACGATATGAGAGAGTGCCGCAACTATTCTCAGGGTCCTTACACCTCCATTGATGATAATGCGGATTACGACTTTACATTGGATTTTGAGTAAATTCTCAATCTACAGCTTTAGTTCAAGGCCTGGATTGAGTTTGTGCTGTGTTTTATGTGCTCCATTTCGTTACTTTTTGATTTCTACCATTCGTGGATATTGTATTACTATCTCATGTACCACCAGTCCTAATTTGGGTGTTTTGCTTTTCTGTTCTTTTTCTTAGACGTACACTTAGACGGGATTTTATGGGGATTCGCTAGACTGAGTCGAACTGCTTTTGTTTTCTTTTACTTAGATTGTTTGGGGGAGGTTGATTGATGATGTATTTCTATGCAATGCGATATTTATGTCTTGGCACTTTATATGTTTTCTTTTTTCTTATTTTTCTTTTTCTTTTTCTTCCGAATGTGTAACAACAGCTTAGCTCACAGTTATTTTTTTCCTTTCAATTGAATTCTACTGCTTTTAAACCCGAAAAGAGCTTCTTCCTATTGACTCACATTTGTGCATTGCATGATTTTCTAAGATATCAGTACCACCCCGGCTTTAGAAACCGGCCTGGGGCTGAGGGAACGGAAGAGAAGGGATCAATTAAAGGGAGAGGTCAAAAAAGAGTGAGAGAGAGCTAGAGTTAGATCTGACGTTGAAAGAGCCGAAACGGGTTACTAAACCCGGTCGATCGATCGGTCGGTTAGGTTGATTGGGTGGGTCGTTACCACTAGCACTACCCATGATCAACATGCTTCGATATATCATTGGCACCCTTTTTTTTGGTTGCCCTTTTCCCTTTTTCCCTTTTCCCACTGCACACTCACCCCTAGTGACATATGCGGGCATCATCTTCCACCGCCGTATTTTGAGGCGGTGCACGTGCTCAAGCTGATGTGACCGACCGACTGACTGCACTGACCGCACTGGCAGGTTCAGATTGTGGGGGGGGGGGGGGTAATTCACAGAAGGAAAACGCAAAAACAGCTAGCCATATAAAATCGTTTCAAGGGCATAACTTACGCTTAGGGGTGAAAGGGAGAGGGGGGTGCATTGGGTACAAAAGGGCATTGGGAAGGATTACATTACTTAGATGGGGCCTTGCCGTTTGTAGATAGGTTACCATGAAGGATTCGCGAGGTAAGGGTAAGTATGTCCACAGGCAACGTTGTGGCGGGTCCATAGGTAGAATGGAAGGGAAGAAGGGGGGGAGGGACCAACGTTTGTGACGCTGCCGAGGAGTGGAGAGATGGCGCTTGATTTAGATACGCGAAATTAGGGCTGTGTCGCCGATTTGCAGTGGGGACGTTGGGTGGGTGTAGTGGGGTTCAGATCATGGGAGTTGGGATGGGATGGGATGGGATGGGATGGGATGGGATGGGATGAGTGGAGAATGGATGGATGGATGGATGGATGGATGGATGGATGGGTAGGATGTGCAGGGGAAAGGGGGTGAGCCCGCGGATGATGCGTGCTTGCGTGCTGCAGCTGGTGAGGCTCTTTTTCCCCCTGGCTTCCCCTCCTTTGCTTTTTTTGTGCTGACCTCCGGAGAATAATTCCCAACTGAAAAAACACATGTGCGCTTCGTCTACTCCTCCATGTACTCCAACTACATGTACTACTCTACCTACGCCGGTAAGGTAGTACCAGGTTTGTTGACGGATTAGAAAACACAAAAACACAAAACACAAAACCAACATGAGCATCATCATCGGATTGGCTCAGATTCATGCACGGTGCGCAAGTTGGACGCTTTTTCCCATGAGATGGCGCAAAGGCATGAGGATAACCAATCTTCTCTTCGGAGGAGGAAGAGAGCTAGAGAGTGAGTGAGAGATTCTAGATCACCTATGGCCATCATCATCATCATCATCATCCCATCGATCGGCCTTGCTGCGCTGCACCCATATTATCCTCATCCCCCCTCCGGACTCGATTTCTCCACCTCCTTTCCGCCGCTTATTTTAGCGAACGTTTACTTTATGGAGGTCGAGACAAACCGCGCCTGAAACAGCCAGCCAATTGCGCCTGTAGACGAGGACCGGGGTGTTGGGGATGGGAGGGCTGGCTTGGCGGCAACGAGTGATATCAAAAGCACGCTTAGCGGCACGGGTAGGGCAGCATATATCACTTGCTACGTACTAGCTACATACACAGCTATCAACACGCCGGCGCCCGCACCACCGCGAGATCTATGGATTACAACGATCAATGTATCATATCACCGCACCCGGAAGAGGGACCGACCGGCATGGGCTAATACATGTACATACACTGCTGCTACAATCATATCATATCAAGCTAGCTAGCTACTTTACTATGCCTTGCCCTACGGAAATCCTTCCTCGTGTGGTCATGTCATCGCAGTCAGCGACATGTTTGGGCGGCCAGTCATTCATCCGCTCGAGGTTTCAGGCTTGGGACAGTAATGCTTCATCCTTGAAGGGCCGGGTCCATGAATCGAGGCTGGACGGTCTCCGTGGTGGGGTATGGCTACGGTGACGGTGATGGGTGGCGGTGGTGATGTCCATGGCCGCGGTCGGGCGTGACTTACAGGGTCACAGAATTGCGAGGAAGGAAGAATATGCGGGTGCAAGTAATTGTTTTATATTTACTCACACAATCTCGGCATCTCAGTTGTTTCCACTGATTCAAACATTGCGATTGAGATTAGCACTTCTGTAGAGCCGCGTCTGACTGTGAAATATGGCGTAGGTACAGTATAACAGTGCAGACTAGATCAACATCCGTAGTCGTTTATCTCTCATTGTGACTGTCTGGCGATTAGGATGTCAAACATACATTGGAGTCGCAGAAGAAGAGTGGTATTCACAGACCTCGCCTACAACTATCGAATGTATGTGTCCTAACTAGGTCAATGGTTGACATATCATGACTCTTAAATTTCTCAATCGTACTATAAAACATTGAAACTACTTGACATACATGTAAGCAGTAGTATTGACATAGGGCTTCGGTAGTAAGAAAAGGGCAATAGGTGCTTATATTGATTTTATTAACTCGCTAAGCGCTTAAGCCTCACGACTACATAAGTCGTCTATGCAGTCATACGTCGTTAATCCTATAATTCCCGCAAGCTTACAACGTCGGAAAACTGCCGACTGCCAATTGATCATCAGGCGGAAGAGAGACACGCTAGTATTCCTCGCAACACAATTGCTTGCGCTGACGAATGACTCAGATTGTTACTATCCTTGGCCCGGTTATAACCGTCGATCTTGCCCCCAAAAAGAAAGAATGTTAACCCTAACCCACGCTGGACCTCACCCCTAACCCTTGAAAATTACTTGTATTTATCTACTCAAAAGTACCAGAGTCATAACGAGTGGTTTTCTCAGCCTGATAATCAATTGCCTGAGCGAAGGAATACATATGTAGATCTTTGAAGTGTTCTGCTCGGCTACGGCGATTAATTAGGCTATCTCGGAATCTGGGGATCGATAGCAACGTTAACTTTTCAGGGTTTGAATAGGCGACAAGATGATGTGCTGCGGTTACACTGATGGATCCAGCAAGCACGGTACTAACGTGGGATCTAAATGGGTACACATTCGGGCTCAGTAACGTAGATCTCGGGACCCTCCCAGAGGTACAATAGACTATACTAGCAGTTTATTGTGGCTATGATGCAAGTACCTAATCTAAGAGGTCCCACGTTGTCTGCACAAACATTGGAATACATAGCCATTGAGCTAGATGTTAAACTACATTCAACAGCATGTACTTATCTTAGATCGGTAGAAGACAACTCCTGATCGGGTCTAATGCAGGTACTGTTCGTGCGGAAGTTAGCCACGATCATTACCTTGAAGCTTTCAAGTGGCTTGTCTCGGCATATTGCTTGAGGATAACTATTCTCCATGTCTGTACAGCACGAAACCCACCAAAATAAGCGCAGAAATAACAGTGGGTGTCACGTGATTGAGCTATGCTCATATGGGCCGCTCTTGGCAAAACCCCTACCGCGCGACACCCCAAACACCAAACGTTGATCCTAGCCACGATATTGAAACAGTGACTTATAAAAAGATTAGGGTAAGGGATGTGCCCGCAAAAAAGAAGATTTTTATATCAATCGTGAGCACCAGCCACAGTATAATCCTGGTAAGTACCCAAATGCGCAAATCTCTGGTATATAGCTAACATGCAGTTCGATCGTTCCTGCGAGATCTCTTGTTGTGCCTTGATCCAAACATTTTAGCAGACCTCCGACCAGCAGACCGAAGGAAGCTAGTCCTTAAAACCAGCATTATTTGCGCAGCTGTAAATATTCCGTCTTCAGAAGACTACAGAGGCTATGCTGAGACGCGGAAGCATTGGTGGTCTCGGACTTTTGGCTCGAGCTCAAATCTATCTTTATTATATTCTCCGATCGGGGCCGGACGTGTACACGTTGGAAAGTAAGTCAGAAGATTTGTAGTAAAGTACTTATTGGGGAGGATTGATTGGGTTTATTGTTTTTTTTTTGTACCTATGACGTTAGTTAGCTATTAATATAGATATGCTGGATATCATGAATAGAATATCGAGATCAAAACTTAACCAAACAATCTTTTGACATACAATCTGCATCTCTTTTACCGTTCTAGAGCCTCAATCGTGGCTCATTCAATATCTTAAGCTTAGTCTTATTCTCCAGAATTATCGCAGCCGCAGCTTAAGAGGTAGAACCACAAATATAGAAGATTTTTGGCATAAAGCACATCTCGGAAGTAGGTAGATGAAAGGCACGACCCATGTAGCCAAGCTTCCCTTCCTGGCTGTCCTACTGGAGATTTTCTGTCCTTGACATCCGAAATCCATGGTATGGATTTTCTCCAATCCAGGTTACTAAGACCCGGAAAATTTGATACAGTCTAAGCCCTATCATAGCTTCTTCTTGACATGTTTTCTCGAAGGTCAGATCTCCTACGCCACTCTATGAGCCACTGTGACCCACCACAGCCTTGAGGAAGTTGGATGAAATAGAGCTCAAATGTACTACTAGCGGTTGAAACTGCAGTAAAAACCAGTAACCTATCCCGCATAAACCTGCCCCCACAGCCATCTGCAGGCAGAGATCCTTGGGAGTATCGCTTGCAGTAGATGTTTCCACAACCAAAGATATTAGGCTTCTGTGTCGGACAAAATTAGAGTATAATGCACGTATATCCTCCAAATGGAATATAGGTTATCCCGGGTCACAGCTTTCATCGGATTATATCTGATAGAGAATTCTGTAATTCATTGGTAGGCACGGATGGGGCTGCGGACTGCGCGTGAGAATAGATATAAATATATTACCAGGCTTCAAAGCAAGTGCTAGCTGTTGGACTGGTAAACTAGATGTTAGTATCCTGTTCTACTTCGAATATTTTAGCGTTTGATGTGTACATGTAGTACTAGCCTTGACTCCTAGGCCTCGATCAATTGTATATCAAATAATCTACAATTAGAATATAACCATCATATCAACAAAAGCATCACTACGCACCGAAAACAACATTCAACCTCGAGCTACATACATGTAGTAACAATTGAAGAGCCTAGACCGTCTTATTTGACATTGCCACACTTCCATTTCGGCCAGCCCGCTTCCGAGGTTCGGGCTGCACTATGTCATAATAAGTCCCTAAAGCTCGAAAGGAAGCCTCTTAGGCCATTTTTTTCTTCTTTTTTCTAGAGTGAATGTTTACCGGCGGAGAAAGAGACGGGATCAATAATCTTCAATGCGTAGCTAGGTGATAGTGTGGTAGAGGGTTAGCCGAGACGGAGGACGAAACGTATTCCAATCACAAGCTCGGCATCCATTTGCCAGTGAAAAACGCCAAGACTTGACATCCCTTCGTCTCGCTCTACCTCTAGCTCTATATAGACCTATGTACGTCATGTACGTGGAACGATTCTTGTTGTTGACGGGTTGCGGCTATTAGTTTTGAATGTCATACAATAATATATATTACAGCGTGGAATAGCACAGAGCCCTTACTAAAATTCGCGCAGCATCTATTCCCATTGGCAGAAAGGAGTTCCTAAAGAAGACCAATAATTAGTTGGCAATTGTTGGAATCACTGGGATACTTCAACGACTAGCAAGGCCTTAATGAGGCTGGCTTTCCACTGTGTAGTAATTGACTGACAAAGATGACTGTTAAGTTGATAGAATAGTCTTCAAATCTTCATATGACGACCCTCTTGTGCCCACATGTTCTTTGTAATGTCTCAACCGTGTCTTCCGCAATATGTTGCATCATATTCTGTCTTCTTGCTTAGTCACCTAATATATGGCAGATGGTAAGGCTAACTAATTAGCTACGTAACACGAACATATCCAGTTAAACCCAAACTCACAGCGATAACATTTTTTTATCAGTAAGTGCAAAGGCACTTATTCGTAGGCAGAACTATAGGGCTTTTTATAGCAGAGAAGCTTCCTGAGTTCTTGCAGGATCGGATATCTAGTTTGGACCTGTGATAGCCTTTGGTATATCTTTTCGAATCAAAATGACGGATGTCCCTCTAACTGATCTGCAGCTGCCTAGCATCTGACAACAGATTCAATGATATAAATCCATTTTTTTTAGCGACTTCACTTACTTACGTAATTACTTGCACTCGGCACAGGACAGTGAACCATGTGAACCATGTGAACCAGGTCTATAATGCGACACAAGACACTAGGGATCTATAAGAGCAAAGTTCTAACTTACTGACAGATGTCTCAAGTTTAGATGAAGATGACATGCAGTCCGAATTCAAGTTGCAGGAATTGACCGGTTCAATTACACCCCTAGCGAAATATCTTGAGAATCTCGGGGCCGGGTCTATAGATCTAAATTCTAAAGGTGCCCGATGACGGAGAAAGAGCTAAATTCAGAGCCCGAGCTCAAGGCAGACAATAAAGGACGACATAATTTTCTTTGTTGCCAATCGATATGAGTAGCTATAATGTTTCATGATATCCAATAGAAATTGGGCTCCAATACGTATACTTGCATTTTCTAATACCTATTATTTATTTGGAGTACGCACGGAAGTTTATCGGCCTTGGGTGCGAATCGACCTACAATATTTCAAATAGGGCTAACAAGAAATCGCTCCTAATATTTCTCCGGAAGATCTAGATTCTAATATATATGGAGTGACTCTTTTCGGTACGAGATCTATGTTAAAACAAGTGCCTCTAGCTGTTCTGCTTGCCTTCATTTAGATGTATGTTCGTACTTGAGCTCCCACGTGGTCATTCGCAATTGAATTTATTTCGAAGCCTTATGCTGGCATGCAGAATCCTGGGAGCGCGGCGTATGGGCCGTATGGTGCTTCAAGCTCATTAAGCGCGCTAAATCCAGTGGTGTACAATTGTAGATTGTTCTACTGGTTAATCTTCGAGAATCTTGCCCTGGCCCAGTGCAGTAAATTTGGCATCTCTACTGCCAATAATCTTGCACATTGCGAAATGAAGATCGACGCCTTACTTCACGATCACAGGTCTAGGCCTGGCACCAGCTGGCCAGGCTAGGTAGTTGCATTCAAGGAAACGATGAATTTACACCTTTTCAATTCGTTTCTTATCACTAGTGACTCCAAAATTTTAAATAAACCTATGACGTCTTCCCTTCTCTAGCCCTATATTTACGCCCTTCTTTAGAGGTATATCGTCCGAGGTGCGCGAAGAGCTAGAGGCTTACACATGATATGTCTCACTAGCCACATGGGCTGCCACACAAATGCTCTTCAACGCCTGAAACACCAACGAGCCATAAACGTAGCCTTATTTTCACCACCGCCTCAATGCTTAAATCCCCTGAAGATCTATTTATCGAGAGAGGAAATATATCCCTGAAACGCCAAAGGGGGTTAGTGGGTAATATGCTGATGCGCACGCGCGCCAGAGCCGATTCGAGTGATAATCTATGATACAATGCTCTTATGACGAGAGAAGCCCTGCAAACACGCTACGTACGCTGGCCAATGAATGGAAAACTTTCGCGCTTATAATCATCGATTAGGAGGAGTCATACGATGGTGATGCGGTATTTTGTAAGACCTGTGTTGGAAAATCTCTATTTCTGACTACTCGGCGAGTTTTGAAAGTGCTTATTTGAAGGCCTAATCACACATAGCGCCAGGAGAAACGAGCTCGGCAACCAGCGGATAGTGTTTACTGACCAATTGGCTGAAACAAAATCTGTGACATCTATCTAGTTTCCGTTGGCTTTATTTGTCATTGAGTTGTTTTGCTAGCCACATGGAAAGCCTAATGGACTCCGGCTGAGCCGGCTGACGCTAATTATCGAGTGACTGTACACGATGGATACTATCATGGGTTATCACTCGTTTACGTGAAAGGAAATGAATATATTTATCAAATTACTCAAGAAAAGTTGTCTAGCTCATCGATAATACATGTGATACAGCTTCTTATTTTTTGATTGTGTTTATGTATGTAGTTTGGTGGCCTTCGTCCATAGCTATAAGCCAAAGTCCTCCACCAGCATTACCTATTTCTCTCTACCACTATATGTAATTTGCTTTACGCCCATGGAATTATTTGCCAAGATAACCGCAGTTGTCTAAAGCATTCTAAAAGAAATCTGCCACTAGAAATTTTAGGCCAATCATCAATTTTGAAAAATGCTGGTTGCTAGTTGCGGGTAGCAAAATTGATGGTTGAATGTCAATCCACATACAAAAATGGACCCAAAACTACTACATGTAGGTGCGGGATTTTCAAAATCGATCTTTGGCCTAAAGTTTCTACATACTCTCTCCAAAAGCGGATTCTGCATATTTCTAGATCCCTCCTAGATGATCAACATGTCATAAGCACAACTAGGTAGTAAGCTTGAAAGAGTTTTAATTGGTTTCCCCACTGGATGATTTTTATCCATCCTTTCGGTTGACTACATACATGTACCTACATTAGGTTCGACACTCAATGAGCTACAGTCGCCCTCCGCTATAACGAACGTGCATATTGGGCCATTTTTCGTTCGGTACAGCAGATTATTCGGTATTATTCGGTATAGCAGACTAAATTCTTTGCTGAAACAAAAAAGAAGCTGGCCCAAGTGGTTCGGTACAGCAAATATTCGGTATAGTGGCATTCGTTACATCGGAGGGCGACTGTACATGTACTCGGTGCACGTGGGCTTCGTTATCTGTCAATTTATGGCTGACTCAGGCTAGAGGCATAACGTGCGATCGATAAGAGGTTGGGAACGATCCCGTAAACCTGGTTGACGTGCTGATCCGTGCGGTAACACGGGAAGAGTGGTTCCTGACACGGTGACGTTTCTTAACGGTTTAGTGATCGATCATCGCCGCCCGAACAATTCAACTCTACTCCGACTTTCTAGAGACTTAGAACATCGTTTTACGAATCCCCAATTGAACTCTAACTCTAGGTTTCAATGCCCCAATACTGGTCTCGGAGTTGATACCAAGCTCTTCCTAGAATGAAGAAAACATGGCCGAATATGGAAAACAATCCGGGATTTAGGCGTGTGTGTCTACAAAGGTGTCCAGGCAGTTCAGGCGATATATAAGCCCTCATCAACCAGCTTTCTTTTAGTCCTGTTCAAACCCTCAAAGGGCTCCAGCTCTTTTACAGATAGAAACCCACTGAACCATCAAACCATCAATCCCAAGATGCTTCCGAGATTTCCGAACTTGATCCCCATCAAGCCAGTCTAAGTAGGTACATCTCGCATCTCTCCATCTTCACCCACTAAGGCTTGAGATATTTACTGAAACTGCTTCTATGAAGGCCCGCAAAGATCCACATCCCTTAGGTGCTCGCTCGAGATAAAGCAGGTCCCACCTTCCGGATTAATGGAGGTATCTGTCATCGACAGGGCACGTAAGGAACGGGATTCTCTATGCACGTGTGTCTACAAATTGAAACCCAACCTTATTGGCACAAATCATGTCAGTAGAGCATATAGTAACTCTCGGGGACGTACGTTGCTACAAAAAGTGCAGTCGGAGTTACACTGATTGAAGAGGGAAGGTGTGGTCTTGGCATTTAATGACAGACCAATCGGAGTCGCCTACGGAGGCACGCTTCTTTTTTCATGTATCACGACTTTGAGCCAGTGGCTGGTGGAACCCTAAAAGACACGGAAGAAAGACTAACCTTTTAGAATGCCACGTGCTTCAGTTCATGGGATCTCGGGAAATCCTCTTTTTCCCGCTGCCGTTCAGCTAAGGAAATCCGACGAAGTCCGCTCTGTTGGTTCCCGAGACACTGTCATCAAGTTGGCATGGGCGCGGGTGTATGGTGGTCTTGGCCAATATTTACAATCAAGGAAGCTGGAAGGTACATTAATTTACATGCCTGATAGGAACGTAACCATTCGGCTAAGTGCTTTTCGCTCTTTTATAAGCTGTTCCTCGCCCTCCTCCGCTGGAACCTTTTTTCAATCAGTCTTCATTCACTCTTCATTCATTCGTTTAGAGAATAATCGGGTCAATTGAATAGCTTGGAACAATGTTGAACGTCAAGAGTCTGTTTTTGATCGCGTTGAGCGGCTTTGCAGCTCTCGCTGAAGCCGGAAGGGGTGGAAAGGATGGAAAGGACGGAAGGAAGCCAAAGAATTTCATCATGGTGAGTTGCTCCAAGTTAATTCTTCTTTTTCTAAAATGATCGTTGAAGTTAATTGGGTAACATAGGTCATTCCGTAAGCCTTCATTAATAGCTAACCTGAAGCTTCAACACATGCTGATTGCATTTACAGTGATGGTTTCGGTCCTGCATCAGAAACTATGGCTCGTGACTGGATGCACTGGAACAACAATGCTACCGTCGACCTTCCCATCGATAGAATGATGATCGGCCAGGTTCGCACTCGCTCTAGTGACTCTTATGTTCCTGATTCCGCGTCCACTGCGACTGCGTACTCCTGCGGTATCAAGGTCTATAACGGAGCAATTGGTATCGACGATGACGTCGAGCCTTGCGGAACTGTTTTGGAGGCTGCAAAGGCCCAGGGATACAAGACTGGACTTGTCGCTACTAGTAGAATCACCCACGTATGTTTTTCTCCTCATGGACTGGATTGCGGGGCTTTCACTAAACTAATATGGTTAGGCCACTCCTGCCTCCTACGTTGCGCACGTCTATGACCGTGACCTTGAGTCCAATATCGCTCTTCAAGAGATTGGTGTGGGCCACCCTCTCGGTAGCGTTGTTGATGTTATCATGGGTGGTGGAAGATGTTTCTTCACTCCCCAGAACACCACCGGTTCTTGCCGTGACGATGATATCGATGCACTTGAGCTTGCCAGGCAGCGTGGCTACACTGTCTTTGGAGACAGGGCCACATTCGAGGAGGACGTTAAGCTCCCATATCTCGGTCTCTTCACTCAAGGTATATCGAATCCCCCACCTCAATTTCTACAATAAATTCTTAAATTTAATACAGATCACATGTCCTACGATATTGACCGCGATCCCGCTGTTGAACCCTCTCTCACCGAGATGGCTCTGAAGGGTATCAACGATCTTTACAAAGCTACCAAGAAATCCAAGAAGGGTTTCTTCATCATGGTGGAGGCATCCAGGATTGACCATGCTGGTCATGCGAACGACGCAACTGGTCATCTCCACGACATTCTTGAATACAACCGTGCCATGGACGCTATGCGTGAGTGGATCGATGAGCACGATGACTCTGAGACCGTCCTCATCTCCACTGCCGACCACGAGTGTGGTGGTCTTACTCTTGGATACGAGCTCGACGGTGCCCCAGACTACTGGTTTGCGCCAGAGCACTTTGCCTCCTCTCACGGTTCATCCGGCAAGTATGCCACTCTGTGGAAGAACTACAAGTCAAATGATACCTCTGATGCAACTCAGTACCTCAAGAAGTCGATCTACGCCCCCTATGGTATCATGGACCCCTCTGAGGAAGAGATCACCCAAGGTCTTGCCCTTCAGTCTTCCACTTCCAACTTTGGCCGCTTCCTTGCATTGGCGTTTTCCAAGCGTTTGAAGGTCCACTGGGCTACCGGAGGACACACCGGTGTTGATGTTACTCTTTACGGCCACGGATTGAACCACGAGAAGCTTGCAGGACAGAGGGACAACACTGAGATTGCCCACTTTGCCGCCGAGCAGTTGGGACTAGATCTGGAGCCTATCACCGAGAAATTGAGGGCTGACAGGGAATTTGTGGAGAAGCTCGTGAAGAAGCAGCCTGGTGATGCGGCGAGGCTGAAGGGAAGGGACTTGACACACCACCACCACTAGAGGGGTTGATCGGGATATATGTGAAGGACAATAAAATTTAATGTTTATGGTAGGATAGCACGGGTTTGTGCGCTTACCAGATTGCAAAATATGGAATGCTAGTAATTCATTTGTACCATCATGAATTTCATAACTAGATCATCGTTATTAAACAATTATTTATCTATCCATCAAGTGATTGACAATATATTGCCCAAAGACCATCCCAAGATTTTAAGATCGCGCAAAACCTTTTAACTCTTTTCTTGACAAAGTATCAAACAGGAAATACTACTACTGGCTTATCCTTATCATCGATAGTGGCCAAAATTGTTCTCGTACGTCTTGGTCTTGGCATGTCTTTGATATTAATTCATGTACAGTTATCCCCGGACCCATCTCCAGCTATAAACTCCATCGTGCTACTTCTGGGCTAGTCGCTAGTCAGGGCTACCCCTCAGCATCTCGACCCCGCTCTTTAGGCCCTGAGCCCCCCAGTTTTTCTGAATTGGGAACATTGGCTTCCCCGTTTCAACTTTCTTTAGACAGGAGCTGAAGAAGCCACAGTTGAAACAATACGTGGTGGGTTAGGGTTTCTTTTTTGTAGATTTTAGTTTTTATAGTTGCGATTAGCTAGCACTTTTGCGTCGAAATTCGACAGAGAAAGAAACTCACTCCTTTTAAAAGTAGGTCTGGATAGTTAAGTCATACGCAGAGGAGGGAAATTAAGACTTCAATTGTAATTGACTGTAGCTATTAGTATAATACGCAATAAGCTTCGAATGGCTCATGATCATTCAATCAGTTATCACTCCCATTGCTTTTATTCTATTATCAATGAAATTATCTTCCCAAAGCAAGATGACACAATTCGGTATGATCCAAAATGAATATAAGGATGGCTGAGCAATGACATCGAAGGGTTAGGGGTTGGGTTCTACTTCATCTTGGCACGCTGCCAAGGTCAAGTATCACCTCCAGCACAGCATCTGCTATGGGCGAGTGGTCTAGTGGATAGACTGCTCGTCAGGCTAGATACCGAGCGTACCCAGGATACAACCACTACACACATAAGGTCCTGGGTTCAAACCAGGGGTGGGGGTAGCAGCGCAAATTCATTAATAAGTCGCTGCAGTACCTTTTGTAGTTCTTGTTCTTTTTTTTCTTCTTATTGTCTTTGTACTCTTAGCGTGTCATCTTGCATTATGTATTATCGCAGAGCATATATACCTTTTCTCTTGTTTTAATCATGAAATATCACTCGATTCACTCATTTTGCGTGACAAATGATTGATTGATAAACTCATTTGCGTGACAATGTGGACAAATATTGTGCGTTTGGTTGGATTCGGTAAGCGCTTACTTCTGGTGAAAATTCCTGTTAATTATTCAAACTCTAGATGGCTTAGGATGTAGATTTCGGATCAAGTACGTCGGGTTCCAGTAGGAATGGATACCAAACAACGCCAGATGAATGTAATTGGCCTCCATGGTCGTGATCTTAGAGTGACCGGAGGGGCTCTATTGGCGACTTCATTTTCAAGATAGGGGGAACGGGAACCCATTACACCCACCAGAGACGGCCCGCGAGGCATGAGGAATACATAAAAGTGACTTGTTTAGAAGTAGCTATATTGGTAAGCGGCATACATACATGCCTTCCTAATACCAAGTCAGCTGTGCGGATATATCTGCAATTGCGAGGCACATAGTGTTCTGGCCCATCCATAAACACTGCTCATATACAGATATTTTAACAAGAATTAATTTATCGAAACATGCTGACCCTTTTTCGTGGGGACCCATCCATGATCCATATTAATTCAGACCTAAATGATAAAATTTGACAATTTAAAAATCCTTTTGACCCTACAAAAAAAGGTCAGCATTTTTGTCCAGTCGAAGATACAATACCATAATGAGTACTAGGTACTATGTAAACCACTTGTTTTATTAAAACCCCGCCAAAAGAGGTTCTAGAATAGAAATAAGAACTGCAAAAATAATATGCAGGTACCCTCAAACTGTCTTCATGCGTCACTGTGCAGCTCCTGTCGCCAGTACCACAATTACCGTTTGTGATTAAACGGCTCTTGACTTCTAAACGAGAGTAGAAGGATCCGAAGAGATATCTATGCGCACGCTTAATTAAGCTTCCGTCCGTTCAAATGTCAAATGTCGGTTTAACATTGCTGATATTAAGCAACTAGGGTGACTTACTATGTCAGCATTCCTCATGCTGTGTTCATTGGATCCATTCGCAAACGGGTAATCTTTCCGTTATGTGTGTACCCATTCGTGAACATGCGATGTACCTACCCATTCGACATTCATGAATACGCGAATGGGCCAGAGGGTTTGCATTGCATCACATGTACTGTACCGGACTGGACTGGACATGAGTTTATCAGAGACGATCATATGCAGAGTTTCTGGCGTGAGCTGACGGTGGAGGAGAGTTGCGGTCTACTCCATGAGATGATCCTTCACATGATTCTTCGGACGATAGGTTCCTAAATGTATATGTGTTGCGTGGATCCGAGTACTCTAGCTGTGTTTTAGGGCTGAACAGCTTTAACGAAGTGGCCCGAGCTTAAGAAAGCGCTAGCTCAGAAGTGAGGGACCACTACATGTAGACTGATGTAGTGTAGCCTAGGGCTCCAATCAAGCTTTGTAGCTAGCTCTAAATTCTAAATTTGCTGAGCCAATCAACATCAATAATGAGAACGTACAGTAGTACTCTTAGATAGACTTTTATATCAATAGCTACATGTAGCTATAACTACATGTATGTGCGCATCCGTATTTCTCTGTTGTACCAAAGATGTACTTATTTATATAATATCTATGTGCGATGTACCTATATATACAGCGCTCTATGATAGGCTTCGTGCACCCGCATGTAACTGGCCTTAGGCTTCTGTACACTGCAGCCAGCTCTACGCCCAGATCTACGAGTGGTATTCAGTAATTCCAATGCACTTCTAGCTAACCCCACAAAAGCCGGCCGGCCGGCCTTATAAACCGTTATATAGCATGACATTCAGCTAAACTCAAACAAAATACACGTCATAATTGTCACTAAGGCAACGTCTTATGTGCAAAACTTGCCCTATTTGCAAATTCTACTATATATCGATGGCTGTGAGAAAATCACTTGCCTATCTTTGAGCACTTTAAGGTTAATCAGCGTGCATCGTCTAGAATCTCTCATCTATAAGCGAATTAAGACGATTTTCACGTTATGGGTATCTCGAACTCCCATTGGATTTCTGGAAGGCTACCCCGAGTGGATACAACGGTGACGGAATACCCTTTGTATGACCGGGTCAACTAGACGAAAAGACCCACCGGGCCAAAACCCATGGAAGATCTACTGAGGAATCAAAACCAGGGAATCAAGATGGAATTTGATTATTTCATGGTATCAACCAAGATCACAGGGCATCACTCAGATCTCTTTTAAAGGATCGACATGTTTTGGTCTCTACTGATCGGATTTACTGCGGAAAAGAAGAAAGAAAATACGATATGCATCTACATATGTCATACCACATGGCACCTCATAACGCATTGATCACTTGCTACCATGATTGGTGAGAACTGCGGTTCTTCCAGGCCCAAACACCAACCTTCCTGTCAGACTAGAGCACATACCCCCTGTTGAACCATGTTTACTCGTAGCTTTATAGCGTTTCCGAACACGACCAATATTGCATGACATACGAAAAAGCGCCAAATCCACCTTTTTGTATGTCATGCAATATTGGTTGTGTTCGGAAACGCTATAAAGCTACGAGTATGTGATACTTGCCATCCAGGCAGTCTAATTTTAATTAGATGTAAAGCGACCTAAAGTCGGGTAGATACTTTACTAGAGTACGTACTCTAGACACATGTATGTACAGGTACCCGTGAGACGAAGTTGACCTTTTGTGTCTAAGCTTTATTGTCGATATTGTGGAGGTACATATAGTTCATGCATGAACTGATTGGACCCAAAGATTTTGGAGAGAAACAAAGAATCGCATAACGGCCGAGACCATTAGATGCTCATCTTGTCACTGACACATGTAATCTGATATTATCACCCTTTCGTCTTTCTCAACCACTTTCCAGCGCAGAAAAACCCATAAACGGTAAACACAACCACCAAACAAAACCTTAGGCCAGTAGTCCAAATAAATATGTGGATCTAATAGCTCCCGGGGGCGGGCCGCACATTTGAAATAGCGTCAGGTCTTCCAAGGGCTGGGGCAACGCACACTAGAAAGTTATTAACTCTACAGCATTCGGTTATGCTGGTTCTAGGACCAAGCGAACGATTCCCAGCGTTAACATCCAGTTAAAACAGTCCGTTGATAGGATCATTTATATACCCTAGTCGAGCCTAGCTAAAGATGAGATCTCAATTAACCTTAGAAGCAGATAGTAGTAAAGATCGGGGTCCCGGATCCGGATCCCTTGGTGATCTACCCTGCAAGTTGCGGCTAAGAAACTTCAGCTGCTTTATCACAGCAACCAAGTCTAGGTTGAGTACCTACCCGTAAGCAGATCAGTAGCTCAGTAGCTCGGACCGAAGTAATCTACAACTTTATCCCTCTGATTGGTCAAGACTCAAGTGGATTGGGTGTACTGGTGGATGACCTTGTGATATTACGTGGTCGTGATGCATAAATATTGTGGCTTCGGCTTCATGAGACATCACCCAGCCCACCCACATTAAATCGACGAAACCCAAACCACCCCCGGCTCATAGGAATCTATATGGTTTCGCTAGCAATTGATTGATTTTGCAATTCAGAATGGTTAACCACGGGGGGGGAAATTGAAGGGAAACATATATGTAGTGCGTAGGCAGAGGAGAGTGCCTCCCCTCTCCAAAGGTCCTTTGCCTCGGCGCCTTGCCCCGCATTTCAATCCCCACTCAATGTAGATTTCCTTCTTTCTTCCCGGCACACACACACGGAGGGAGATCATGCATATCATACCTACCTGCATAAGTAGAAGCAGAGGGGTGCACTAGTAATATGGGTAAAAAGTACGAGTAAGAAAGTCTTCATGTAGAGCAGGTCGAGTAGAGTAGGTATCGGAAAATGCAACACGCATACGCGCTAAAGTACCAACAAATATGGCCTCACATGTACCTCTCACAAATGAGGCAAGAAGCTTAAATATTTGAGTTTAATTAGAGAGGGTAAGTAGAGATGGATGTGCAAAGCACACCCCTTCGCGAATTCGCAAGACGTCTTGCACGTCAGAAGGGGGCGTGCGCCTGTCCAGCTACGCCAATTGCGTAATGTGGGTTGTCAGATAAGGTCTTCTGTTCCTCAATTGCATGTAGGAAGAAGTGCGATGTGCGAGCGGTCGGGGAACCTTGAGGTAAATGTTATGTACTCTACTCTCTTCTAGCTAGTAGATCAGTATGATTAGTAATGTTAGTGAGGTCATTAGGTCGATGGGTTCTGATTGATATGAGGAGAGGCGCTACCTGCCTACAGTAGGTGGGTGATTGTCCTACCTGAGATCAACGATTAAAATGGTGTTCTGAACATCTATCAGCCTCCTTCGGCCGGGCGGTATTCCCTTTACTCTAAAATGGCAGTACTGCCGTGGTAAGCGTGGGTATCCCTAGAATAGTCAAGAACCTAAGGGTCCTTCAGGACCTTAGGTGACTTTAATTTGCCGATTCAACTTTCAGGCTTCAGCTTAGGCGAACTCCAAGGGAGTTCGTGATCCTTGACATTGTTTTCTCAAATGTGATCTCTGCAAGGCATGCAGGATTCCCAGAGTGGAGTAGCTAGAGTAAGTACATGTAGTAGCCTACCCAGCAGATTGATCGAACGAGAGCTGATGTTCAGTCCACACTGGTACTAAAGTAATAGTTTACCAGCGGACAATTGCAAGGCGAGATCTGAGAGAGAGAGGTAGGGAAGGAGGGGAAACAGCAGGGAAAAAAAAGAAAGAAAGGGAACAATATGCAAAGCTCGACTCCGAGTGGCCCGAGAAAGTTGACGATTCGATTGGCGTCGTCGTATCAATTAACCTACAGCTAGTAGGCATGGGGACCAGAAAAAGCTTTTGGGCAGCCTAAGAGCCGAGCCGGACCTGATATGGCTAGCCCTGCAGATCAATACAGGGATTGGATTCTTGGACCGGAACAACCAACAACAACTTGTCTAGCCCAGGGTCCCCCCCATGAGTGTAGGATAAAAGGAAATCGATGGCTGGATACCTACCGTGGGCCACGATTCGCGATCATTGGAAAGTCACTAGTGGAATCCTTGTCTCGCCGATTGGCGAGACTCTCAACGAGGGTAGAGAGGTGTGTGACCGCCAAGGTACTCTACAGTATCTAGAGTATGAGTTAGAATGGATGAGACATTGATTGGTTCAGGAATGTAGGTCGGTTGAGAGAGGAGAGGGGAGTTGCCTACTTTACGAGTCTATCGTACCCAGATGCTCTACTCACGTACGTGAGGTCACCGCCGAATTGACTTCATGGTAATAGCAATACCCTAGCTCGCTGGCTCACTGGCTTGCAGAACCTCAAACTGACACTATTGACAGTTCTGGTTCCACTCCCCTTCTATTCCATTGGATGTTGGAACAGACGGATGACCTCAAGCGGTTGATACTTATTATAAGTGCAACTTCATGTTCTACCTAAATCAAAGGACAGATAACTAACCTAGGTAGCGTATCGTCATAAGACTAGTTAATTAATGCCCCTGGCCTGGTCCTACGTGAGTTCCTTTGTGCCTGCTTTCTTCGTCTTGTGAGATTCGTACAACACAACTTACCTTCTTTCACCACCATATCCGCTCGGTGCTAATCACCCGCAAGGGTTCATTGCGCATCGTTTATCTTTTACCTATCCCAGACTTTTTACGCTCACCTACCGCCCACTAAAGTAGATACCGCGGGGCACCATTTTTTCAGCTGAGATCGTATCCAAGAAGAGGGGGGGACCTTCTCACACCCCTCCTGCAGTGAATTCGAACATGAACTGGCTAGGAAAAGCGAGGGAAAAAAAAAAAAAAAAAACACCTTGGATTGGCAAGAATCCCGGGTTCATGGCACCTTAAAGTGCATGATTGAACTGTTGTCCTGTAGAGTACTGCAGCAGCGCATATCTGAGGGAGAATAATACCAACCCATATCGTAATGCCTGACATTGCTTCTCATGTGGTGCAGGTCTAACTCTTCCAGCTGATTAGAACTGAAATTTGCCTGTCTTGGTAAATATCTATTGGACACTACGTTAATATTTGCTCGTCATTCGCCGACCAGAGACTGACCAACCGCGTTCACATGATACAGACACCCTGGAGTATATCATCTTCGTCCTACATTTTCCAGAGTGCTAATTGTTACGGTATCCGGCTAGATGAGGGGGAAATGGGGGGGCTGCTAGGTGTTCAATTGGATTACCTCTGTTTCCAATACAAAAGACCAAATGCAGGATAGGTTTTCAAATGAAGGTGTATATATTGGGCCCTATGCCTCCAACATCATGTGTTCTATCACTTGTACGCCTTCCACGATCATTTACAAGGAGGCCAAATCTATTCTATTACCATCAACCCCCCCAGTACCGTTGCTCAATCTTCCGAGTAACTTTAGCACAATTATCTACCTCCCATAGCAGCCTAACCCCGCAATGGCTTCGAACGGCGCTAGCTCTTCTTCAGCGGGAATTAAACCTCCTCCACCTCTTGCGAAGCAGACGAGAAAAGATGTCGATAGCAGTCTTGACAAATTTTCTGCATTGATCAATGCTTCAAACCGCCCTCTACCTAACCGCTATGGCAACGGCACAGACAGGTCCCCAGAAGCCGAACAGACAGGTATCTGGACAGATATCTCGACATTGAGAAAAGGTGGCTTCCTTCTAGAGTCCGTTGCTACATTATGGCAGCTTGTGCAACAGAAGAGGCGCGGAGGACCAGTGGACGATAAAACTATGATCGTATGTTAACATGACTTCTCATTTATTCTACTATATTTGCGCTTGATATGATAAAAACCCCGCTGTGGCCCAATTGAACAGGGAGTGGTGTGGTTCAATCACCAATGCAGATGTTGTGCACCAGATGACTTTGGGAATAATTTGCTAATGGATTTTTCTTTTGTACATGTAGATGGAACGAGTTATTCAACTCACCTCACGATTGCCACCTACCAGTAAAGTTCGAATTTCTCTGACTACCCACCAAGTTGATCAATTGTGGGATTCGCTCCAGCATCCTCCTCTATCGTATCTTGGATCACAGTTTCATTACCGCCAACCTGATGGAAGCTACAACAACGTTATGTACCCACAACTCGGGGCGGCCGGGTCACCATATGCGAGATCTGTTAAGCCAATGACGAAGATGCCTGCCGCTCCACCAGATCCATACCTGGTTTTCGATAGCATCTTCAGTAGAGGAAAGAATGATGAGAACTACCGTGAACATGACAACAATGTCAGCAGTATGCTATTTTACACTGCCAGTATTATTATTCATGGTTAGTACCCATCCTAAACAACTTTTCTAATGGAAAACCTAAGTACTAACCCTGAGCAGACTTGTTTCGAACCAACCGTGATGATGCCAACATTTCTGATGCATCGTCGTATTTGGATCTCGCTCCTCTTTACGGAAACAACAAAGATGATTTAGATAAAATGCGTACTTTCGTTGACGGAAAAATTAAGCCAGATTCGTTCTCTGAGAAGAGATTGTTGGCTTTCCCGCCAGGAGTGTCAGTTATGGTCATCATGTTTGGGCGTTTCCATAACTATGTTGCTGAGCAGTAAGTTCTTTCTTAAGAAGGATCGGACCGAAGATGTGGATACTGATCCTAGTCACCGAATAGATTAAAAGCTATCAACGAAGGCGGGAGATTTGATTTGAAGTACCCCCGACGACCTGTCCCAGATAAGACCCGAGAGCAGATTCATGCCGAGGCTTTGGCAAACCAAGATTACGAGTTGTTCCAGACAGCCCGTTTAGTTACCTGTGGTCTCTACATCAACTTTATTCTCAACGATTATCTCCGGACAATTGTGAATCTCAACCGCGTTGACACTACATGGACGCTTGACCCCCGTTTTGACCCCGATAAGATTTACAACCCTGATGGTACGCCCGCAGGTGTTGGAAACATGGTATCGGTTGAGTTCAACTTAGTCTACCGCTGGCATTCGTGTATCTCGAAGAGAGATGATGCCTGGACCAAGGAATTCTACGCAGGTTTATTCCCCGGGAAGAATCCCGATGATGTTAATATGAGGGAATTCTTAGTGGGTGTAAATCAGTGGGAATCGAAGATTCCCAGTGATCCTGTCAAGAGAACCTTTGGTGGATTGTCGAGACAGGGCGACGGAAGCTTCAGAGATGATGACCTGGTCAAGATTCTTACAGAGAGTATCGAGGATGTTGCTGGTAAGTTGGTCTTGATCTTTGTATTTGGCAAGCTTGAATTAATGTGTTATCAAAATAGGTGCATTCGGTGCTCGTAATGTTCCGCATGTCCTGCGTTTGGTAGAGGTTCTCGGGATCGAGCAGTGCCGCAAATGGAGAATTGCATCTCTCAACGAGTTCCGTGAATTCTTTGCCCTCAAGCCCCACAAGACTTTTGAGGATATCAATCCCGACCCCAAAATCGCGGATACACTCCGTCAACTTTACGACCACCCTGACTATGTTGAACTATACCCTGGTCTTGTTGCTGAATCTGACAAGAAGCCTATGGTTCCCGGTGTTGGTATTGGTCCAACCTACACAATCTCAAGAGCTATCTTGTCCGATGCAGTGACATTAGTCAGAGCAGATCGTTTCTACACTGTAGACTACACTGCTGGTGCATTGACCAACTGGGGTCTCGCAGAGGCCTCTTCCGACGTGAACGTCCTGCATGGTTGCGTCGGATACAAGTTGATTCTGAAGGCCTTCCCGAACCACTTCAAGAGCAACTCAGTCTATGCGATGTACCCTCTTACCATTCCGGAAGAGAACAGAAGAATTCTCACTTCATTGAACACGGTCGATCAATTCGACTTCAGCAGACCAAAATTCACCCCAGTCCGTATTCCGATCTCATCATACGCTGCCACTAAGCAGATTCTCAATGATTCGACGAACTTCAAGGTTACTTGGGGCGAAGGGTTCGACTTTATCATGAAGGCCGATTTCATGCTCAGTGGTGACACAAGCTCCAACGCTCAACAGAAACAATTTGTGAGGGAACGGTTCTACCTGAAGGATGTGGACTGGAAGGCACAGATTAAGCAGTTCTACGTTGAAACAACCAGAGAGCTCCTCAAACAGAAGTCTTATCACATTGGTGGTAGATATATGGTTGACGCTATCCGCGACATTGGTAATATGGCGGTAACGCACTTTGCAGCGACCATTTTCAACCTCCCGATGAAATCTGAGGATCATCCTAAGGGCATCTATACCGAGCAGGAACTGTACATGATTCTTTGCGTCATGTTCATTGTCATCTTCTTTGATGTTGACCCTTCAAAGTCGTTCCCGCTCCGTCAAGCAGGGTACGGAGTGGTTCGCCAATACGGAAGCTTGGTAGAATTGCAAGTTAAGAGCATCAAGAACTGGGGATGGCTTCAGGGTATCTGGGATCCTACAAATGTCCGTGGCAGGAACAACAGCGCCCTTTCCTCGTATGGACATCACATGATCAAACGGTTCGTTCCTTCTTTCCTAATTTCAATGGTTTAGTATAGCTAATGATGAATAATTAGGCTCCTGGATGGCGGAAAGTCTGCATACGATGTCACCTGGTCTTATATTGTCCCCGTTGCTGGTGCCTCAGCACCCAACCAAGGTCAAATCTTCGCGCAAGTACTCGACTTCTATCTTGAAGAAAAGAACGCCCACCATCTTGCAGAAATCCAACGTTTGGCAGCACTCGACACTGATGAAGCCTGGGAGACTATCAAGAAGTACGCTCTCGAGGGAGGACGTCTTGCTGGTACCTTCGGACTCTACAGGAGGTGTTCCAGTGATGTCACCATCAATGACTATGACCGAATTCTTCATCTAAAGGACGGTGACCTTGTGTTTGTGAACTTTATCACGGCTTCTCGCGACAAGGACGTCTTCCCAGATCCTGAGGTCATCAAACTTGACCGTCCAGAATCACTGTACATGCAGTACGGTGTTGGCCCACACGAGTGTCTTGGAAAGGCAGCAAACATCATTGGGTTGACAACCATGTTGATGGAGTTCGGTAAGCTGAAGGGCTTGAGACGTGCATCCGGCAAGCCAGGTATTCTCAAGGCCATTCCCAAGCCTGGTGGTTTCAAGGTTTATATGAAGGAGGACTGGAGTGGTTTCTGGCCTTTCCCTACTTCCATGAAGATTGAGTTCGATGAACTTTCTTAAATGAATATTCTTTTTGTTTTTTGTATTTCTTTTGTTATCCTGGGGTCTTTTCTTTTTTGTGTTTATTTTGTGTTATAACCTACTTAGTACGATGGGATGATTTGGGGGCTAGTTCTGGGTCAATGGATTATTTCGAAATTCCATTACGGTTTGAAAATAAAGTTCTATAGTTTCAAACTCCTTGGTTGTGTGTGATATTCAACTGCTCGTAACCAGAACCACCCACGAACTGCTCAAATTGTTCAATATTGACGTTTTCTCCGATCTCTCAACAGTCTTCTTACCTGGTACGCGGGCGTAGTTCCTATAAAACGAACTCATATTCAAGCGAGTTATTTGATAAATCATACACCATTCACGAACGAATGAACGAATTACGTAGTGAACAAATTACGAACGTGGTTTTAATATCTGACGTCTCCACAGAGAAAGAGGAAATTAATGGGGCTGGAAATCGGCCCTTATTACTGGCTTTTCCCGATGTCTTTGTGCTCTCGGCGTGACTCGTGAGGTCTAGGCAGCAAACTGTGTTTCTTGCAATCATGTGTTATTGCAGAGCACGTACATCAAATCTAAAAAAGGGTGTCATTTTGGGCATTTTCTGAATATATAATCAAGACACGGGTTTTTACTAATACTTTCAATTGTTTTTGTAGTTAGTTCTGATGTTCTTATTTATACGTGCGATATACATGATCAACTGTATGGAGCGGTAAATGTGTCAAAAGTAATTTTACCAACGGTAGTAAATCGTTTTACCACCGGTGGTGAAAATAATGCCATCATTTATACCTTATAATGGATAAACGCACAGACCTTTTGGCCAAAAGGGGCTATATAATGCCAACGTATGAGTCCTATTGTCCAATAAATTCTGGAACTCAGTCCTCAGATGGGCCACCAGCTGCTTCAGGGCAACCAACCAACGCGTCCTCTGGGCTGAGGCACACTGCCCCCCACTCATCAACTACATCCACTACCTGAAAACAAAGTTCGCCATCCGCGTCCTACTCGCCCACCCCCTCAACAACCCAGTGACAGGGCGCTGCCACCCCTCCTTCCCCACCCTGACCCCCGACAGGGTCCCCTCCCACACACGCCTCCTCCGCGGCCGCCCTAACCCACCCAAAAAATGGAACTCAACGGCAACTAAGGGGGTGGCCCACCTCCCCATCGAACATCTTTGCCACCTCCTCCAACACCCAGTCACCAGAGGAACAGATCATAAGCTCCTCCCAAAGCTAGCAAAACAACAAATGCTAGACAATTGGGCACACGACTTCCCAACACCCCCCTACTACTCCTTCCCCCTCACCACAAGCCCTGAACCCTTCATGGACCTACACAAATTTACGGCTACTCGAATCCACCAAATGAGAGCCCAAAAAAGCTACTTCAGAGGCCACAAGTCTTGGCTCAACCTCCACCTCTCCGAAAAGTACGACAGATGCGGCGAAGCCCCTGAAACCACCGAGCACGCCATCCTCCTCTGCCGAGCAAAAGCAACCCAACGCGCCCAACTCCTCCCAGGAATCAAAACCCTTGAGGAGATCTGGAGTGACCACACCAACACACTAGCTCTAGGAGCCTTCATCACCGCCACCAAAACGAACTTCCCCAGAAAGGAACACATCTCCCCCCTCCTATCCGGATCTGAGACATCAAGTGCCCTCAGCTCCCCCCCCTCCACCACCTAGCCACCGCAAAAACCCAACCCAAATCAGGGTACCCCGCACCCACCAAAGACCCTCAAGGGGCAACAGGTTATTTGAAACCAGCAGGAAGATTTCTTATGTTGGACATGGGCCACCAAAGCGTCAGTTTTCCTTGCAGTCAACCAGCCAGATTGTCAGTTCGTTTGTGTTTTGCTTGTTTTCATTGTTTTCCTTTGTTTATCTGGGGTTGTGGAATTTAGTTTCTAAGTCGGGGAGAGGTATTTTTATGCCATAGTCTAAGACTGCATGCAGAGTTTTGTACCTAGAATTAATTAAAACTACATGATTTAAAAAAAAAAAAAAAAAAAAAAAAGAGTCCTATTGTCCACCGGTGGGGAGTTTCACCATTGGTGACGGGTATATTACCACCAGTAGCAGGTATTTCACCACTGGTGGGAAACTTTCATAAGTGTTGGCATTAATGATTGAACACCTACTAATGAAAAGTATAGCGCAGCATAAAGATCGATTGAAACTCAGTGTTTATACTGGCACAGGGACCGAAATTCAGTACTTATACCACCGGTGGTAAATAGTTTATCAACCATTGGTAAAATTACTTTTGACACATTTACCGCTCCTTACAACTGGGCAGCACCTAAAGTACAGCGGTAGGTACAAGTAATAAGTGATGGAACGCCCTGAAATAGGTATCACTGCATGTGTCTCGGGCCGTCCCATCACTTATTATCTACCGCTGTAGAAGAATCCAATATATGCCAGGCCTGCCGCGTGACGACGTCCAGCGGATACCAAAAAGAGTATATATGATACACTCCCCACCCCTCCCTTCCCCTTCGAAAAGCTCCCTTCTCTCTCTCTCTCTCTCCCCCCCCCCTCCCCCGCCCCCCCCCCCCCCCTTTCTAATGCACTACACAGTAAAAAAGAACCAATCCCCAATCCCCAAACCGAAGAAAAGTATCGAGGGTGGTGTAAAAACTACACACTAATCATACCGCATCACTCGGTTTTCGGCCTCGCTCCACGTACTATATATACTCGGCCCCGCACGGGACATCTGCGTGTAAGCACCCGTACCAGGCCATTGCCGGTCATCCTGATTTACGACTCTCTTTGTGGCGATGGTGGTTGCGTCCGATTTCCCCACCGGGTGAGTGGGAAGGGACAGAAAACACCCATACGAACCGGGATAGTACTAGCTAGTAGTCTCTGTATATCGCCCTGAACTCAGGCCGGTCTATGCATAACCCGATAGCTGTATGGTTGAAGCTACACGTACGTAGCAGGGCCACGCAAATCAATTGATATGTATCTACTCTTCTACACAGCTCCAATTAACAGCCATGGAAGAAAAGAAACCTACATACCTACCAGTATCTCGACAACGTCATCGAGTGATATCCCATGATGAACCATAAACAATAACGCACACCAGCTAGCGAGCTAGCTAGCTATAGCTCCTCTCTCAATATATTCGATCGATTTACGAAACCACATGCACGTCTAACACGACAATATCTTTTATTCCATTCCCCGTCCCCCGTCCCCGCCCCCTCCCCTCCCTCCTCTCAAGCTCCCACTCTCTCTTCTTTCGATCCCTTCAGCTACATGCCATCCACATTACCGCACCCACTGCGCGCCTAAAAGAAGTAAAAAAATAAAAATAAAAAGAGCTATAGTAGATATAGAAAAAGAGAAGAGAAGAAGAAATGATAGCACGTGCAAGAGCAAGAACGATACTCATCCTACATAACCCCCCCCCCCCCCCCGGATCGGCCGGCCTCTATATGCCCCCTTATATTCCGTCTCTCTCTCTCTCTCCCTGCCACCTATGCAGTAGCTACAAGACAGACAGAGAGGGTAGATAGGGGGGGCAACATACAGAAAGCTAGAAGTTAGGCGGAGTAGCTATAGATGATGATGATGATGATGATGATAGTGATGATGTGAAGGGATATATAAAAACCCATGCAGCCCGAACGAAGAAGATGAAAACGAGTAAGAAGGAAACCGAAGAAGAAAAACAATGGGATATCCTAGCTAACGAATTAACAAAAAAAAATTCAAAGACGTCGGATATCATGACATGACCGCCCCTCTTCATTCATTCATTCTTTCTTTCTTTACTCAACCAGCCAGACAACAACCTACTACTACTAACACACACACACACACACACACACACTACCCCGAAACCGCAGACAGCGCGCACACACGCACGCACACACGATAGATACGCAAGGTACATGTAGTAAGTACGCCCCCCGGGTCGGAAGTAAGGTTAATACTTCCACAAGAAGAAAAAAGACAAAAAAAGTATAGGATAATAAAAATAAAAAGAAAAGCAGAAGAAAGAAAACTAATACCCAGAAAGAAAAAGGAAAAGAGAAAAAAAGAGAAAGAAAAAAACAGAGAAACCTTTCATACGCCCATTCCCGGAGCCATGCCACACGCACCAGACCGCCACACGCCCCATCCCACTCTGATTTCCATTTCCGCCCCTAAAAAGCTAAATGAACTCAAAGTGGTAAGATAAATATGCGTGCTATATTCCTGACCTGACCCCATCATCTTCTTTCATTTTCGCGTTTTGCCCCTACCCAACCCCGGCCCGCCCCCCCCCCCCCCCCCCCCCCCCACCCCCCAATTTCCAATTCATTCATTCCAATCTCATTTCCCGTAGCTCAATTCCTATTACAGCGTCGAATTTTTTTTTGGTTGTTTCGTTTCGTTTGCTTTACATCACATCCTGATACAGCAGCAATGGCTCCCCGACGTGTTCGATTTCGGGTATGGTGCATTTCAGGTCGAAAGCTTTCGACAGTACGATTTTAAAGATCTGCCCCAGTTATACTAATTAGCTATACCGTCCCCCAAAAACTATAGAGAGAGTGAGAGGGAAAAAAAAAGAGAAAAAAAGCATACCTTCTGCACATTGATGCTATGACTCGTACTCGAAAAGATTAACGACGCCTTCATCGCCCTCGCAAATTTCCTCGCCTGCTTCGAGATCTCCTCCTGGTCCTCCCTCGGGAAATTTACAAAGTGGTCATACTTTGTGCCCACCAAGAACGGGATCGCAGTCTATATAGAAAAACCTCCCAATTAACCAACCGCCCCCTCTCTCTCTCTCTCTCTCTCTCTCTCTCTCCCCCCCCCCCCCCCCCCCCAAACCTCCCCGGGCCCTAGTAACCCACCGAAAGAGAATAGCTCACCTTATTGAATCCCCGAGCCTGCCGGTACCATTCCTTGATGCTGTTGAGGGTGCTCTTCCGCGTCAGGTCAAACATAAAGAGGATCGCGACGGCGTCGTTGCACACGAGTGGTAGCATGTTGACGAATTCCCGCTGGCCGCCGAGATCCCAGATTGAGAATGTGATCTCCGTGTTGCGGATGGATATCGTCTTCTCCATAAAATTTACACCTACCCGTTTTTGCATGATCGTCAGTCTAGCACCAAACGGGGTGCAGAGGTGCAAGAATAGCAGATAGTAGGGGTCAAGGATAGGGGGAAGTTGTTGGTTTCCCCAGAATATGACTAGCTGTCAAGAGTAGAGTAGGTGGGTATAGGAAGAGAGAGTGTGTGGAGGAAGACAAAGACGACGACGACGATGAGGGGGGGGAGGAGGAGGAGGAAGGGGGTGACAAACCAAGAGTCTGGATATAATCCTCATCGAAACTACCCTCTACATACTTTACCATCAGACTCGTCTTTCCAATCTGCGCATCCCCCACCATCCCCACCTTGATGACCACGCTGTTCCGCTTGGCCTCCGCCCCTTGCCCACCACCCGCCGCAGCGCCCGCGGCCGAAGTAAAGCTGTTCATCCCACCGCCGTTACCGTAGAGCTGTGACTGAGAGAGAGGAGGGGTGCCCGAGTGTCGTTGGTCGTCCCCTATATTTGCGCGCGAGGGCGAGTTTGAGTCCTGGGGTGAGAAGGCTAATGACGGGTCGGAGGAGGATGTGTAGTGCTCCTGTCGCGGCGTGGCAGCTACGTCTATGTCGATGTGGGAAGGGAGAGAGCCGTTGTTCTCGAGGGGTGGAGGAGTGGTTGTCATTTTTATAGGAGGTAGGTGGTAGGTAGGGTGGTAGGGTGGTAGGTGGTAGGTGGTAGGTGGTAGGTGGTAGGTGGACGTACGGCGGAGGAGATGCAGGAGAGGGTTCGTGAAGCGAGTTAGTGGGAGAGGAGGTGATTCGGCCAAAGATGGGAGGGGGGTGGGGGGGCGAAGAAAAAAAGAAGGTTGTGAGTGGTTGTCAGGTGTAGGTACTTTCTTTCTTTCTTTCTGCTTTCCCTTTTCCCTTTTTCTCGTGATTGATTTTTTGACGAGATGGACGGGGGAGTTCTTTTTTTTGTGGGTTGCGCGAGAACGGTTGCAAGATCACACAACTGTACACGGTCTTGACTCTTCGATCACTTTCTTACCCCCGTTTCTGGGCAGTGACGGGTGGTTGTGTTTCGAAGGAAGAGCACTCAATCGAATCAAGAGAGGGAACCAGAATGAAACAAAACAGAGCCTCTTTGGCAGGCCTAACTACAAAATGGAACCACCAATGAGCGGTTAATTGGTGTGTATGTATGTGTATGTATGTATTTGTTGGAGATGAGGAGAGATGGATGATGATGTACGAGAGATGAGGGCAGAGAACAGAGAGAGAGAGAGAGATTAGATAGGGACAGATTAGATATGTAGGGGTGTGACTTGTAGGGGTGTGATTTAGACGAGTAGAGAAGAAGGCTTTATTATTATGTAGAGGGAGAGGAATATGAGGATTAAAGAGCGGTGACTATGTGACACACACAGGTTAAAGAGATGAGGAGTCAATAGAGATGAATGTAGGTACGAGCAGCTCAATCACCTCGACACCAATTGTGAAGAGAGAGATGTATTTTAGAGAGAGATCAATGGATGGAAGGGAGGGTCCAGACAACCAGCCCAGGCCGTTGATGATGTCAGTTGTCGACGCCTGCCGTTGTTATCGTGAGGGGTGGGCGAGGGCATCACAGCACATGTCACTGTGGTGCACAGAGAGGAATGAACAGTATTCCATTTCAAATTATTCGTAGCGTCAACAAAGGGGATGGCCAGACCATCTGAATTCATTACATTTTATTTGCAGTGGTGCAATGGATGTCCATGTCGAGGGGGGGGAGATGGACACTTCCTGATGTTGCGGCTGACACACATCTCTAAGGGAAGTGTGGAGTTGTATTTATTAAAGGTGACAGACAGAGTGGGATAAGTACATACATGTACCTAGAGTACTCGAGTAGGTACACAGGAGAGGACATGAATGCAGTTTACAGCACTCCTCCCGGCCCGTGATGGGCGACCACATGGAGACAAGACGAGAACGGCCTGAGGACATATCTGGACGGGTGCTTGCATGATAACCTTCTCTGTAGCCTAACGCTCCTCCGGCTTGTTCAACGTTACAGTATTCAACACCGACATGCACCTATACCACTTCTTGCCTACCTCGAGCAGATCCTAACTGGTACTCGTTGTAAAAGTACATACGGTGCACTCTTCATAGGATGTACCTAGGCCTAGGCTGTACATCAAGCATGTCTCGTATCAAGATGTTTGGCTTCTCGAGCACCAACTCGGGACTTGAAGCGCCCCTAGTATAACATCTTAGAGCGCTTGCTCTTCGAGCTACATCATCATCATCATATGTATAAACAGAGCCCCAAACAATTCCTCTCTTCCCTTCTAGACTTCTAGATACCACACGCTGAGACTCCCAGTCCTTCTCAACTCACATTGCCCCATCCGGCTCGGCTGCTTCCGAGTTTCACCACACCCCTGCCCCGCCACAGCCAATAGAGAATTCTCCTCGCCCTCCATCATGGAATCAAGCCTTTTCACCAAGACCTTGGGCCCATCGACCCCCCTTCCTGCTTGAGTGTAGGTACATACAAGTTACTGACTGACTGACAGTCGAGGAAACCACCGGCCCTCCCCTCCCGCACCCCCGGACAAGAAGAAACCTCTCTGCCCACCACCACCACCACCACCCCAGTGTCAGAGTGAATGTCCGAGAGACACAGGCCTGCAGGATAGCCGTTGACCACGCAAACCACGGCCCCCCTGTCAGATAAACAGCAAGAGTCCAGTCCAGTCCAGTCCCCTCCTCCTCCTCCCCTCGACGTTGGACAGTCAGGGAGTGGGTAAAGGAAGAGGAAGAAACAGAAGAAACAGAACAAGAAGAAGGAGAAGGAGAACGGAGAACGGAGAACGGAGGGAACCAACCACGCGGGAGTGGTATTTGTTTTTTCCCCACAAAACACAAAGACGTACATACGTCGGGGGATACATATTGATATTCAACATACCGTCCCTGTACCGTGGATCACAGGAAGAAGAAAGGAAAGACAAAAAGAAAATTAAAAAAAAAAGGAGTCTGATCACTGCCCCCTCAAAGCTCGGATCACAGGTTCTGACATCGCGTGGAGCTTTATATTGCGCCCCCCCCTTGGATCCTGTCGCCATCGAACGAACGCGGACATATATATATATTTCTCAGTTCCCTGCCAGTCGAGTTTTTGAAATCCCAACTTCAATTCACCCACTCGCCGTCTGTCTGAGGTAGACTCGGCAATCTACCCCACAGTCCCCGCTCCCTCCCTCGATGCGTCCCGTTGCAACACGGTACGCTCCCGCTCCTACTGCTGCGCACTCCCTTGTCGACGACACCATCACCACCACCACCATCACCAGTCCTCACTCGCTCAGTGCATGCCAATAGCTAGCTATAATGCCACGCCAAAACTGGAGGGCTCCCACTTCAACAACGATTCGCCCCACAACCACCGCATACGTGATCCCCGAGTCATGTTCGCCTTTCACCATGTACCCAGGCTATACAATTAGCCTTTCTCCCGGGTCCACCCTCACGCTCTCCGACAGCGCCATAGCCACCCCTGAATGCTGGACCAGCACGCCAACGCCCACCGGGACAGCGTCGGCGATGCCTGATCTCGACGGCGGCGCCAGCTCAGAAGACCTTGCAGCGAGCGACCTGAGAGACCCGTTTTATGCCAGTACAATCCCAATGGCATATTCAATATCCGCTACTACAACACTGGCATATGTCCTCTTGTTCCTCCTGTTCCTCCCCAACCCGCCCAACTCACGACCATGGCTCCAGAAGGTAGCCACTCTCACCGTGGTAGTATGCCTCACCATTGCCTTTGCAGAAACAACAACAGTGCTCGAAGAGGAATACAAACTCGTCGGCTCATCCCTCTACTCCCTCACCAACGAAGCACGTGAAGTCCGCCGCCGCGTCGTCGGCGGAACCGTCATCAGAATCGGCCGCATCATCTCGGACCTCTTCCTATGGCTCGCCCAAGTGCAAACACTGATCCGCCTCTTCCCCCGGGAGCGTGAAAAGGTGATCATCAAATGGGCAGGCTTCTGCCTCATCCTCCTCGACACGATTTTCAGCATCCTACAGACCTTTGTCTCACCGCTCGCAACAGACCCCGACAGCTTCCTGGACGCAATACCGGCACTATCATACCTCTTCCAGATTGCGCTCTCTCTCCTGTATGCCTCGTGCGTGATGTACTACTCCTTCGCCAAGCGCAAGTACTCATACCTGTACCCGCACTCCTTCTTCAAGCCCGCGCCGCCAGGCTCAAAACAGTACGGCGGCCGCAGTATCGTCCTCGTCGCAATCCTCAGCATCGCAAGCGTCCTCACGCCCATCGTCTTCTTCGTGCTCGACATCGCACAGAAGGATCTCGCCGGCTGGGGCGACTACATCCGCTGGGTCGGCGCCGCCTCCGCATCCGCCGTCGTCTGGGAGTGGGTAGACCGCATCGAAGGCCTCGAGCGCGAGGAATGCAAAGGCGGCGTCCTGGGTCGCGAGGTCTTTGACGAAGACGAGGACGAAGACGACGGCTTCACCAACGCAACAAGGCGACGAAGAACCCGGCGAAGAAGCGGGGACGACGAGAACGGCGGCGGGGGAGGCGGGGGAGGCGGCGCAAACGGTATTCCGCTGAGTCGGGCCACCACCGTCACGAGCGCCAGCACGTCGTATGCCGTCAATGTGAGGCGGGTCGACACCGCAAACACGTTCATCGAGCGCTTCGGCACGCCCAGCAGCAACGGCGGTGGTGGGGGTGGCGGCGCCGGCGGTGCCGGAAGTGTTAGCGGAGTAGGCGGCGGGGGGCTCGGCCGCGGCCGCGGAACCCCCGGCACCGTCCGCAGCGCCAGCACCGTCAGTGGGCGGCACGCCACCCCCGCAATCTCCGAAGAAGTCGCCACGAGCGCCGCAGCAGACGCCTCATCATCACCGCCGCCGCTGCCGCTGCCGTTGCCAGTACCGTCAAGAAGACCAGAAACTGCGTCCGCAGACGAGACCCCCGCGGGCCAAGCGGTGGTCGAGGATAGAGAAGAGGGTTGGGAGGATCATCATCGACGCAGTCCTAGTCCGCCATTTACGGCTGTTACAATAAATACGCACAGCAGCAGCAACAACAACCTTCACCCCCCGACTCTGCCGGCGCCGTCGCAGTCTTCGGAAACGCTCTGGCGGTGGCGGAAATGGCGGCAGGAGACGTCGGCGTCCGCGCCTTCTGCTGCGTCGCTGCCAGTAACAATCATCCCTGCTCCGCCCCGGGGAGCGCAAGGATCGTGGGGGGCGGTGGAGAGGGCACGGGCGATGGCGGAGGCGGAGGCGGAGCGGGATGGTAGCAGTAGAGTTGAGTTGCCGCCGAGTAGTAGGGGTAATGAGACTGTGGGTCGGGACTGGGGCGATAGATAGGTCCCCCGGGGGGGTATCTTTTCTAGCTTCTCTTAATTCTTCAATTTTCTCTTTTTTTTTTTTTTTTTTTTCCGTTATGTATAGAGGGTAATCTAAAATAAAAATGGGGGGGAACAAGAAATAACTAACTAAAACTGACTTGACGTGGTGGTGCTGATGGCGCGATGTGGATCATGCTTTTGCGCGCTTTTATTTTTTTTTTCCCCCGTTATTTTCTTATGTACAGTGGATTGGGAGGTTTTTATACCTAGGATCAGGATTTTGCAATTTGGGGTTCATTGATTTTTTTTTATCTCTTTTTTGCCATAGTTACGGTTGGGATGCATCATTTATTCATTCTTCTTCTTACTTCTTACTTCTTACTTCCTATGCTTCTTTCTATGTAGCTTGCGTCTGCATATATGCGCACAGAGAGGAGGTGTTTTTTCTTCTACCGTACTGGGGAATATGTATTTAGTTTTCTTCTTTTCTTTCTTCCTTTTATGACCTATAGCTTTTTTTTGGCATTATGATGATTATTAGCAAATATATCCCATTTCCAACAATAATTAACTTGGTAGAGGTTTTGATATTGTATTCGTCCGTGTGTTTGAGCGAGTGATGAGCCATGTCTCAAACATATTCCTACATAAGTACACACACATCTAGTGATGTTTAAATAAGTATATAGGGTTTCTGATCATTGACAGGCCAATATACTTTGCTATTTATTAGCTACTTATGTAGCGTACCTACATGTACCTACGTAGGCACATACATACACTGGCTGGACGCATCAACCCGTGGTTTATGTACTCTACTCTAGATACGTGTACCTACATCAATACAAGTAGAGTAGCCTTTCATCCGACGGCCGGCTTCCATTAGCGCAACTAAACGTAGGGGACTTTGACACTTGGTATGCGGGGGCTGGTAGTCTTTCTTAGTTCGTTAATTGGACGGTGAAAACGGTATTGGCGGGTTTCGGCCAGCACACTAGCTAGTAGCGCTGCTTCAGTGACATTTGATGGCAGCTACCATGCACGTAAATATCAAAAAATCTAAACTCGGACTTCATGGTTCATGCACTCTTTTAAAGAGGCGTTCATGAGTCAATGATATTCAATGCTTTTTTCTCCGAAGCCCCTTTACAGAAGAAACCAAATATTAAAAACCATCCGATCATTTCCAACAATAGATACTAGAATGTTTTAGGGCGTCAAACAATTCGTTTCTATACTACAGGTAACACGCATCAGAGCCCCTTATAAACCACATCGAAGTTCACCCCCCCAACCCCCACCCCCACATACACCCTACGATATATTGGGCCACGATCGAGTGCTTGCTCTATTTACCGTCATGAACTCATCACTCGTTATATATCAATAACCTTGAGCTATAACCGGACCGGTGTGGTTATATGGAAAGGATATATAGGAGTATTACTTGAAAAAGGACTTACTAGTCATATATATCATATGCTGACCCCCCCCCCCCCATAATAGAGGAATGAGAGATCTGTTATTTGATAAGATAACACTACGATCATGACCAGCTGGCAAAAGCTACATTCTTGGCATCAACTTTCGGGGGTTTCGTGTCAGCTGTTTACTGGCAGAGTAAGGGATGTGTCTGTGATGGTAATATCATACTTGGTTGGGCTTGGTTGTGGCGTTCGTTCGATCGATGGGCGTATATACGTTAATAAGTAGTAAGTAACTCAGTACATAGAGAGAGGGCCAGCCGGATATATGCTGTGGAAAAACACCACACTCATCATCATGCAGGCCTAACTACTACATACTTCATGGTCCGTACATACCAAGGACTCTACTCGAGGTACCGATGAAGGAAATTAGTCGGCATCTATATCACGTTTGACCTGACTACTCCCGAAGTCGAGAATCATTGATACTAGATAATTTTCTGGCCGCATTCAAAGACTACACGTAACTTCACTACATAAATAAAGACACGATTCGGAGAGGCCTCGCACCCACACGTTTGGGTAGTCTGGAGTTAGCATTAAATCTAGCCTTAGGTCCTTGCTCCCTTCTAGCTATCCACGATCCGTGCCGAAATAGTATACATCTTAGCTACCTTTATATAGAATCAGAATTCAAACAACTAAACACTCCGGCAGTCCACAGGCTAGACCATCTTTTCAAACTATATGCTGACTACACTCAGAACAGCTCGGGGATCTAGAAACTCACAATTAACACCCAAACGGCCAAAAAGCCGAAAGCTGAGTAACATACTAAATTCGTGCCAAACGGCCTACGTTAAAGTCCGAAACACCAGCACAAGACTCTAGCTGATCCATGCACTCCATACCATGCCATCCACTCTAGCTAACTAGCGCCCGCCAGACATACAAGCTGCCAGGGTTTGATCCTGGTCCAATCATAATCACTAATATAATGCTCCGATTCTGGTTATAGACTAACCCCACTTTCGACTAATACCACCGGATCGACCACAATGTACTCTATTTGCAGGCCCCTATATAGATACATGTAGATAGCTACAATACTTTATATACATGTTATGTGATGTGATGTGATGTGATTCGGCTACTGAGCCCGTCCAGATAACCGCGCACCTTGTGGGATCAAAATTGAAAGTTTACCACGACCACCGGCGGCCTCACAGAAGGAATATATGTATGCAGATGGAGTACTCTACATAATCAAATGCCGGTAAACACTTGCTGCATAAAATCTGTAGATCTGTCAGTGCAAAGCACGCTCTCGGCCCCCCTTTGGTCATTGAGCGTGATCACCAAACTCCGATTTCAGGTAGAGTGCTTTGCTATAGGCTCTCTCTGATCTCGTCCTTGCTTGCAGCCTATCATATCAGCTCGTGCGCAATTGGTACGGCGCATGGCGGAACGAATAAACTTGCTGTGTTACACATAGAGGTCGAGCTTTTGCATAATGCAGCATAAATTCCGCCATACTTTTTTTTCTTTTATTTTTTTCTTGTTATGATACAAAGGATCGCAATTGATTGAAGCAGCAAATATTTCTCTTCTTTTTCTTCTTCTCGTCTTTTTTTATCAAAGCTAACTAGAGAGCTATAATCGCATCTACTAGAGTATAATAACCATCATGCATCCCCTCTACCGCCTTCATCATATACACCCAATCCATCTCGTCTGATACATATATGTACTCACTCCCCTGAGTTTATAACACCATCATGACCGGTTTCGAAACCAGTATAAGTAGGAGTAATGTAAAGGGAGTAAATATACATGACAAAGAAAGTACTGGCCATTACATACTATTAATCGGACTAAAGTATACTTATGAGGAAAGGAAACCCAGAGACCATATGAAATAGATGCAAATTTAAAAAAGAAAAGCCAGGTAACAAGGGAAAGAAAAAGAATGAAAGAAAAAAAAAAATGAAAAAAAACGCCTCAAGAAATGATGTGTCGCGAAAACCCCTTGTAAAAGTTATGCATATCCTCAACGCTGCCCTCTTTCCCCACCCTTCCAGTTCCCAGCTAACCCCCCCGCATCCCATATACCCCAAGTCATGAATTTTAATCTCATGAAGAAGCCAGAAAGAAATGATTTTAAGAAGAAAACAAAAAGAAGAATGAACATGAAGAAACAAACATAAAATACCATAATCCATGAAAAGTTTAGACGTTTTCATTATTCTCGCATCATTTCACTCCTTCCCCTTCCCCTTTCCCATTACAACATCCTTGCCCCAACTAAGGGTAGATCCGCGCGGTGTTAGCCCGGCAGTTCCTTGCCCTATTGAATCGGCAGCGGCAGCGGCAGCAGGTTGATCTGCGAATCTGATTCCCGGGCTCTTTGTTGGGCTTGTAGGGGTTCCACGGAATTTACCATCATCATCACTATCAGATTCGTCTTCAGCAGTGATTCCAAGAGCGGCTTCTCGGCGCTTCCTCTCGGCAGCTGTTTCCTCATCTCTCTCATCACCGAGCTTCTCGGCATTAGCATCGGGGACGCCAGCCTTGAATCCCGAGTTAGAAGTGACGGTCGCAGTGGAAGAACCCGAAGGATCCTCTCGTGACATCAATCCTTGGGATGATGGGATTTGTTGAAGCTCCTGTTGGCCTCCGGTAGCGTTGCTTCTTAAGGCTTTCACAAGTTGTTCCTCTTGGTTGCCTGTTAAATCACTCCTGCTGACCATGGCAGCACGGGCATGAGGATCCATCTTCTGTAGTTGGTGAAGGAAGTCTTGTTTGCTCATCTTCCTTCCGCTCTCGTCATGCATACGGAAGTGTATACCGTGACTCCCACGAGACTGCGAGTACACAGTCTTAGCATCAGAGTCGTCGTCAACTTCTTCTTCCTCAGCAGCGGATGAAGGGCCAGCTTTGGATTTTTTCTTCGCAAACATTGTTGCCCAATCTGATAAGGTTTTCTTCTTCTGAGTTCCAGTCGGTTTGTCCTTTGGAATTTTGTATCTCCTGATTACTTCACCGTCTTCATCCTCGACGATAATATTGTCGTCAAATCTATAAGCCCAAGCGGGCTTTCTAGTTCGTCCGTTACTGCTGCTTTCGGCACGAGCTGCATGTAGCGCAGATCTTTCATCGGTGACTGCCATTGTCAGTGGTAGAGATGACTGTGTTTTCTCGGTATCCTCCCGTCGTTTCTCTTTTTTAGCCTCGTTGGGATGTACAAGTTTTTTTCCGGCGGCCTGAAGATGGCTAGTGTCGAGAGGGTCGACGCCTTCATGTTCACGTTCTGGAGACCTTCCTTGTCCCACGACATCACCTTGCTTGTTCTCAATAATAATATCGTGTCCTTCTTGGAAAGCGTTCAGATTACTCTGGCCATCTGTGGGCGATGTTGGTGTTTGTGATAACGGAGATGTTGGTGATGCAAGTTCATATCCATACTGTCTTCCTCTATCTGCTGCTTGTTCTGGAACTGCAACTATGATGTCCTCGTGTCTTCTCCCCCTAGGCCGAATTGCGGATTCAGAGATCGGCCCACCAGGTCCCATCCCAGACTCCCAATTCTTTCTACGCTTAGCCTTGATACTTGCTGGTCTCGAAGCTGGTCGGCTGGCAGCAGGGCTGTCGAGAAGTTCCTTTGACAACAAAAACCCGCCGCCGCCGCCAGAAATACCACCAGGAGGTGGGAGAGTTCCAGGGGGGAACATTCCGCCATTTTCCGACTTTTCATTCATCTCATCTGCGTCGGGTCTTCTGATACTCATAGAGGTCTTTGGGGTTATTCTTGGCATTCTCGCAAGCCAGCTAGGCTCCTCATTCGCGGTAGTGTAAGACATGGTGATCTTCATTGTATTGATACGTTTACCCAAGGTGAAGACTGCAATGGAGGATCCGTGAACCACGATTGAAGATATGACCAAAAATGTTGTTATAGGCCATATCAACTCGATAATCATATAGTTATGGCTCCCAGGCTGCGGTAATACTGCAAGTGGCGTGGTATCTCCAGTCTCCAATTCGGCCCTAGCCAAAATAGCAACGAAAATGGCACCTACACCAATAGGTCCAAAGTGGCCAGCAAATAGCGCTTCTCGCCAAGTTTTGATATCGGGTATGAGAGGCTTCATTGCAACCATAATCGGAATTCGCCGGAAGAGAATAACCAGTAACGCTATAACGACCAATCGCCAGGGTGTGATACCCCAATCGGGACGGTTATAAGACGACCACGGGATAATTGAGCCGAAGTACACAAAGTACGCCAAATTGAGTAGCAGATCGATAACGTTAGAAACGTGGGATTCCTCGGTCTTCTGCGCGAACCAGCCATCGTTTGAAAATGCAACACCGGCACAGAATCCAACCAAAAGATCGTCAAGCCCCAACATACTACCTGTACCAGCGCACCAGAGTGCGAGGACGAAGTAGAACACGAGGAAAGATTCTCGATCAATCAAATTCTTCCTTTCGGCCCATTTGATGGCTTGGCGACCTGCATACCCAATGCAGACGCCGTAGATAGATCCGAACAAGCATTCATATAAGACTGTCAGACAGAACCAATGCTGGAAAACAGAAGTTGCATCCGGGCGGTAGTGGATCAAGTACAGTGCAAGGTAGATGAACGGGAATGCCATCCCATCGTTACACCCAGATTCGGCAGACAGTACGTCCCTCAAATGCTTCGGGATACGCCTTGCAAACTTCCCCTTACCAACGACAGAGGACGCAAGAACAGGATCGGTAGCGGTGACGCAGGCGGCACATGCAAGGGACTCGAGCCAGGTCAACGGCTCAATCATCCACCAGATGAAGAGTGACGTGACAAGCCACCCCCAAGTCATAACGGGGATCAGAAGTACCAAAACGGACTTCCAATGGCGTTCCATATATTTCTGCACAGCATCCAACCACGTAAGCTTGTGAAACCAAACTAGGAAAATACATGTAGTCATACCTTAGGCAATTCTACGCCTACTGCAAAACACTGGACAACTAAGACGATCCGCGAGGCCTCGAGCGTGATTTGATCAACATTTCCCCATGTACTAGGATCCAACAACCCTGCACCGTATGGTCCGAATATAATACCACATATCGTCGCCACAGCTAATAAGAAATCATCAGCAAACATTCAATATAAAAGGATCGAGAGTGGTAGCATACTAGCTTCGCCAATATACAGCTTCTCCTTAATAAACAAGGATACAAGCATGAAAATACTGGTAAAACCACCGAGAATTATGTACGCCAGATGTGGCTTATTTATCTATATGAGTCGTGGATATTAGCTTAAGACCACTGATACCCTCATGATAGCGAAAATAAAAAAGCAAAAAGATATATTCGGCCCCAATCTCAAGTCACCAATCATCACCACTGAGGTTCACGAACCCCACGCCAAGATCGGTGCCAAGGTGTGCCAATGTATGCCAATGTATGCCAATGTATCCTTGCATGATCACAACCAAAAGTTGAGTAAAGACAAGAAAAAAAGCGAGGAACTCCATGAAGAGTAAACAAGCAAAAGCTCAGCCCACAAGAAAATATCTTGAAGGAATAAGCTCGGTTCTTCCTCGGAGCTCCTCCTAAAACAAATTAAACTGCCGAGAGGACCCCGACAGATTTTCCCGAATTCGGCTCCAGCAGCGGCAATACCTACCAAATCTACCCACTCCTATCATCTCATACAGCGGCTTGGGACCAAGAAACCCAAGACTCCAACTGTGATGCGGTGCATACCACCCTCCCCAAATTGCGCGCAAGCTTGCCTTCTGCCAACCGTATTCCTCCGAGATCCCAACAACTGCGACTAAAGGATAAAAGGAGGGCAGAGGGGGAAAAAGGAAGAAAGAAAAAAAAAGGCTGGGAGACATAGAGACAGAGGATAGAGAAGAATGATCAAGGTACTTACGTTTAGATGATCCCAAGCCATCTTAGATTATTCCTCTTTTTTTGTTTCGATTTTTTGTTGTAGTTCAGGTTCCTCTCAGTGGATGTCGTGAGGTGAGGCGATAATTCGTGATTTAAGAACCAAGAACGGTTAAGAACTAGCGTTCTCTATTTTCGCACTAATGTGCTCCCTCGTTTCTTGTCCGCGGGATTTTGAAAAGCTTAGGTAGTGAACGAGTAACAAGTTAACGACTATTTCCTAGAAACGAGAATCAAACGGCCAAGCTGTCAGTCAAACGGCTACTGTCAAGGAGAAACAAGACCGAATCTTCGTCCTTTCAGACCCGCAGCACAATAAAAGAAAGACAAACCTGTCGTGTCGAAGCTCACAGAGGCTATCACGATTCAAAAACGACTGAGTCAGTGCGGAGCAAAGAGGCTTCTTTGGTGGCCGCGTCCGATGATGGCAGTGATTGGGCACAAGAGCCGCAGACTGGAAGATTTAGATGACCGCTTCCGTTGATTATCCAATTGTGCACGTCCCAACGTGATGGAATCGTCACCACAAATTGACCCTTTGTGCGAAGAAAGGTACAGTTGTGAGTGTGGATAAGGAAGTCAAGAGGGAGGAAGAAGTCAAGAGGGGAGGAGAGAAATAAGTAAAGAGAGAAGAGAAGGACCAGCAACAGTGGCAGAAATGAAGGACAAATCATTGGATAGTATGGGCAAAAATGAAATAACCCCCCCGGCTCTTTACAGAGTACTAGTTCAACCGCATAACACATAAGCGAGAGTCCTTTGGTATCTGGTCTCTCTAAAATCACACCTATTGCAGCAGGGTTTCTTCCGTACGTCATGCAACTATGAACCGTCAGCCAGCCAAGACTTCTTCTCCCCACTTCGGGGCTCCTAACAGATTGATCCGTTGTCTGGGCGAGATCAACCACAACGTTAACCAAGAAACTTTAGATTTTAATTTTTATTACTCGTGGGATCTGAAAGATTTTGGGATAGTTTCGGTGATGATTACCTACCCATATCTTATTCTATGTTGAAGAATTTTAAAGTAAGTGGAATGCCTGTTATTATGCAGGCGTGCTTTTTAGAAGCCCCCTTGACATTGCTGTGGCTTCAAGGCTAATGCAGGTATAGATACCATGTATTTTCAAACTAGAGTAGAGCTGCTTGTCAATACTCTAGAGCACACTCTACAGTACTTTAGTCTGAACAAGCTGGACACTTGATTGGAGTCTGCAGTTAGAGTTAGAGTAGAGTACAACGTGGGAGCTAATAAACCCCCACTACCCACTACCCTACTTTATTAATAGGTACTCGAAGCAGAAAAGCTTTGAATTAAAATCGCCAAATACATCCATCAAATATCCCGGCCCCCACCTTTTCGTCATGGTCACATCAAACCTCTAAGATCGATGGAGACCGACATGAGATGAGACAAGCTAAACATCTACTAGAGAGACAACGGGGCTGGGAGAAATGATTCTAAATCAAAAGAAAGCTTATGAAGGATTTGCGCCGCGGCCGCGCATAATGGAACAAGGCCAGTATATGGTGGAGGAAAAGAAATAAGTACAGCTGAAGTTACGCTTCATGAACTCAGTATACAACCCTGTAGCTAGGCACAGAGCATTAACTCCTCGGCGATCTTTGTTTGGCGAACTAAACAAGTTAGAGCAGGAGGCCATATGGCCATTCATTGTAAGGTACGTCTATTCTTGGGGGTGGTCTGTTGTTTGTATGATAAACTAAATCCGACAGGAATCTGATATTATGGAATAAATAGCAATATCAGCGGCGCGCATATCATTATTGATTCTCTGAGGTACAGTGCGGCCTCGGGGGCTGCTTCTTTCGGTCTATCGTCTGTGTGTTGGTATTCAAACCATATCAAAGACTTCTGTGTTCATGATTGTCAGGTTTGAGATGATATTCTCAAATTTAAGCAAGCATAGGGCTACTGATCGAAATCATCTGATGCTGGAAATATACAGATTTTAAAGGTCTAATTATAATTATACTGAACTGATCCCGAACCACCAAACTTAATTAAACACGATTCCAAGTTTAGGTTTTACAGGCCAATTCTAGTAGTTACGTCTGTTGACCCATGATTTAAAAAAATAGTTCAGTAGTGGCCATTAGTAGGCATAGTTGTCCCGAGGGTGGCAAGAAAACTCCATCGTTGCGGTATCCTGCAGCTGGTCAGAATCCCAACAAAGCGGTTGGAAATCAACTTGCACGAGATTGCTCATAGGATTCATGTGTAATTAAGGTTTGGGGACATCTATTCGACTGCTCATCAGTCTGGAAACAGGATAAAACCTCTCGAATAAGTACCGGCCTGCGGGAACCTAATCCGGCGGGAAGTTGCGCGCGTCTATGTACTAACAACGCTCCACGAGATCACAAACCCGTGATCATTTACCGTACATATGAGACGTACTACCACCATAGTACTCTACATAGTTAGACATATCAATGTGTACTACAGTGTGCCTTGCTACTGCACTTAAGCCACAGAGATTTGCAGCTCTCATACGCTTACCTCATATACCTACTAAAAGTGGGTTAACTAATCACACCAGTAATGTTTAAGATTTGCTGGTATTGTTTTAACTAAGAGTTACTGATCTATATACATGTAGATACTAGTACTCACACATGTACATGTCTACTCTATAAGGCGCTAATGTACCTATCCAGTCATTACTCTACCTACTGTTTGTGAGGGTTCAAGACTCACATGTATACCAGTAGTCAGATCTACAGATACATTAGTACCATATAAGGCAAGCGATTCGGGATAGCTTTCATCGGGACGATGACAGATAAACGGCGCCAGATTGGATGAATATCGAGTAGGGAGCTATAGGCCGACAGCGCCTGAGATAATGCTCGCTCTTAATCTTAAAGCCGTAGTTCGCTCCTTCCCTCAATGGATACTTTTTTGGGTCATTTCTAATGAAGTTTTTTGGCGTGATTCAATTGGAGGACTCGATCTATACTAGGAAAATGATTTTAACCCCGGGACAGATCATTAGGGAGTTAACTCCATAATCCAATACTGGCACAGTTCAGTAATCCACTTTTCATCATATGCCAATCCGGATACCCTATAGGGCTTCTCATATGCATCTGACTATTGGCAAGATCTTAAGATCACTGATCCTTGGATCCTATCTTACTCAAGTACATCATATCCAGTACATACATCATATGTACATATAATAGGTCGAAAGGAATACGAGAACAAGTTGAGACACACTCTCTGAACCGTTGAGTTGATTAGAAGAGAATGATCTTCAACTACCATGCCGCTGTCCCGACGGTAGTTGGTTAGGCATTGTGAAACCTTAATTCAAGCCAGTTTATTCGATTATGAAGCGAAGCACAGTTAAGTACCGTTTCTTCATGTTGGATTGTTGCTATAGCATGTAAGCAAAGCAAATCAAACCGGAACACACCGGTAAGCCCATTACATCTGTCAATGACAGGAAATGCTAGAACTAAACAACACCCAGGTCAATAGTACACTGCAACAGGCAGCAACACCAATCAATGCTGTTTTTTCTCTCGCAGACAAACACGAAGGTTTTGATATTACGCATTCAAATTGTTACCATCGCATTGAGGTGAAAAAAATGCGCCAAGACGCTGGTTTCCTAAATTCCGTGTCTTGCCAAGACCCCCGTCCAACCACCTCAAAAATTCCTTACTCTACGAGCCTACCTGCGAAGCTGCGTACATGTATGTACATGTATGTACCTACAAGCAAGCATGCTTGTTTAAAAAGCAGTATGAGTTTATTTCCAGTTTTCTTCTTCTTCAGAGGTATCAATATCATCTCAACTATTTAATATGTTGTGGGTGTGAAGAGGTTGCTTTCCCGGTACGTACCCTGAGTGACCAAAAAAGCGCCGTTCATGAGCAGTCAGATTTCAAACTCCCCTATCAGCCGGGTTTGGAACCGAACCACACACCTATGTACGAACCTGGCTGGTTCGAAAATGAACTGCCGGCGCCGTTCCCAGCGCAATGGACCCTGCATGAATGAGCGCGGCTCTGCGGGATCTAAAAAATTGGAGGGCTGGGAAGTGATTCGGTGAAAAACCTGGTTTATGGACTCATGGACTATCACTCGGCCGGGAAATGATTTCTCAGAGTGATTGATTTATTAAGTATATGTAGGTCGGCACCGCCACACTTATCCACTCTTTGAGTGTCCATTCTTTTTGTTGTTCTGTGCAGTACATAGCGCACATGGCTGAAACTAATAGTGACTAAACGGCTGCCTACAAAAGGTCTGGAATTTTTGTTTTTCAGGCCTCAAGTTCACCGCGTAACTTGATAACTGAAAAAATATCGATCTCCCATGGCCAGGTAGTACACGTGTATAAAGAGCCAACGATATCAAAGCAGGCAAGTTATAGATCGGGCGTCTCGTGCTTCAACGGTAAGTGTGCATTCGTGGACTAATACCAGAGGAAGAAGTCTAAACACGAGACAAAACGCATATGTGTGTTCTTATATTGATCTCCATACATCGAAATATTTTGGGCCAGACGGAATCGGCCGGGTCACAGTCAGAGCCTTTGAGTTTTTAGGCGAATTGCTGTCCTAGCCTTGGAGAAAGAATCGCTTCAACATGTTACACAAGCAAACACGGCGGTGCATATGAGTCGGAAGGCTAGGTACAGTGCGCAGTGCACCCTGTGATGTGTGTGCGCGCGTGCGGCGCCAAGATTTGCCGCGAGGTCAAACGTCGTACATGCAGTCATGAGTTGATATGGATGGACCTGCAGCTGGGCTCAAACAAACTTTGGTATTTGGGAACCTTGGGATATGGGCTGAGTACGGAAACCTTCCAGCTGGTATCTGGAGTCTATATGGGTTTAAGGGTCAACGAGACTGAGGTTATTACCAGCGTTTTAGGCCTCTCTTGAAGAGGTGTTGTGTTAGGAGTCTTATAATCCTAGTCAATTATGAACACCGAGTCATAAACTATGATCTCACCAGAATAGGAGGTAACCTTTTATATTTGGTTTTGAGCGATCATTTATCCACTGATCTTATGTTGAAGTTGTCATGAAATGTGATCGTGTTTCGCAAAGTATTTGAAGCGCCTATTGAACTTACTGTAACGTGATATACGTTGAACTTAAATAGGGTCCTGAAGGCTTTTAAGCTTTTGCCGCTGTTTTAATCTTGGTTTGGGTGAGAGTGGTGGCCGACTCCATAGTATGTATATGCATAATACTCAGCTATATATATGGCCATGAGTCTATGACGATTTGAAACAACATTGACAACATATAGGCCTAGAAATGAGGGCATTCTTTCCATCCTAAAAGCCTGACCTCTAGAGAAGAAGTAAATATAGTCCGCGTAACAAGAATCATGCTGGCCTCAGTATATGTATATGTATACACGTACTTAGCTCTTAAGCATCAATCAATCTGTCACCAAAGCACGTCACATTTATCAAAGGATGCACAAGAAATAGTGATCTGAACATAATTCGTTACTCCAAAGGTTTTATCTTTACAACAAAACCCCTTTGCCTAACTAACGACAGGATATTTACAACTCCGGTTCTCATTTACATGGTAAACCAGAAAAAACGAAAGAATCCATCACGGATCAACCAAAGCAACAAAACAAAACATAGTCCCTTTTTCCTTTTTTAAACGGCAGAATCAGAGTGCTCGGTAACCGGCTTCTCGGAGAATTCGCCACCGGACTTTCCAAGATGCACAGGGCGAATCTCCTTTGAAACGTGAGTCCTCCACGCTGGGGTCTTCTCCTCAAACATCTCCTCAATCTCCTCTAAACTCTTTCCGGCGGTCTCTGGGAACAAGAAGAAGACGTGGATGGTCATTGCTGCGCAGAACACACCAAAGACGATGTAAACCTTCCACTTGATGTTCTCGAACGCTGGAGGCACAAAGTAACCCAGCGCAAAGTTGAAGATCCAGTTGGCGGAGGTACAGATGGCGACGGCACGACCACGGAGACGGAGAGGGAACAACTCCGGAGGGTACGCCCATGAGACAGGGCCCCAGGTAACGGCGTATGAGGCCACGAACAGGTATGAGCAGGCAATGACGGCCTTTGAGGCGTGACCACCGACTTCCCAAGAGGCTGCAGCAACACCGTCAATTCCACCAGGGGGAGCGGCGTGACCGTAAGAGGCGAGGAGACCAGCGTTGGCGAACAACCAGGTCATCATGAGGGTAGAGCCAATGAGAAGGGTGGGACGACGTCCGAAGCGATCCATGTAGACCAAGGCCGGGAAGGTCATGGCGACGTTGATAACGTACTGGATAGACGAGGAGACGAGAAGGGTGTTACCGGTGAGACCAGCCATGGCGAAGACGTAAGTAATGTAGTACATCATGACGTTCATGCCAGTAAGTTGGGACCAGATCTGGGTGAAAAGACCGATGTGAGTCCTCATAATCATCTTTGGCTTGAACAATTCCAAGAAGGTCGCATCCGCATTGCTCCTTTCAAATTCAACCAAGGCCCTGATATCCTGAATCTCCTGGGCAACATATGGGCTGGTGCGATCACCACCCCCGTGCATCAAGGCGATCACATTCTCGCTTTCCTCCCACCTATCCTGCCTGGCTAACCATCTGGGCGATTCTGGCAAGAAGAACAGACCGAAAAACAAGATGATGGCGGGGACCATCTGAAGACCCCATGGAATACGGAAAGATGATGTTCCCTTAAGGTAGGAGCAGCCGAATGAGATGTAAAACATGATCATGATACCCCAGGTGATGGCCCACTGCTGGCATCCGACAAGACGACCACGGATATCGGCGCGTGCAATCTCGGTGATGTACACGGGGACCTGGGCTGAACAGATACCAACGGAGAAACCGTTGATAAAACGGCCGGCAACAAGCATTCCAATGTTTTGAGAAGCGCAGATGATGATTGATCCGATACACCTACATGCCGATATGTTTGTTAGCTCGTGTTTCCAAATATTGACGCTTATTGAAGAGAAATACTGACCAGATGATGGCACCGATCTGGATAGTATATTTACGACCAAGCTTATCTGAAAGCCAACCAGAGCAAAGTGCACCAACGAACGAACCACCGGGCATGGCGGCTGTGATACCACCCTGAGTGTCCGAAGGGATATTCGGGCCGAAGTATTGGTTGTATGCATCGGTACCGATACTGGAAGTAAAATGAACGTATCAGTACATGAACTTTACTCAAAGCAGAACGATTGTTCAAAATATCGGGGAATAATACTCACATGGCGGACATCGACGAGATGTCAAAACCGAAAAGCGCACCACCTATACAGGCGATGGCCGTAATGAAGTAGATATTACTGATGACATACATCTTGGTAGAAGTGTAGAAGAACCTCTTCCAAGTCGATTATAAGACAAGAAAGCTGTACTAGCTATTGAGAATGGAGAGGATGAAGAGAAGGAAAAATAGTGCGGGACCGGAGCCGACTTTATATAACCCAGGTACCGCATTTGCTGGTCAAATCCTCCGGGTAGGTTCCGTATTGGGCCCTCATTACCTTGAGGCAGGTCAGCGTTGTGTGCTGCTTGATCTGCTGCTGCTGACCTGACCTGTGTAGTACGCAGCTCACGGACAGGGAAGAAAAAGAAAACTGCGATTTTAGGCAGGCAGACAGGCAGGTAATACACACGCACTCATTAAGTCGTCGGTCATATATGTCATATTGCAACCAGTTAGACCCCTACATGGGAAAATTCCGAGGACCTGACGGCGCACGCAAGTATTACCCAGGGCTGCCGTGCCCCAAACCATTGCAAGCATACAGTAGCAATTAATTGACCCGTGATTTGGAAAAGTACATATCACATCGATCCTGAAAACAGCCGAGTCACCGATAATATTGCTATAGCGCTAGCTAGAGTAGCTGGCCATTTTGGCACAGAAGTACCGACGCTTTCAATAATGCGTACTTGTTGCTTGCTGTAAAGAGAGCAAATTTCACGCCATATACCCCACGTGAGTATTTCCCCCACACCCCGGTTTTCACTGGGATAAATTGAGTTGTAGGTATCATAGCAAGTTTATCCAGATATCGGCTGCTCTAGAGTACGGTAATTAGATAAACAGTTATTATTTGCGGAGGAACAGGCGGTTGCCTACCTGGGAATCTTGAATCTAACGTTAACCAGATTATATGTACATGATGCAAGGTAGTTGTTGCTTGACGTACAGGGAGCGTGAGGGCAGGGCCAGCCAGGGCCAGCCAGAGCCAGGACCGATGCGACCCAATGCCGTTCGTTTCAGAAGCGAAAGGAGGCTCTAGGGTTGTTGTTTCTATGGTCTTGGCAGCTTGCCGGTTTTTCCGAAGTCCGTTGCTGACGTCATATTCCGACCCTGATGCGGCTCACCTCTGCTGGAACTGGCAAAAACAGACGTCAATCCCTTTTTGCACCCAGCATCCTTTCCTTCGATGTTGACAGCCCAGCCAGTTAACTGACGCCCTCTTCTTCCCCACGCACAAAAGTGGAGTAGTAAATCTTTCGAGTGGCGTTATTTTCGATTACTGTTTGGTTCCGGGGAAAGAGAGAGCGGAGAGATTCCTGGAAAACCGAAAACGATAATTCTGTTAATCGAATCTGTGGGGAGGCTGGGGAAATGGAAGAAAAAGGTGGAGTCGACACTGCAAGGTTAATTCAGAGCAGATAACCGCTAAACTCAACAACACCTGAACCTCGCAAACAGATGCTAAAACATAACCCCCCCCCCCACAAACAATCTTTTGTCAGGGCGCGGTTAATTCAGAAATAGTCACGATATGGTTCCGGTGACCTGGATGAATATTCATGGGAGATTTAGATTTACAATCACGATGTATGGTGGCAAAGATACTGGAAAGGTCACGAGTACCATAAACTATTCCTTGCAATTGAGTAGTTACTCACTGCATATATACCACAACTGAAAGCACCCCATCCGTCTATGGACTAAACCCGGATTATAGATTGTCACCTACATGATTCTAAAATGAAAATGAGAAGGGAAAAAACAGATAAAGAAAAAGGGACGATGCCTCGGCAGGTATCGTATCGTATCGTTTCATGCTGGCCAAAGCTACACCTAGTGAGCGATATTCAGGCACGTTCCAGTAGATATGACAGATTGGCGTTTATCTATCAATCGAAAGATTTATGGGGAACCAGTTCGCAGAAACCTCGGGGAAATTGAGATAAAACAAGCTGTTTCTCCAGGCATCCGGGAGGCTGCAGGGAGCATTGCTAGTGCACGAACTCGGGTTCCATGTCTAGCTCCAACTGCATGCATGGATGTTAGCAATTGCAACTATTTTTCAAGCTCGTGGTCTCCTATGTTCAGGGAATTATATTGCACTTGTCCATCTTGATTCTTAATTCTTCAGCTGGAATTTCCCAGAACCAAATATCACCAAGAAGGAATGTACAGTTTGAGGTCACGGTCGAACTTCTTGGGTTTCCTTAGTGCAACGTCGTCAAGCAGCAGCCACAACCATCTTGGCTCGCCTTATTTTGCTTGCCAATGCCCGGAACAACCTCTTGCCATGCAATGGCTTCCGAAACACCTACCAGGGGCGAATTTATCCATCTGCATTCATCCTTCCGGTTTCCGAAAAGCCACGATCATGCACCTATCCCGTATGTAACCTCCCTACTAGGTACAAACCTCCATTTAGGCGCCAGAGAGGCCTACGATTTGATGACTACTCTTTACACAAAGAAATTTTTCTCGCCCATTTCGGGATCTTGATGATCCGTGCGTGCGGCTACACAAGGAAGGGGGAAAAGGAAGAGAATCGGCGGTGGATGTTGTGTTACGTATTGACAGCATGTGTGGCAGCTATGATCAACTTCACCGCCATTTTCACATTTTTCTCGTGGACGACCCGCCGGGAAGATACATGCTGCTGTCAACCATGTGGAATGGAAGAAACACCGATTCTACGTGCCGTAGTCTAGCTAGCTAGCTAGTCAAGTAGCTATCCCGGTGGTACTAGAATTTTTTCTGATATACGCGTCAACGTCAAAACGCGTGCAGACGATATTCTGGGCCCCCGTTTGTATACGCACATCTCCACATCCGTCCAACTGTGGAGTACCATAGACCTAGAAAATAGGTACGGTCTTTACGCCGACCCTGGAAATTCGGTGTTTTGGAAAGGGATTCTAGTGGTATCAAATCCTTTGAAATCATAAGCATCCCCACAATTTACCACGCAACACCTTAACTACATGTAGTCTTATTTTTCTCTCGGGCTCGACCCCGCCTATCACCGAATGGTACGTACATACAGTCCATGTATCTCGCTAACCCTCAACTTGCTCCACTTGGGGAAAAAAATCGACTGAGACAATCGACTGAGGTTTTTTGCGTTTTTTTGTGGGGAAAATTCGAATCTATCTGACCAGCTAGCTGGCTAGGGTTATGGTTGGATTGGGGTCTTTTTCTGGGTGAATAATAATCAGAAATAAGTCTACTCTACATACACTCTATTACGCTCGGTAACTATATGCTGGTATACTAATGGGTTGGAATCGAGGGATTGCTTGCAGAATCGGAGAAGCTTGGTGAATGAATAATGCAAGATATTGAGTTTAGATATCTTCTCAGCCTGTCTGTACCTATTGGAATTGTGGCCCGGGGAGGTCAGGAAATTTCTTTGCAAATTTACTCTGGATGGGTTTAATTGCGATTTATCATCAAACAGGCAGTCCTTGTTTTTCTCCAATATGGCAGCACTCGAATTTCGAACATCAATACGTTTGGGGAGAAGATAATCATAACTATATGAGTCGACTCTTCGAAACAAACCATCATTATTATTAAAACAAACATATATATCTCACCGTGGGTAGTATTATGGGTTGTCAAAATTATCCGGACGGTCGCGTCGCAACCACACAGATTAGCTAGAATGACCGATTTTTGAAACCACTTCAATTGACTTCGTATTGAAGCTTAAGATAATAGAGGTATAAGAAATCACAGAAATCAAATCTCTTGTACTCTTTCCTTATGGTTGTGGAAAAAGGCGACGTTGAAATTGAAAATTTGGTTGCAACAATGTTCAGATAATTTTGTCAACCCGTAATACAACCCCCCCTCCCCTTCTCTCAACTTCATCCACACACGCAACACACATCTCGAGCTCAAACAAATCATGAAACAGCATGTAATACACCCTTCCCACCACCATCCCTCCTCCTACTACCACCACTGCTACTGATAACAGTCACGTCCCAACCCCTCCTCCGCAGCCCCTCCAGCGCCCGCCTGCGTACGGCCCCCATATTCTCAATGCTCGGAAACTTCCGCGCACGCTTGACCCGCTCCCTTTCTTCTTCTTCTTCCTCATCATCATCCTCGCATTGGTCTAAAAGCCTCATGAGGGCCTCTAGCGCCTTCTCGCGCGTCGACCGCTTTTGCCCCACTAGGCCCTTGGGCTTCCGCCGCAATATCTGTGGTGCGCGCTGCTGCTGGTTGGATGGCTAGAGGTTTAGGGATATATCAGCCACGACAGGTTTGGGGGATATGCTGCTGCATTGACATGCAGCTATGATGTGTGTGGGTGGGTGGAAGAGACTGGGGGGAAGGGACTGGGGGGAAGGGACTGGGGGGGCATACGGACATGAGGAACACTCTGTACAGTCATAAATCCCGATATCTCCGGGACCTGAGGATTCTCGGCGTCCTCCTTCTCCCTCTCGAGCTCTTTGTACAGCTCCTCATAGCTAGGGAGCACTCCCCCTCTGCTGCTACCCTCCCGTGCTTTTTCGCCCCGTTCTATGACTGCTCGTGCATCTTGCCCGCAGTGGTGGTGCGAGTCGATGATGGAGGATAGCAGGGCCTCGAGCTCAAAGAGAGTGCTGGTCTTGCGCCGCGGCGCGGGGAGGTAGGGTGCTGGTGTTTTCTCGACGAAGGCGGCGGTGGTGGTGGTGGGGTTCTCGTTCTCGGACTGCGCTTCTGGGGGCGCTGCTGCGGCCTTGCGGGAGCGGGAACGGGAGAGGGAGAGGGAGCGAGGGAGGCGGCTCTTGAGGGTTTTGAACATTGGAGGAAATGCAATTGATACTTTTGTAGCTGTAATAATTATAATATCAAGAGGAATATAGTACTATGTAATTACCAGTAGTAACCAGCAGTATAGTATAATAGCGAAACTCACATCACTACGGAATTTACGGACTACATATAATGTCCTGGTTGCTGTTTATTTGTTTATTGTTTTGTTTTGTAGTCTTTGTTTTCTACATTCCGAGTTACGTAGTTGATGGCTTTGGGGATTCGGAATGTAGATTCTTGGGAATACAGCTCAAAACTCGCCGTCACGAACCTCAAAGCTCTAAAGCCACGATCTACATACATACATACATACAATTGCAAAGCCAATCACGCTGCAGTGCACATCTCAAAGAATGCCATGCCATGCAGCACTTACAAAAGCCACGATACGCAATCCCGAACCCGAAGCCACAATTACAACCTCAACCACAACCCCCACGCACGCACCCATTAGGCAGCCCCCAATGTTGCTGTAGTTATTCCGGCTGGCCTCCAGGTCACAACTCACGATCTCCACCACACACGTACACGCGCGCGCGCCGACAACGGAGCGGCCGGAGCTCAGGAGCACACATTATTGCGCATCGTGGGGGCTGGCGAGCGGTAGTCAGTCAGTGGGTTAGCGAGTATAGATATATGATGTCGCTAAAGCTAAAGAAGTATGTAGCTACATGGGTCATGGTGGGTCAGAGAGCGGTGGTTTCGACTGGGGGGTTATATGTTAGGGGGTCATATATATATATTGGATCGGCCGGACATACGGGGGGTTGCGGTGACTGCGTCATGGTGCGTCACTCGGGTGTGATTGGGGGGTCTTTAAGGGTTTATTGTTGTTAATTCATCGAAGAGGGATGGTGGTGGTACCCACCACACAACACCGCGCCGCCAGCTAACTGTTAGGTTTTAGACCTAAAATTCTAATGAATCGATTAGTCAAATATGTCAATCTCAAGCCCCAATCCTCGAGTGAATAGTTTAGTGGAGGCTTAGGCCGTAGTCCTGCCCTTGTGTGATGGTTATGTCCGTAGGTGTCGATTCTAACGACCGATATGTTCGATCATGATTATGAAGCTATAAACTAGCACTATAAAGCGAAAGCTGTCAGTATAGTAATTACACTAGAAGCAAGGCCCCTACGACCACGCGTGTATCATTGACCACAAGGGCACGCACCTCCGTCGTTAGTTATCGGATCGTACAGCCACTCTACAAAAGTGTTCGTGATTTGGTTTTAATGTCAGTGCACAGTGTGATGCACCCGTAATGTTGATATTGATGCTCAGATTGAAAACAACGAAAAATATAGTATATAATATAGTTCGTGACTATATAGAAGTAGGCTATTGATCTTTGTTCTTCATTGATTCCTGGCGCCATTGGTTTTCTCTTGGGGAATTTTTGATCTATGTATGCAGCCACGGTTACATATGGAGAAATGTCTCACTCCGAAATCGGAATCACGAACACCCTTGCAGAGTGGCTGTACAATTATGAACTTACTGGCCGTGAGACGGCACGAATGCATCAATCGGTGTGAGAATTGAAGAGATGAATTGAATGATATATAAATACCAGACAGACAGGTCCCCTGTGGTTCAATGTGACCATGAGATAAGGTAGGGTTAGGAACTATCACGAGCCTACAATATTAGATGGATCCCCTGCCCTACAAGCACTGTCAAGCAGGCGCCAGGAGTAGCTAGCTAGGCAGCTACTTAACTAGCTTGGATTATGTAATACTGATGACACCCTAATAAAGGCCCGCGCGCGGTGCAGTCCAGTCTAACTGTAACTCTTGACGTGATTATGTCAGTAGGGTTCTAGAAGTTGGATACCTAGTGTCAACGATCTCCGCATCACCTTTTTTTCATGAGCCGCCTAGGGGATTAAGTAAACCTACTGCTGCGAGGTCGATTAGAGATCTGGGATATCCTAAGTGGCTCTGAGATTTGCTTGTGTTAGAGTATTAACCGGCTAGCTAGGTGGTTAGGTTTGGGCCTCTGTATCATTATATGAACGCGTGCAATTAATGAATTAAACAAAAAAAAATTTATATGAACGCAGGCCTGAGAAAACTTGACTTATTGTCGGCGAAGGGCCGGGACGCAACATAACAACCAGCGAAAAAGAAACCTAACAAACATCAATTTCTACACAACCTCCAGATATGGGAAGTAGGAATAGGTAGATAGACTATATCAAGGGTGAGGATTCTGATGGTGATGCTAGAACAAAAGGTTTAAGTGTATTCGCTTAATCTTTTTCTAGTATCTTAAAACATTAAGTTTCAACCAACTTGATGTCGAGCCTCCTACTCGCTAAAGGAACTTCTGGGAAATATAATATACACACTTTAAAACATTCTCTATCAGTAGGAGAAGCTTTTGGGAGGATCGGTTGGCTGATTTGGGCTTGTTAGATTTGACCCCATAAGTCAAGTTTTCTCAGACCCGTGTTCATGTTCATATATATAACCGTTGTGCTGATCGTGCGGGTGATTAGATAAAACGTAATCGGAAGTTGATATATACACCGCGCTGATCACCAAGATAGTGATCTAGTCGATATACCATATCAAGTCTTCGTAGATACACCAGGGATATATATCCGGTCTCCCAGGTAGCTACAGACAAGTAAACATATATTGAAATATCTTAATCATGAATTATCACTCGGTCTACGAAGCATTCGTGATTTTTCACGAATCGTTTTTAATGCCTTAAAACTCGTATTAGATGCTCGAATACGTTGTAGCAGTTAGCGTGAAACGTCTAGTAAATAGGCTGACGGATGTGGATATGGGTTGTGGTTCATCGGTATATTGGCTTGTGGATGAGAATGGTCTTTACAAGGTCGGTTAACGAGTCAGCTTAATTGTGGAATTCCTAAATCTCCTATAGGGTTGGGCCTAGTACTTAGTGATGATCTAGGGCTCTAGGACGAGGGGAAACAGTGTGAAGTTTGATTGTTATACTAAATTTCTCTTCGAATTGGAACTATAGTAGTGCATGCAAGAGTATCTTTCAAGTACGAGTATAGTTGACGACTATATTCAAGCAGAGACCTTCAATAGCTTTCTACTTAAGTGATTATTTGGCGTGTCATGACTACAATACAGTAGACTTGTCTTTTGGTGCGTGGCTCAAACCGTGTCCTCACAACTAGATCTTCACAACACAGTGCGTAGTTGTTAAACAGTGTTAGTAATATGGCAGTACGTGGCTTAATGTCATCCCTCAATAAACACGAAGGAAGCTGTCCAAACAACCAGGGATACGTTTAATTCAAAAAAATGAGGGCGCATGGTAGTTTTTGATCTTCGCAACCTTAGATATCAAAGGCGTTCAGAGTTAATCACAAACGCATTGCAGAGCGCCTGTATTATTTATCATAATTTATATTCCTAGATATGCTATCGGCATTCAGATTAAATTTTTTATATACACTAGACCAAGCCCCGTAATTAATGAATTAAACAAAAAAAAAAAAGACCAAGCCCCGCGTCCCCATTGTTGCAATTTAACCCTAGCTATCACTCCACATGATTCTTAATTCTAGGACTTTTGTCTCTGGGGTCTTTTCTCGACCTCATCAAGTTCCGACTTTTCTCCCGAACGCTCCAACTCCTCCTTTTTAGAGTTCTCAAACTCTTCAGATTCCCAATCATCACGCTCACCCCCGAGCTCTGCCTCGAGATCTTCATCATCTTCAAGATCGACTTCCTCCGCTTCGGGATCAAACTCATCCAGTTCATCGTAATCATCATCTTCTTCTTCATAGGAATTTGGTTCTGTTGAATCCCCATCGTTTTCTGTCCCTTCCTCCAAACCCATATATTGGAACATCATCTTATCTTTCTCCTCCTCACTCATTGTATCCCACTCGGGCCCAAACATAGCCCTCCCACTAGAGTCTTCCAACTTTTGAAATGCTGCAACTCTCTCTTCTTTGCTCATCGTATCCCACTCGGGCCCAACCACCTGTCGGCCCATACCGAGCTCCTCCCACATTATATCTTCCATCGCCTTATCCCTCTCCTCCTCAGTCATCGTGTCGTACTTAGGCCCAATCGTCTCCCGTCTAAACTTCTCATACTCCTTCTCGTCAAGTGAATCCTCACCTTCCTCCTCGACCTCCTCCTTCTTCTCCTCCTCACGGCTTGTAGATATGGCGTCCCACTCTCTCCGTCTTTTTTCAATATCGACTTCATCACTTTCTTCCAACGGAAAGCCACTCGGCCATAACCCCACATCATCGGTCGGGTCCGTCACCCACTCCCTCAGCCCCGGCGAGCTATGTCGGTTCCGCCTCACCGTGGCGTCAATATACGTAGCCGGGACCCCGGCCTGTATCCCCTCCTCCAGCAGCCCTGTCCATTCATAGACCGCTTTCTCGAGCTGCCCGTAGTCCCGCGTCATTGTCCTGGCCGTGATCATGTCCATGCGCCGGCACCACATGGAAGCGTCGGGAGATTCGCCTTTATTCCAGTCTGCAGTGAAGTCTTTTGCGCCCCCTCTTCGGTATGCGGCGGCGCCATTTTGGAGACCCTTGTTGTCTTTCTTGGAGGGTGCTTTGACGGGTTTAGGGCCTTTGGAGCCGCCTTTCTTCTTGGATAGTGGCGGGGTGGTGGTGAAGTTCCTCGTGCGGTGCGTCTGGCCGAGTATAATAAGCTGTCGCACTGGTTTGGGCGTGACGATTGTCTGGTATTGTGTTTTGTGAAGAGCGAAGGTCGATTTCAGAGGGAGAATTAAACCTCCCCTGGACCTATAAACGGCTCTGAGGATTATGGAATTCATTTCTGCGTATGCGTCGAATGGTACCGGACCTGCGCAACGAAAAGCTTCAGCGGGAACGTGATGTCAAGAAATATGACACCACTAGTGGAGTTCTTAATAGCGGGATTTGCTCTTCGGTTAGTAGAAACAAGTACGGATTGGTCAATTGGGAGTTAGTTGTGTCAATTGGCTGGTTGTGCTGATATCATATGAGGATGAAGATTCTAGATGTCGTGAACGTAAAATATCTGACTAAGAAGGATCAGCTAACCTAATCTGGATGATTCTCATTCTCTAACATTTGGTAGCATCCGTAGATTACGGACCGCGTCACCCACATGCACTCGGATGTGAAGTACAAACAACTACATTCGCAAACATCAACCTTAGGACTTGACTTCGTACCAAGTACCTTCTCAATCCCCCGCCAAATACCAACCAATCAACATCTACTACGGACAGGAGTGTCACAGTAGAAAGAGAGTGTGTATGTACTGAAATAACAGTGCGTGTATTTAAAAGATGCTCTAAAGGAATGGCCTCATATTATCACCCGCTGGCTTAAGAAACCAAACTAGGTACGTAGTGACTTCCAAAAATTTGCTTATATGATGTTTGACCGACCCCCTCCTTGTTATTTCGAATCATAGACTATCACTCGCTATCCGAATCACCCGTGTCACATCCGGCAAACAACCCTATAAGATTCCCAGCAATCACATACCTCATCACCTTGGAGGTCATCTACTGAGATGCCCATGATCTACCTGAAGCATCAAGTCTGGGGAAATACCAAGATATACCATCGTGGTACATTTGGGGGACATGATACATTAAGTAATGGTCCCCCAAAAAAGAAAAATTCGTGTCTTAAGATTCCACCTGGGAGTCCACGACGCTCGGACCATGAGACGGTATATGCTTCGAAAATTGCCTCCCACCTAGCTCGCTACTCTCTACCTACATACTCTACCCCAGGGTTCCAAATTGTCGGGAAAGGGCCACATTCATTTTCTGGTGGCGGAGGCACTTAGCCTCAATTGAGCAATGAGCACGTTGCCTGAGTGAGTGATACACAGTGATCTCGCTTGTGCCCCGAGCACCAATATTTCTTGCCACCAATGGAAACCTGGTATGGTTAGACCGCTTAGCCGGCCTCTCTACTAGCAAGGAAGAGGAAAAAGTGATTCGTCAAGAATTTCTAGTTCCTTCTACAAGCCAAAAAAGCCACCAACTTGTGCTGACGAGACAATAAATTTGTGAGCTACCAATCTTACTCATGGTCGGTCATTATCATTAATATATTCGTGTACATACTGATATGATGATGATGATGATGCAGAGCAAAGAGTTTTAGACTTCTGAATATATACCATATATAATCAGTTAGAGTCGAGTACGTGGCATCAGATATCTATTGTCTGCGTCAGACATGTGCGAAGGTGTAAGAATGATGGGGTTACGAGATATGAGATTTTAGCGTATATGGACGACATGCTGTAGATATAACACAGCCTAATACCAAAGCATCGTCAGGGTCAGGTTTTGTGAGGCTGAATTACCGGATGGAAAGATCCTGATGCAGATATTTACTGCAATAGAAGCTAGATTGACTGTCTTGCATAAAAGAATGCCATGATTTTCATTGCATGGGTCATATGGTTCGTCCCTGACAAAGAAAGAATATTAATTGGGGCCAGAACAAGGCTCAGACACTATCTTGGTCCGCGATTGCCGCCATAAACGTGGTGTTTTGGAACATCAATTTCCTGTTTTGACCACCGACCCCATATATCTCAGAACTCATGTGTATCTTCTGTACCGGCCACCGCCCTCAAGTTTCTAAATATGGAAGGTATACAGGGTGCCACTCGTTTGCTTTGGCGGATAGTAAAGAAAATCGGACCCGAACTCCGGATCAAGGCTCTAGAGCTGGAATATTCGATTCATGCCGTGAATCAAGGCTAGAGTAACTACAGCTACACATGATTGTGATACTCTACATGTACATAATCTGCGGATGGAATCCTCAATTTTTAGATCACGGTCGCAGAACCTTTTGGCGAGGCCCGCGACGGTACATACATATGCGAATGATCCTCGAAGGGATTGACGTTGGAATAAGGCCCGGGCTGATCCAGCGCCGATTATGCGTTTGGCTGGAATTGTTTGAGCACAGACAGAGAGACCGAGATACAGGGCTCGCGTGCCGCGGTATTCAGGCGATCAAGCTATTAAGAGAAGCGTATTCAAGCATGTACTCCTCGAGCACAATGTGTGTGTGCGTGTGTGTGTGTGTCTATACAATATGTATTGCAATCTAGAGGCGAGATTCTATTCGCACAATATCCTTGCCCGAGAGGATTATCACCAAATAAATGGTCACCAAGAGGCGTTGATTGTAGTAGACATCAAATGTTTGAACAACTACCTACATATTTGATATACATCAATCACAGTGTTACGATCCAAGTCTTGAGCCGATTAGTGGAAATCGAAGATCCCTGGGCTATTTCACCGGCTGGCGTCCGTCCCCAGATAAAGCTCCGATGTTAATTAATCCCAGACGCGCGATGCTTCATCTCCCTCAGCCTGTAAAAGTCTTTGGAGGAAGTGTTTGAGCGAAAATCTCGTCTCCAAACATGGACAAGCTTTATCAGCCAGCAAATTGGTTAACATTCGATCAGTACAAGGGATATGCTGCAGTGGTGTGTGTACTTTTTTTTGCTTTCTTCTTTGTGCAGATAGTAGATACCTACACTTTCAGAATCTACGGCATGTAACTCGTGCTCACCCTCACCTCACACCTTTGGCGTTTTATTCATGGGTCAAGTATGTACCAACGTGCTCTTAGCAGGCGGTTGTACAACATGCTGTCATGTCCAAAAGAACACATCCATCGATCTAGGTAATCAATTACTATCGGACCCAGCGCGTTCATGCAAGGGATTGCATGTATTCAGCACCAAATCAAGTCTCTCCATGATAACCTCATACCATTTGGTCATATGTCACCACCACCACCGTCTGTACCCACAAGTGGCGAGGGTCTCGCAGAGAAAACTGGAAGTCCATCCCGTGGATTAACATGTAACCAGAAAAAGCAACACCAGAAAAATCAGGAACACAACTTGCATGGATTGCGGTATTTACAATAGAACCTGCCGTGAACAGTTGAATATTTTTTTTTCACCTTGGCGTCGAATTGGAATCCAGACGTGCCTTTACGTTCCGCTGCTAACTAGCTGGGCCTGTTCACGATATCTCACTCGAAAAGTGGCTTAGCGTGGGGTGGGAAGGAAGAAAAATAAATGATCGTCAATAAGCATGAATCTCTTTTTTTTCCCCACGGGGTAAGTTGTCTCTAATGCGGTCGGTACCTAGACACCGCACTACCCGCATGAGGCATATAGAGGTCTCACCTTCCCGTACATAGTTCAAGTCAGGCTGAGCGGCCCAGTCAGTCAATCAGTCAGTCAATCAGTCAGTCCTGGGCCAATTTCGAAGAATTTGAGGTTGAGAACAGGATTCACCTCAGCACAAAATAAGCGACTTAAAACGCGGAGTCCAGACTTGCCACGATACCCGTTCCGATACGGCCGGCCAGCAGTACTCTCGAGTTACCAGGTTACCAGTACAGGAGAAACGGTTCCGCCGGCCACTCACATCCCGTCGATTAAGGGACCCCACGCTTCCCCACAGTCTAGGTTCTTCTTGCTTATGTATCTCGCCAGCCCTGCTCCGTTTGCTTTCTTGCTTGCGCGGCTAGTTGATCTCGAATTCAATCGAAATTAAATCCTTAATTATAATTTTATGAACTCTCGTACGTTTGAATTGCGTCCCCCCCCTCCCCCCCACATATTGACAGCATGTTCAACGTCTTCTTCCTAATATCCAATGGCCAGATTTTCAACCATGGTACGTACTATAGATCAGTTCGATCAACTAAGTTTAGACATTCGGTCCGTTTGACTTAATCCATCAAGCCAACGCTTTAGAACCAGGCCGGACGGGGTTGGATCTGTGCGTTTAATTATGGAAAGAGAAATGTTTTCCGCAAAATCATTTAAGTAATTATATTGGCCAAACGCGATTTGTTTGCATATCTGATGTGTTTATGTATCTCGGGACCTCCACGGCTGATGCATCATATCCGGGTTATCATAGAATGTGCAGATATATATGGCATACCAATATGAACAAGCTGCATTATTATAGGCTTATCATTGGCCGCTGGGCCCAGCGGACATGGAAAGAAATGTCTCATCGGCTCCCGTTGACAATATCGAATTAACTGTAGTTTTTGGTAATCCTACGTATGACCGAGGCCGAGAGTTGAGAGCTGTGGTTTATATAAACTTTTCATATCTCGGCTTTAGTTTATATAATTCCACGTAGTAAGAGCCATTACACTCATCCCCCGAGATGCCAGGGGTAACCGAAACCTAAAGTTGCCCGAGAAAGCAAAAAACAACTCCATATAGTCTGCTTCACAACTCATCACTCGCCCAACAACCAATCCCATCTATGTACCTCCAGGAAAAACAAACCCGTCGATCCCGTCTTCCAAAAACCCATGTCAACCTAGCCAACACAACTCCTACCCGCCAGTTTTTTTCATATTTTTTTTTCGCACCACCCCAGTGATCCATCGCGACATGCTTCGCAGCCAATGGACAAGACATCCGGCCTGCGGGCAACCTCAAAAAAGCAACGGTCTACAGGGTCCTGTAGATCGTCACCTGGGCAGGAAAAACGAAGGAAGAGGAATCCAACCGGGAAGACACTGGCGATGCAGGCTTTTACTAAAGACCACAAGCTCACTTTCCCTCTACTCTACTAGCTGGTCAAGTACGTACGTCCGTATTTTATTACATAGCCCACTCGCTGGCTATCGTCGGGGTTGGCTCTAATAAATTGAACCGGTGCTGTATTGGGAAGATTATACATAAGTGACCATGAAGGGGAGGAAGATATGGTGGTAGGTCAGATCTACAAATCCATTAGGTACTTGGACGATTCAGATGTTACTCTACCTTCGACCATCCTTGCTCTAGGTCGAGGCGAGTCCGGCCGGTCCAATGACCGACTGACTTGAGTACCATGCACTCGCTCTAGTTACCTTGCCAAGGTGGTGGTAGTGTGGGGTAGATATGTGGGGTATGTGCCCGAGTGACTTTTTGTGCTTTAGTTTTTAGGGACTTGACAACCTGACCTGGCTGGCTACATGTACCTACATACTCTACCTACCCACTTACTCTACCCACTATTCTACCCTACAGGCTTACTCTTTCCCAGGTACAGGTAGATCACTCTCATCTGATACTTACCCCGTACATCTGTACCCATATCAAACCCCGGTCCTAGCCAGACTAGACAGCGAGAGACATCGATGCTCGCTACCTATTGGAAGTCCGTAACCAAACTGGCTGCTGCTAGCTGCTGGCCTGGCTCCATCGGCGTTACCATCGGATCGGTTGTTTCTACCTATATATACACAGGGCGCAGCCCCCCGCACTCTTCCCTCCCCGGTATCGCCATGTAGAACTCTCCAGGTTAGGGTAGGAGAGGGTGCGGCGGTAGGTATGGAATCCGTATCGATATGCTTTTTTATGTATCTTTCGATGTAGTAATTGAGATGGCGCGCGCGCGGTCGGCCTCAGATGCGGGTCAGATGGGAATCCGATTCCGATCCTCAGATAAGATTTGCTGAAGTTGGTTTGGCGATGGTCGATCTGTTTCAGTTGGGGTTGCTTGGGAGATAGAGGTGGTGGTGGAGGTGGGAGGTTACGAGACAACGCTGGTAGGGTTTGTTCGTAGACGGTGGTGCCTTGGAGGGAGGGTAACTCTGACTGCAGATATATGTTGATCAACTCTAACTCAGAAAACTGAGGTGGTGAGCACTGAGTTGTGCTGTGTCGAGTTCGTTGAGTTCACAAGAGGTCAGACGGACAGGTTCCGTAGCTACTCTAGAGAAAAACAGCATGCCTCCCAGCCAATGGCTACCGGATGCTTCTCCCTACAAAGAGGTTGGACCCTTAATCTTACGGTATTTCTCCACGGCTAATATAAAATTCTCCTGTGCCTACATCATCATGCGGCGGCGGCGCCTAGAGTACAAATTCCTACTGTAGCTAGCTCTATTCTACTAGTCCCCCAATACGAGATTGGATTCCTTAGTTCCCTTTCGTTTATCGTCACGTCGTCAACGAACATTCCACAGACTCTAGCTCAGGCTCCAGAGTAACTAATTAACTCTTTCGCCGCCGGCAGAGCGCATGTTCTCTTCCTCTGCGTTGTCCTCTGTTTCCGATATCTTGGTTGCGCGGATCGTGGTGAGACGTGGAATGACGTACATTCCCGGGAAATTAGATAAGAGGAAGAAGAATTAGAAAGTGAAGATTATGAATGAGCGAGTGAGGGTCTGTAGCTAGTTGAATGTGTAGTTAAGGAAGGGAGTTAAGGGTTGTTTGTGATGGCTGGACGGATGGCATGCTGCCTGCAAGCTAGTCATGTGCGAACGTTACACCACTATATTGTGATTCTGGGTTTCAGAAGGGAAAACGTGAAGACTACGCTCATGTATTATGATGGAATCGTTCACGGGCAGAGTCGCTCAGGGTTCGCTTTGCATAATCAGCCCATTTTCACCCCCCTCCCCTTTCAGTTAGTTGGAGCAGGCCGTGCGTAATTGATATGTTTTTGCCTGCATTCGATTCGATTTTTCGTCTGATCTGATGCACTCTGGAGCTTGGAGGAGCAGGGGAAAGAAAAAAGTGAGTGAGTGTTTCTACCACGTCCAGCCAGCTCTAGGCGCTCTAACATCACCACCCCTTTCGTTTTTTCTTTTCTTTTCTTTCTTTTTCTCTCATATGCTTCGACCTCACAAGATGCTACATCGATTTCAATTGGTCCGGTCACAGTCAGTTACAACTTAGAGTACATGACAACACAGCAGTAGGATGCCTACCGGAAGTAAGTACCTATATCCTCCCTCTACTTTCTGTGAGATATGTAGGCATAATGATGCATCAAAATTCATGAACTGTTTATTTAATTTTTTTCCTCTCCCCATCCACTTCAAACAAATTCACCTCAAGCACCACATATCGTCATTTCTCCCGCTGCATAAACTTAATTCCCCGTAATATTTTTACTGTTGTCTGCGGGGTTTTTTTTATCTCACGATGCTTCCTCCTCTGGTGTTGTAGCAATCAATTTGGCACGGTGACCGCGCATGCATCGGAAAAGGGCTGTCTGTATGTTGTGTCCACCGTGTGTGTCCAGCCAGGTCCAGTCACTCGCTGCTATTCAGCATGACACACGACGTATGAGGGCGGCGCAACTCACTAAGGTAGGGACACCTCCATCACAGCTAACACGCTAATTCACGAGCCAGGCCCTTTGCTTTTTCCCAATCACCACTAAGCGAAGGAGATCCTTTTTTTCTCTGCTTCCATCTGTGCTACAACGGCGGCAGCAGAGAAGGAAGGAGCAGGAGGAAAGAGCAAGTGGTCCCTTGATTCACCTTACCTACCAAGTACCTCCATCATAATCATCGCCGTCATCGTCATAGAATCAATCCACTGCATGGTCTGGCTGCGTGTTGGATGTGTTCCTACAGCTCTGCTGGTGATGGTTGGCGGTCATATAATATGAAAACGATAATAAAGTTAATTATTGCCTTCTCCTCCCCCTCCGCGAGCCGTCCCTTCACGGTGCGTTAAGTTCTGCTGTGCCTGTGAGGATTTGACGGAGAAAGAAAACAAAATTTTCTAACGAAAAAAAATGAATTGCATCAGCTGCCTCAGCACCAGGCAGCTCCCCCCAGACAAGAGAGATCCGCACCCGCGACGATCCATCCTACTTACCGACCCTACATATAACGCCATCCCTCACATCCCTCCATAACCTTCCATCACAAAGGAAATCATATTCCAAAGGGGGAACATCTCCAAGAAATATCTCTATATATGCGGCTCAACACATTTTTTTTTTTTAAAAAAAAATAACCTTCCCGTAGTAAAAAAGGAGGGGCAGGTGAGGGGCAATGGAGGGGCTCAGGGTCCGATAGTAAACAGGGCCTACCCTATCGACTATCGATAAAGAGGTTACGTGGATACGGTCTAGGGTGCTGCGCGACAGCCAGAAATCGATAAGCGGAAATACCAGAATTAAGTACATACAGTAAACAAGGAAATACCCAGAAGTAGTACTATGAACGTACCGTAAACTCAGTGAAGCCAAGTGAAGGAGCCGAAACCCAAGGGTACAAAAATTTATTAACTAGGAACGACGGCATCGTGCTGTACGCGCTGTGCACAATGCACAGGACATTGTTCTCATTCGATATCGACGTCATTGAGTTACAGACCGAACAGACACAGAACACGAACACAGACAGACACAGGGCGGCCGGACTTGTCGGACTTTTTTTTTTATGAAATCAAATCAAATCCTTGGGCCGAATTACACACGCTAAAGCACACACACATCTATCCTCGCATCGAAAGGTTTACAATAGGCATGGTTGGCGAAGAGCGAAGACGCAGGGCGGCTCCCGCGGCGGCGGTGGTAGGTGGTGCGGTTCATCCTTCCATCCATTTTTCTAAGTATATTTTTATTTCCGGTAAAATACCTTGATGCGTGTTGGAAAAGGAAGAATGTGGTTATATTGTCTTTGGCTTTGGGGGAAAGTCGAAAAAATCGCCCCTGCAAATAACAATCAGATTGGGCTGGAAACAAAAATCGCGCAAGAAGGCGATTATTCAGGTCAAGATTTGCTCAGACTCCGTTGCAGAAGATCAGGAAGAGGAGGAAGCTCAAGAAGCTTCTGAAGCTCAAGAATCGGTTGGTATCTACCATTGTTCCTCGCCGTATCTTGGGCCAATGCAAGATGTGATGTGAGTTTCTAGCCTTTCCATACCTCAAGGTTTAGCTACATACTCTACATGCCGCCGTCTGCTCATGCATCTGATTTGGCAGAAGAAGGAAGATCTTGCTGCTTCTCCAAGTGCCAACCACCGGCGAGTGAAATGGGTAAATGAAGGCTCGGCAAGAAAACCGTTTTTCTCTAGGATACGGTTCTGCCACACTGGGTTTCCTTCCGTCGTCAAAGCTGCCCGGGACACCACCAGCTGACCTAAAGGTTCTTTTTAAATCACTTTTTTGAAAGATAAAGGCAGCATAAACAAATGCGACCAAACGCAGAGAGGTCCAGGCAGATGATAAATACTCTACCAGTGTATATTTGGAGTTCTGATTCCACGGTTCTGACGGGTTCGAAAAGTACATATACATACATGTACATATTTTACATATGCACAAGGAAAAGGTGATATATCAGTCTGGTTGTAATTCAGCCTGATGGTTTCCGAGATCTTCAGCTGTGCAATCATTGGCCAGGGTACTTAGAGATACAATTTTTTTATGATCAACCGAGAACAGAATTCGGCTTGCGCCTTTTGGGAATTACACCGACAGCATCCTTTTTTATTGCATCCTAGATGAAGATGGTGGTGGAGATTTAATTTTTTCTGCCTTCTTTTTTGTTTCCATGGAGCTTATGGATAACAACTACCGACTTGACTTCTGCAAATTACGAGAAGGGAACGGGAACGGGACGAGCAAAACTAATTGAAGGCGTCTTGCCCCCAAAGTAACGCCCGGGCATCAGAAGGCTTGCTATTCTACTGGCTGGCATTGTTAGAGCTAGGTCCATATCGCTGCATCGATGTGATAGTATCTCTTGCTCAGCCTTGTAATAATGGAAACTCTGCCAATGATTAGAATTTTTGGTAGTTCTGGGTCATTTTGCCGTGTCATATCACTTGGTGGGTCTCCACGGTCCTCGTTCTGATATGTTTCTCGAATTGTCAATGATGATCTACAGACAACGTGGTAGGGTAGCACGCGCGCAAAGTTAGAGTACTGCCTACCTGATGCAAGACATACCTGTTTCTCGTCTGGAAACGTGGATTATGGTCTTACTCTAGAGGATTACCTACGTCTAGAGTAAAGTACTCGTGTACTTATGCGGAGTTGTCTGATATCTCGTATGTACAATATTTACATTCCAGCATACCGAAAGGAGACCCAAGGGGATATATTCATACATACATGACTGGTTGAGTACGGAAGGGTACAGCAAATTCTATCATTACCACCCAGATATAGAAATCTATGTACCCATCTATCCTTTAGGCATAACGCGAGGTATCCGTGCGTCCCAATTCATCCTACTTACCTGTACCTAGACACGCAACGCTGCGGATCTTATCAAACTATCGCCACTTTACCACACAACCCGCTGCTGGGTGCGGGCGCGCCAGGCTAGATACCTACTCTAAGTACCCTTTCAAACACCCGGCGTTTCGACGTTGCCGCCGTATTGGCCCGCCGGGAAGATCCAGAGGTTCATCCGACACAATCTTGAAAGCTTGAGCGGCTCCTCCCGAGCGAGAGACCAGAAGTAGGCAATTGGCGGGATACAAACAGATATGTGCTCAAGTCTCTTGTTACCATTTTGCCCGTGGTATATACAGCTACACGCAACGACACACGTACTTAACCTGGTGGTGGTTGTATATTTGCCTCAGGTCAGCGCCATGGCCCATGACCAGCGGTTGTTTAATATCATTTCTCCCGGAAAGTCAAGATTTAAACGTTTGTTTTATTTATTATTATTATTATTATCATTCTTGCCTGTTGTTTTTATTTTCTGCTTCGACAACGGCGGATGCATAAGGGAAAATCTATATGTGTACATGTATGTACTGTACATCTGTACATCTTCTCGGATAAAATCCCAATCACAATCACGCGAGCAGCATTCCCAGCTTCACAACCCTGGAATCTGGATGGAGGCTCCTGTTCCTGCTCGCCCGCCGCCGCCTGGGGTTATTTTATTTTTCTCACGATACATATAATTCCTTTTTGCCCGGCAAAACCGCAAGCGAATATCTCGCTGCCAAGGGCTAGCCGGCGGAAACAATGCCCTTTAGGGACAACTTTATTGATAGATGGGCAGCGCCGGTTAGCTAGGGCGGTTCATCTCAGGGGGGCGGCGGTGGTGTTAATTGTTTACCTACTACATACGTTCAGATGGACCATGGGGGAGTTCAATCAAAATCAAGGAACACAGAAAAGAAAAGAAAGCAGCGGGCATTCTGGATTAAGCGAGTGAAGCCGAGAGAGCGGTAGCAGATACTGAACAGATAGACAACGGTACGGAATTTGAGTAAAAGACCGCCTGAAGTAAATAACACCTATATCATATACCGGCCGCGTCGGTAGGTACTGTGGAGCTTCGGTCTACCTGCCTGCCAATGAGAGGTTTGGGGGTCCGCTTCAGTAGCCGGCGGTATCATACAAAAAAAAAAAAGTCAAGACGCTTGCCAATCATAATTACTACTCTGCCCGCGAGATCATAAGTCACGTTTTTTTAATTGAAAAAAAAAAAAAGATAGTATGTTGGGGGCGCTACTCTACATCCGCGCAACCATGCATATCAAGACGGTGCTTCGACGACACTCCTGCCAGCCTAAATTACAATAAAGCTGGACCACCGTCGAGAGTCTGACCACAGCGCAGATAGGACAGGCGTAAGTCAAGGTGTCATGTAAGTAGAATAGAGTAGGAAGCGCAACGCGCGCCACAGGAAGGTAGGTGAGCAGAAGAAGAATTAATAATGTAGGATAGGAAAAAGAAAAGAAAAAGAACAGAGCTTTGATTCTTTCCTGGACCGAGCAAGCCAGAGCAAGGAAGCCTGACTAATGCGACGACGAGACGACAAACCCCAAACCATGCCCACCGCGGGATCCCGAGCATCAACTCGTACGCGAGACATCCCCATTTGCTACCGGGAGACCGGGGGAGCGCGGGAGTCGAGTTCGTGGGGGAAGAGGGAAGAAGGATGAACGGAGGGGGGAAATGAGAGAAGGGACATGAATAATAGGTAATATTGGAATTTAAGACCGTGGGGCTGATGATCAATGTTTCGTGTGGTTGCGCAAGGATTTCTGGCAGGCTTCCTGCTTAGTACTACTTGACTCTGATGACGGACTCAACAGTTCAGCACTGGCTGTAGGTACAGTACGTATGGCAACTCACTTAACTTCAGATATCGTGAACTTTCCCGCAGAACCCTTCCTCTGCAGTATGTACTTATATATGTGCGTACATCATACCTGGCGGTATGCTATGCTAAGGCACTATATCATGTTATGAAAGCATGCATAACTCGTATATCTCTACAGTAGCTAGAGTATTGGGGGGGCGAAGCACCCGGTCCGGCAATAAGGAATTGGGGGTTTATTGATAGAAATGAAATATCTACCATAGGATGGATACCACGATATCATAATAGCAACATTGATGTCAGTAATGCCAATATATCGTGAAGAGATGGATGTAACTAGGTTAGGTGTTTTCAGCGCCGGTGGTTGTTCAGTTAGGAAATAAATATTTCATGTGGCTGGCCAACTTTATGCCTTCGACCTCTGCTTCAACCCCTAGGCGCGCGAGGCACGACTGTTGTAACACAATCCTCCAATGATCATGTGCCCCCGTGCTTTCGTGAATTAAAGTGCAGGAATAGTAAGCGTCTGTATCATCGATGACGGAATTTCAGAAGTCAAGCCATTGCGGATAGTGGGCACGGTAGAGTAAGGGTGCTGTATGTATGTTGTATGTAGGGACAGAGGTAGATAGGTAGGGGGGGGGGGGGGGTGGAATTAGAGGTATTCTATCGTGGGATAGGTAGAGTTAGCTAGGGAGCTGTATTGCATTGAGTTGGTTCCAGGGTAGGGCAGATACCGGTAAGTACGTGCACCGGTGGATGGAATGCCGAAAAGCTACCGTATCTCTACTCTATCTCGTTTTTTTGATTTTTCTTATGTATATTTATCATGTTTTATTTTTCCTGACACGTTGGTGCACGGGGGTACAGATAGACGTGACAGGTAGAGTAGAAGTGTGGATTCTCATGAGCCGGATTTCCCTTCTCAAAGGGACTGGCTTGGGCGGAGTGGTGGCTAGCTAGCTCAGCTCATGGTAGGCCAGATAGGTGTAATTGAAACAAGTTCACGATACTTTTGCTTGGTGTAGCAAGTTGAAATCCACAAAAGTAATTGCCAAAGGGGCGGGTGTGGGCCGGCGTCGACGGGGTCCTTCTTGACGGGCTAACTAGAGTTAGAGTGCCTCCTGTACCTAGAGGTAGGGGGGAGCACGCAATAGTTTCCATGCAATTATTTCTTGATGGAAGCAGGGGACACTTTTTTTTTTATTGCTCGCTGTTTTAATCGTCCATCACTGGCAAGACGTGCGCACAGCCAACTGCACTGACGGGCTGGATGGAGAGTGAAGCGAACGAAACGACATGAAAAGTCAAAGCACCCACAAGCTGTAGTGTGGCTTGCTGACGCACATTTCGATCTTCCGGCCCAATGAGCGTTCTGGGCGATGATTTGGGATGGTTTTTAAGAAAATCTGGGGTCATGCGGGCAATCGAAGAGGGAAACAGAGTTGTCTTACCTTCAATCCCCATCCCCATCCATGTCGACTCTTTTGTGAATCGGATCTGTCTCTGGAACTTTTCTCCTGCCAGTTCATCGAGGCAAGAGAGATGGATGCAGCGGGAGAAATCTAAGGTTATGGATGAGGCTCGTATATTGGTGGTGAGCTGGTATGTATATCATGTGGGCACCTCCGTGATGGAGTGTAATTTGGATATACTGCTGCACTTGGGTCTAATGTGTACACATGTGAAATTATAGGTATGTGGTACCTTTGACTTGAATACTCCCGGTGGACAGTGCAAACATAGTCTATAGAGACACGAGATGGGCAGAAGTATCGGAAACAGATACAGGTGCATTCTCTACCGTATGATGAGGACTGAAAGGATAAAATGAAGGATGACGGGCGATTCAGGAAGTACCTACTCTCATTTGAACGAATCCCGAGTTTCAAGCATTCGAGTAGGTACCAGAGTGTGAACATGACCCAAACAGCAGCTGTGAGTGAGTATATGAGCCTGGGCCCAAAAAGTGACGCTCGGTTGACATGTTCATTGATCTGTTACTGGGGACGGAAGCTGAGGTGTGTGTGAAGGTACTATACTACCTGGGCCACTATCAATAGAGATCAATCTAACAGCTCTGTGGACCTAGGTCTCTATGTAGAGTCTACGAGTGGCAGAAAGTGTTAGGCGTTCAACACCGGGGGACCCGCTCTCTGCACGATATTTCGGACGAACAGCCCACTACAGCTTCAACGGCCGAAGTTCTGTTGTGGTTGATATGTTTGCATTCTCTTTGCACTCTCGAAAGTCAGAAGAAATCCGTGCCTACCCTTATAGAGTTTTTGCTTTATCCTGTGGCTCCTCCTAGGTACGACGGTTCTCCAAGTAAAATAACCTAGAAGCCCTAACTGAAATCATCGGATGAATTAAAGCTCTTTGGATGAGCAAAACATCATATGAGACATGATACGCCATCGTTAGCCAAACGCGACAACGGCTGCTGGTAGAAAATGATATAAAATCAGAGAAAAAGCAACGTCCTACGCGACCATACTGGATCTGTAAAAGTATGCATTCGAAAGGTTCATGAACGTATCACTTGGCAGGGCTTTTGTGTCTGTACCCCCCAAAAGTAGGCGCCAGCGCCGCGTGCACTTTACGGTTGCAGTTTGGTTTGATGCCTATCCATACACGCTTCCTGCTACTAATTAATAGTGGGACAGGGCCTCGGGTCCTAATAACGATGCCAGTTAAGGAATTAAAGGATTAAAAGGCGAAACGTTGAAGGAAGGTGGCAGGAGTAATATACCAATATTAGTTAACAGTGGAACATCATGACGCTTAGTTATTGAAAGTATTAAGCCCATGCGCAGAAATGATTGGGGCGGCTGGTTCATGATAGGATTCAAGATCTCCAGTTTCATGGGATAACATTGCTATTCTGGGTGAATAGGTACTCGAGTACTTGACTCAAAGGTATTTCAAGCCAATACGAAAGCTGAGCAGGTACTTCCATTTCCTGTATTTACTGAGCCAGGGAGGTCAGCACCTGAGTTAGCAGTTTCTCAAGAAAGCTGTTGTATGCAGGCCGAATGAAATATCTTGCTTGAAGGAAATGCTGGTTGTCCCGGTAGCCTGCTCGTACACTCACAATTGATGCGGACTGGGGGGTTCGAAATGAGATAGGTCTAACGAGCTTTGCCAGACCCTTCTTGTACCTCTACACTGCCTTCTTGCCTTGTCCTCCGTCTTAGCATGTGTGTGAATGTACCATCCAAGCTCCGTGAATGTGATTGCTGGTCACTATCACCCTATCACATACTCGCTATCCGGATCCCTGTGAGGTAAGTATACCATGCTGCTTTAGTATCATTATTCACACAGTCCTTCCCCAGCTTTTGGTTTTGGATTTGCACATCTTTTTTTTTTCTTCTTTCCTTTTGCCCACACTCACTCACACACGGTTCAGTGGAGAGTTAGCTGGGGGCACCGACACACCGCGACCCACATTTTTCTGCTGCATGCAAGTCAATTGAACGTCAACGAACCACAGTCCACGATACCGTGACGTACACGAGCGACGAGACTTGAGGTTTCCTAGCCGTGCCGCCGAGAGAAAGTGAGGCGAGGTGGCTGTTTTCCCTCGGGTCGTTGGTGTTATCCCGGTGTGAACTAACTGGTAGTAGGTTGCCTAGGAGTAGCTTTTTTTATTTTTCTCTTCCCTCTTTCGATGTTGACAATCATGCCCTACACGATCCGAAAGTAGGATAGTGGGAGAAATTGTTGCGATGATATAAAAATATACAATCAGGAAAAAATAAAATAAAACACTCGCAACGCCTTGAATAGCCAGGTACACAGAGCACACCCACAGAGCTCACAGAGTTCATGGGTGACAGAGCGGGACGGTCGGTTCTGGTCTGGAAATCGATAGTCAGGCTGAAGGGGCGAGGATGTTAGCTCCTTCCCTTGCCCTGGCGGGTGTGTGTAATAATATCAGGAACGAATCCCAGCGGGACAAAAAACAAGAAGATTTGCAGACATCGTGTCAAATAAGATAAAACGTGAGCTCCACGCCGGAAGGGGCGCTGATTGCAGAACCCGAATAAGAGAAGGGAAGGGAAGGGAGGTACACACAGCACAGTACGTACCGCGCAATAAATCAAAATTGAATTGATTGTAGAGTACGAGATCGTGGAACATCAAAGAAAGAAGAAGTAAACGTGTGAATACCTACATACCTGCTACAGCTAGTAGGTGTTCTACATAAACTACCTACTATTCACAGCCCTCACCCTCCCACCCGCTGCTTTTTGCACGCTCTGGATTGAGCTCTCTGTGCCGGTACAGCCAGGACACATCCAGGTATCCCAGGTAGACTTCCGGTTGGTTCTTATATACATACATCCGCCAGTTTTATCGGTCCGTTAGACAGTGACCAGTCGCGCTCATAGTCGTAGTCAGCCACTCATTCAGTCACACACATCTGGAGTCTCGAGTCACCCCCCTCCAACGCAGCCATCCAACCACGCATTTCCTCATAACCCTTCAACCCTTCCATTATATCTCTTGTTTTTCCTTCTTCCTGACCTGTCTACCCCCCCGGTCAAGGTTGAAGTAGCAGACAGCAGCAATAAACAACCACACTTCACCTTTCAAACGTTCCGTTGTTACTGCTGTTCGGTGAGTTTCATCCAAGAGACTAGACGACTGTAGTCATCTCAATTCGCCTCGTCGCTTTCAGTTCTGCTTCTCTCGGATTCGGCGAGTAAGAGAAGAAAGGGTCGAGGGATAATACACAAATATCTATCAAACGCCCCCCCCCCCCCACACTATATCCTCTTACGACCCAAAGTTACAGAATAGCGAAACTTCAAACGAAGACAGATCGACAAACACCGGGTGACGCAAAAACTACTTCTAGACGTCCTCCTGCCCGGCCATCGGGAGTTGATCCTGAAAGCATTTCTCTCCTTTCGCTTTTCAAGGATTCTATCTCATCTACCTGTACGATCTTCTGTAGATTGACTTCCTCTCTTGTACAGTCCTGCAGTGACCATCACTATCCTTTCTTAAGAAGAAGCCGCCAGCCACCTTGTGAGTGTTCTGATCGACCCGTTGTGGCAGTAGCCTTGGTGTGTGAAATCGTCTGGACTGATTCCCGGATTCTTTTCACGATTGTGAAGTGGCAGTAACATATTTTTTTTACTGTTCTCAGCCGACAGTTTTGATTTAGGTATACGGACCACTCATAGATTTCCTACTCCTGCATGATCGCTAACTTGATAGATAACTGTCCAGTAAAGATCCTAGTGTTTCGAGCATAGTCCTGTCAGACCCGTTGAACGACACGAAGACCACTACTTTTTGCAGCATCTCAACTTTCAAAATTTTCAACCTGGCCGCGTTATTACCGAAAGTGCTACAGCTTCCTCTTCTTCGTGCGTCTCATCTTCTGCCAGCGAGCAGAATCAAAAGGAGCCCTGTCCCAGCTGAGATACACTTGATTTATCACACTCACGGTCGACCTTGATCACCTTACCCATCCATTCTTCATCTTCTAAGCCTAGAGCTTGGTATAGACGGGTGCTTCAATTGTATACTCTGTGAACTGTGGGTTCATCTTATTCAAATACCTTTGTAGTGCCAAAATCATCCTGACCAGATTCACCTCTTCAAGTCTGGCTCGCTATCACAGCCTTGCCCGACTTCCTCACATAGAGTCATCTGTCGTAGTATGGCCGGAGAAAACGTCGCTCTGCAACCGCCAGTCAGTTCAACATCCCCCACAATGTCTTCCTCTTATCCCAACGGAGTGAATAACGGGAATGGTATGCCATAATTCGCTTGGTCCCATCCAATGTAGAAGCCTTAGCGATAAAGTACTCACAAGTTGTTTCAGCCTCTAAATCACAGCAGCCTCTTCCACCTCCACCAAAGACTGATAAGCCCAGACCGCACGTGTGTGCGACTTGCACACGCTCGTTTGCCCGTTTGGAACATCTAAAGCGTCATGAGCGTTCTCATACAAAGGAGAAGCCATTCGAATGCCCGGAATGCACCCGATGCTTCGCCCGTAGAGACCTTCTTCTCCGCCATCAACAGAAGCTACACATGACAACAACTCCCAGCAGCCGCCCAAGAGCTGGTGGTCGAAGGGAGAGCACTAGTTCTGTTGCGTCCACAACTGGTAGGGTTCGAAAGAATTCCATCTCCACAGCTACTGTTCCACCCAGTGCCGGTGATGGCGGTGCATCAACAATGAGAGCTAGGCCAAGGGCGAATACCATTGCTCATGTGGATTCTTCAACTTTGGGAATGATTGCCGCCGCAAACGCGAATGTTAACCGCGGAAGAAATGGTGTAGCCGCTCAGGCCAATATGGGAGGTATCGGTTTTGGTTCCCACAATCATGAGGAAACCAGGTATGTCTTTCCAAAGATGAATCCCCGGACATGGGGTGCCTGGGCTCATGAGGGACCTAGGCACGCGATCCCCAAGATCGATACTTCAATCAACTCATTGGACTTGGGTGGAATGATGCCCCGTTCTGCCACAATCCTGCCCTCTGAATTCGACCTTGAAGGGCTGTTTTTTCAGCCACCAAACTGTTAACCCAGCAGCCCTACACTTCAACATGTCTCCTCTTCAGCAGCCTATTGGAACTCCGACTTCGCCCTTCGGGTCCGATTTCCCTAGCATTAATTCATCGTCCTACTATTCCATTGACGATGAGGATGATTATGAATGGATGAATGTTTTGGGTGGGGGTAGTCTTCTGAACGAACCCGTTGATCAGTCATCTCCGAGCGCTTTCAGCACCACTTCCGCGAGTGGGATAAGCGAGTTGATGCTCAACGACGCTGTATGGGGGGCTGGCGGAATTGGAATCAACTCTACGGGCAGCTCGATGAACTATTCTCCATCGACTGATTTTACGACTCCGAATTTCAATGATACCCCACCGCCTGGTACCGTTTCTCCAAAAAGCTTGCTAGCCCAACAGATCTCTAACGAAAACTATTATTCTACTCCAGATCCGCTTTCCATCTCCCCATCAGGGATGGCAGCTGGCTTCTCTTCTCATTACAATCAGTTTCCGAACCAAGAAGCTCCGCCAGCTGGCCCGAACTCGATGAGCTCTTGCGGATCATCCCTAATATCGCTTGCAGCTGAATCCGTTACCGAAGCCACCCGCGCGGCATTGTTGACCACCTTGACGCAGCAGCCAGGATTTAACGCCCAAGCAAACCAACAAAATTATCAGAATTCTCGTAACCAACAACAACGTAGGTACTCGACATCTGCACAATCGTCCCCAGTAACTACAGGATTCACCGCATCGGTAAAGCAAGCGTCTGCGGTCAATTTGCCCAGCACCAAGGAGCTTCAGCGCTATGTTTCCGCCTATATCAAGTACTTCCATCCGCACTTACCATTCCTACACATCCCTACCTTGAATTTCAATTCTTCTACCTTTACAAGCAGCTACAAGGGTGGGCAACGCAACGGTGGCATGACTGGTGGCGGTGGGTGTCTCGTTTTGTCCATAGCCGCAATCGGAGCCCTTTACGAATTCGAGCCGATAATTGCACGTGAGCTCTTTGAAGCAGCGAAACGCAGCATTCAATTGTTCCTGGAGGACCGACGAAAGGCCGATGTCAGTGCTGCAATCAGCGGGATGCATGGGTCGGGCTCAAATGGAGGTGACTCGAGCAGCAATACCCCCGTTTGGCTTGTTCAGGCAATGCTTCTTAATGTTATCTATGGATTGCAATGTGGTGACAGAGCAGCTTGTGAAATTGCTGTTACCCACTGCGGGGCATTGGTTTCTTTGGCAAGGTCCGCAGGTTTGACGCGCCCAACAGCTATTCCTGCCATGAATTCTGTTAAGCAAGAAGATGGCGATATTCAGATGGGGGATTTGGATCTGGGGTCGTTTGATGGAAGTGTTGGTAGTGATGGATGGGGAGGACTTGGGATCAAAATGGAGGCCGATGAAAACGTCGAATGGACGAGCTGGATCATGGCCGAGGAAAGGAAGAGGACCCTGTATGCGGTGCACTTTCTCTCTAGCTTGCTCGTTGCTGCACACAACCTGTCCCCGACACTTATGAACAACGAGATCCGCCTCGATTTGCCTTGCAACGAGGAGTTGTGGTCTTCGCACGATGCTGCTGAATGGCAACAAAGAGGCGGCCTCGTTGCTGCCTCCAAGAGCTCGGTTAGTTTCGCGAATGCGCTTAACGGACTTTTGTCCACAGGCCAACAGCAATACGGTCCCCCGGGTAAATTCCAGAATTTCACCAACGGCCAACAAGGAGGAATCCCACCCTACCCGCCTTCTGGGATCATTCCCAGTACATTTGGATGTCTTGTCCTCATATGTGCGCTTCATGTGTACATTTGGGAGACACGCCAAAGGCACCACGCCCGTCACTGGACTTCGGCGGAAGCAGAAGCGATGCACGCGCACATTGAGCCTGCCCTGAAAGCATGGCAAGCAGCGTGGTACAGTAGCCCGCATCACAGCATCGAGCGACCAAATCCATACTCAATGGGCCCTCTATCAGCCGACTGCATTCCTCTCCTCGATCTTGCGTACATCCGTCTCTTTGTAGATTTGGGAAGAGCAAAGGAGTTCTTTTGGGCAAGGGATTACGATGCCATGGCAGAGGAGATTGCTCGTGGATGGGATAATGGCCAGATTACATCTTCCAGCGCATCTTCAACCTCAGCGCAGTCTGATGCGTCGTTTTCTGGTGCGATGTCGCCCGCTTCTTCTCCTGCCTCTACTTCGCCCTCTCCGAGCCTTCGGCCAATCAAGATGGAGCCCGGAACATCGTTCACAAACAATGGCATGCCCGTTAGTCCCAATGGAGCTTGTTCGAAGCGCGAAAAACATCTTAGAAAAGCTGCTTTCTACGCCGCGGACTCACTAGCGATGTCGGATACCCTTGGCGCCTCAACTTCATCTTCTTCTACCGCCTGCCGCGAACTCCCCATCCAGTCTGCACTTTGTACATTTGATTGTGCGCAGGTCCTTGCTGAGTGGATTGCCACTGTCCAGGAACGCGTTGCACCTTTTGTTGGAACCCTTGGCTGCGGTGATAAGTTCGAATTAGGAGGAATTGAGGGGCTAATGATTCTCGAAGCTGAGGACCGTAAGCTACTCGGAAAGGTTATGGAGATGCTGAGAAACGCGCAGGCGAAGATGGCTATGGATGCTTATGCTACCGCCAACGGGAGCGGGATCATCAACGCAGATAGTGGTTTGGGTCCCAAGGTGTTGAGAGTTAGTGCCTATCTTCTGGATAAGGTGGTTGTGTGGCCTGGTACGTATCCTTCTTCAGCCGATCTCGGATTTAATTTCTAACATCAATTAGCTACACGCCTCATGGCGCAAGCTCTCCGCTCGCAAGCAGATCATATGGAAGTCCGAAACAATACAATGCTCGCTCATCATATGCAACACTAAGCTAATCTCGCCGAATACGAGGCCGTCATCGACCTGAAATGCAAGAGTTTTTCCTCGTTATTCTCATGATTTCAATCTATAGATCACGGGATTTTTTTTTGAAGGAGTCTCAATCTTCCGTTTCCCTTCGTTTCATTTCCTTTGTTCACCGTAAATATGGTACCTTTTTCATATGTCTGGGAATCTTATTTCTTTCTCATGTCTATGGGTGGCTCGGGTTTTCATATATTTTGGTTTGGGGCATATTTTTTTTCAACCTATTTCTCATATAATTTCCTTCATTATCTGGGGCTTGGTGTTGTTTGATTTTTTTTGTACGAAAGTACCGTTTTTTCTTTCATGATTGAGAATGATAGCTGATGATGTACACGATTGTTTGTATGAATGTGTGTGCATAATTGTTTTTTTTTCGATTTTCTTTCTGGCAGATAAACCGTCTCTCTCAAGTTTTTATGTTTGATATTCAATGTGTGGGGGCTGTGGCGGTGGCGGAGATTCTCGGTGAATAGGGTGTTATATATATTTTTTTATTATTTCGCCCTATTCTTCTCCTTCCCGCTTTCCCCTTTGCATTGTGCATTTTGCTGTTCTTTTTTTCTAAATATCGACTTGTTCTGGGTTTCTGTTTTTATTTCATCCGTTTCGCTTTTCTCACGGCATTTCTTTGTGAATACTGATCAGCGGTTTTGAGTATGTAGAGGACTTGTTTTGTTGCTTTGTAAGGCGTTGTATGTTTCTCTAATCTCCTTTTCCTTATTATCTTGTATCTCTTTTTTTTCTTCTTTGTTTTCTTCGCCTGCGATGATGTCGATGTTAATGTCGGATGATTGCGGGACTCGGATGAACGAGGAAAAAAAGAAAAAAAAAACGAAACAAGTGGTGATGGTTGAAGAGGAGGATACGCGGAAATTTGCGACACCTTTTTTTTTTTTTTTTTTTTTTTTTTTTTCCTTTAACGAATGATATGAACCACTTTTCGAGATTCTATTTTCCTTGGGTATCTTCCTTTGTTTGGGTGGTGTGCTGGTTTTTTTTTTTCTTTCTTCCTTCCTCTTTCCTCGGCTTTTTGCATGTTTCAGGGCGAGATGGGCTTTCGTTTCTGTTCATTTTTTTTTTAACTGGAAAGACCTGATCAATGTTTCCATGTTTTCCTCTTTTTTTTTTTTTCTTTCTTTCTTCGCGATTCATTATCGGCCAAACAAAATGGCACCTTCCTACCTACTCTACCTACTCTACCTACCCTACCCTACCCACTCTACCTACCCTACCCCTCCCCCGATTGATTTTTATATACAAATATAGGCTACCTCTGTATGGACTGGCTGGCTAGCTAGGTTTTCTTCTAAATATGGTCGATGATGATACCTTTCTTCCCTCCTCCCTTCCTCCCTCATGTCACACCCCCCTCCCATCCCACCACCACTACTACTACTACCACTACTACCGATACTATCATGTCCTCATGTGTTCCTGAAAGTCTTTACCAATCATGTACCCTAAAAAATCAATTCAAATCCGGAATCCGAATCAAAAAAGCAAAAGTGAAAAAACATTGCCAAATAAAGTGAAGGAACACTAGAAGAAAAAAGAAAATTCCTGTCTTGGATTCGCCATTGCGGTGATGATGGGAGGGCAGGTGCTATGCCGGCAGCGTGTACCCCGGTGGTGAGTAAATGTGCCGAGAATCGGGAAATTTGGAAACCTTTGAAAGCCGGCGGGGGCTACTGCTGCCGTGGATGGCCCCGGGGGGGGGGGGTGGCGAGCTCAGGGAGAGAGGGGGGGTGGGGTCTGGTTGTTGGGTGCTGTTTTTGGCACAATTGTTTGCCGAAGGGCAATTATGCCCACCTGCTGTCACTCTTTTTTTTCTCTGCACTTTGGTTCCAAGAGTGGGAGAGAGAAAAAATCAAAACAGCATTTGCAAAACAGGGTCATTGAATCGGCGAAAAAGAATTTCTGCTCCGCTCCGGAAGACCGAGCGAGTGATCAGATATGTTGATCCAGCTAGGCTAGTCTATCCTAGGCGATTTTGTTTCAGTTGCAGAGTTGGGCAGAGTTGAGTTGAGGAGCTCCCCCCCCGGCTCCGCCCCACAAATATGTTCAATGATGTGCATACATATATATTTTGCTATGTAACTGCGGGAAGGGAAGGGGAGGCAAGGTAGGTAGGTTAGGTAGGTAGCCTAAACCGGGAAAATACATTCTGTATAATTTTTTTTCTTTCTTTTTTTTGCCCGTGACCCGGTCAGTGCGGTAGATAGATGGAATCTAGGGACCTCGATGATGAGCGGAGAGATAGAGATAGACTGGCGTGGAGTATCGAGATCATGTTTGGGGAGAGAGCGAGATAGAGGAGGGGGATATTGAGGTGGTACGCAGCGCAGATAGATGCAGGTATAATAAGTGTTGCTAACATTGCTATTGGTGGTACCATGGTGTACGGTTGTACAAGTAAGTAGTAGAGGAGATATCATCAGTACTCGAGATCAGTGGTAGAGGTTCAGTTAAACTATTGGGCGGGAGTGATAACGGCATGTATGTACGTACTAGGGTAAATTCAAGTACTGGGATGCCCTTGACTAGTTGAGTTGGTCTATCTGCGTACCCGCAAAGGTTTAATCCGCTGGGGATTTGATGGTGTTTGTATCCCATAGACAAGGAGGTACCAGTGGCTGGTATGCACGTATGTAGGGCATACAATTACAATGTAGCTAGCTAGAGGGATATATGCCCCGCAAGGATATCCTAGCTATACCGGCGACTTTTTTCGGCGAGAAAATAAGGATATATATCCCGTCCACATATGCATGAGAATGTCTGACGAACAAACTTTATATAAAATCCTTATCTAGCAAGATCAAGGGTTAGGTCTATTTAAATCAGCGAAAGGGGAAAAGATGGGCATAGGACGAACCATTGCATAAGATATCACTCACCAACGAATTCTAGCAGGAGCTAGATATATTCAGCTGTACGTACATGTAGGTACATACATAAGTACCATCCAAAATACCCTATCATCATTTCCAGTAAGCATTTGGGACACAGTCATCTGGACTCACAGTGTAGGTCAATTAGGTCCAACCCGCATAACATCCAATGGGACAAAAAAAAAAAAACCATGGCCAGGCCCGGGAAACAAAAAGGTGTAAAATAAATCGTTGACCCATAAGCCCGCTCCGGTCCTGGTTGTTGCCCACACTAGCCACATTTAGCTGGCTGGTGTTATTTGGCTGTTCTTGCCCTTATGTATGGAATGTGCGGTATTAGCGTTTTGGTGGAATGTCCATATGCTTTCCAATGGCTAGAGCAGTTACCTATGCAAGTCATTGCATTAGATGACGAGGGAGAGAGAGATGATGCAAGCTACCTGTCTTTGACAATGCCGTATTTACCACCGCGGTAATACCACCATATACCTGTTCGCCAAAATAATAGATAAAGCGGCATATTCTCACAATACCGTATCAGTTTTACACCCGTTTCTGATACGGTACATGTATCCCTTCACAAGCTCCAACCGCACAGCTAGAAAAATCTCCACAAACTACATGTAGCTATAGCACCTGCAGTCCCTATCGTACCTCACCACCACCGAATCAAATCCATGTATCATATAGCTCTATAAAATGACATCGACATGAGGTATCACTCGCTCCCCAATCCAGCTAGCCTCCGCGGTGGGCTAGCCCTAACCAATCGAGAATATTACATACCATGACGTCGGCATTGCGCCAAGATTGGCGGTGAATTTAATAGATCCTTCGCCGACCAATTACTACAGAGTCTGGTGGAATTATTGCGAAAGTAGGTTTTTCGTGACCCGATGGTCCTATTGGCCCTTAAAGGGATTTCTGCAGTGAGCACGGACCAAGAAGCCCACTCTTTTAGTTCTGACTTTTGCAATAATCCTACCAGACTCTGTATATACGTTCTACTAGCAAAGACGCAAAGTCTCCAGCCCCGTGACTCTCCTCAATCTTGGTGCTCCCACCATGATGCTAGAAAACGGCCTACACGTGACCCGAGGACTTTGCGTCTTTGCTAGTAGTATGTAGAAGGGTATGCATTGATGTCAAATTAAAAAAGCCCATCTCATCACAACCTCCCGTCCCACGATAAACTACAGTACGAAAAAAGGGGGGGGGGGTGTAATAAGTATTGTACTTATTAGTACATCCAATTTTTACTGTATATAACTATAGTTTTCCGCGCCACGTCTTCCATGTCTAGTACTAGTCATTGTCATAGCCTCCGGGCTGCATACAATTACTGAATTATCAATAAATAAATCATTCCATGCCTTCCTAGTCATTAAGCTAGCCAGCCCAATGGTTGTGACCACCAAGATGATACCCATATCGAATTCGAAGAGATCATGTCCTAGCTCCCGTATCTAAACTATATAGTCTTCCTCATCGTCACCAGCTGTAGGAACGTCTCCTATTGGTTATAGCGCGCGCACTACATGTGTTTCTAATACTGATTGCATATCATGATTCGACAAAGAACTACTCCCGAGACGGAAGGGAACTGGCATTAAAAGGCGTGTAGCTATTGCAATTGATGGATATAAAAGAACAAACACTGACAGAACTACAGCTATATTTTTATATATGAAGGTCGAATTTCCCTGATACCATTTTATCATGTACATGTGCTCGCATATCAAGTATGTATTTGCGCAACCAGCAAAACACACACAGAACCCAGAGAGCTTTCCCATCTCCCCTGAAATTATGTGTCTTCTATCTAGACACCTGAAAGACTCTACAGGCCACTTTTAGGCCATATCTACAAAGAACAAGCCCTGAAGGCGAAATGTGTCTAAAAGGGTCCTTTTATGGCACCTTTACCAGTATCTCAATTGGGCCAAGGATTTGAAGCATGGACCTCCTTTTATCAAAATTATGCTATACTTGGTCGTTGATATTTTAGTTTAGGTGTGAGACTTTTTATGAGTTGCTGAAAACCTCGATTTTTGGTGTGTTTTGCTGGTTGGGCAAATACATAATTGACGTGCGAGTACATGTATAACTCCATGTCAAAAATCCTGGGACAAGCACCCGTAGCAACTCGCGGTTGCGTTGTCCCATGATTTTTGAACATACTAATGCTACTCATTGAACGGCTTGGAGTGCATACGTATACTAGAGCTAATATATCACAGATTACATATAAGGAGAGATGGAGATGAGGTTTAGTGCATGCCTGACACAATAATCCAGAATGACAGCAATAATCTAAGAAATTACTATCGCAGTACCGCCCGCACCTCATTTCCTCAGTATGTTTGGGCGGCCGAAGGCCGCACTCCGCTTGTATATTACTAGGTAATATGCTAGAGGTCAAGCTAGCTATAGGACTCCCTCGTCTTCCCTCATCCTCATTGTGTTAGCAGGAACCTACCTATTATCTACGGCCAGATCCGTGTTTAGGGAGGCTTTAATTGGGTACGCAATCGTGACATATCCACGTTATTACTGGGCGAGATTAACAAGGTCCCGATACATACTCCAGGGAAGTCATCAATTCTACATCACGACTCAGCACACCCCCGTCCAGAAACCAGATCCAGTCTTCCTTTCAGGAAATTCCTCACTATCCACGCCACGCAAACCACACAAAACAATCCAACAAAATTAAACCAGATCTCAATAAATCTTTTCTACTCATCCCATCACGGTCCTAACAATAAAAACTCCTTCTTTCCTAATAAAGCATACTACATTTCCCTCTCTCTACACCGTGTCCCTAATGTACCATCCGCTATTACAAATATTCTATTTCTAATTATGCACCGCCAAAAGCCTCTCAATCACGCCATCAAGCACCCACTCATGCTGCCCGCCCACAACCTCCAAGTTCTCCGCCTCAGCAAGGAACATCTTATGCGGGTCCTGACCCGGCGCAAACATGCCTGCGCCGGCGGCGGGGTTCATGCCGCCCATCTGTGCGGCCATCTGGTCTGCGGCGTTGTCGTTTCCGAGGATGAAGCTGAAGACGGGGCGGAGACCAAAGAGGTTAAGGAAGTACCTAGCAAGCAGAGGTTTAGTTGATTAGTGGCGAACGGATGAGACGGGATGAGCATGTGGAGGGAGCTTACCAGGAGAGAGACGACACCCATCGGACGTCCATATCCCTCGTCATGACACCGGACTGAAGCATGCTCTTGAAGCGAATCGTCAACGGGAACGGCAATTTCACTATCACGCACCCAACGCAGTCAGCACTGTTCCTATCACCACAACCACCACAGCCACCACAGCCACCACGTCACACAGCATAGCACACTCACTAATAACAAAACCACTAAAAAACGCATTAATCCACCCCATAATCAGCGTCTGCGGCACCATCATCGCCATATTTCCCTTGAGCATATTCATCATCTGGTCCATCCCCGCCGGATCCGTCATGGGGTTCGCCGGCGGCTTTCCCTTGTTCTCCTGGTCCTTAAGGAACTCGCCGCGGTTGTAGGCCGCCACGAGGTAGTTCTTGCGCGCCGTGAAGGAGGACAGCGAGAGCTGGTTGAGGTTTGTGCGGAGCGCGATGCCGTGGAGGAGGTTACGCCTGAGGAAGTTAAGGTTAGTACCATGTATGTTTGGTGGGCTGGAGCTCGAGGGGAGGACTGGGGAGGAGGGGAGGATGGCTTACTGCTCGCGAATGGCACGGATGTCTTGTTTCTGGGGCGCGGACTGCATCAGGACTGTCGCGTAGTGACGGAGTATACCAGTGAGGACCTAGATATCTCGTTAGCCCAATTGAAGCAGCTGTCTGTCTGTATACGTACCATGACAATCGTGATGGGGAACAAGATCCAATAGCTACATAGTAAAGCAATCTGTCAGCATGGCATTAGACGGTTAGGGGGGAAAGCACTAGCTAGTGTCCTACAATAGCTGGGGATCCCGAAGGATCGTTTGCTCCTGTACTGAAGCCATGGTGGTGGTGGTTGCTGGTGGTTGTTGGTGGAGGAAACTCGAGATGTGGCTCGCTCGCTTTGGAGATGTGTTGCTAAGGAAAGGGACACGGGTAGGGTAATTTCTTGGCGGTGTTGAGCCGCAACAACGCTAGTGGAGGACTGCAGCTGGGAATATTTGAGTGAGCTATGGTTGAGAGTGCTGAACTCTTGAAGAATTCCGACTATGGGCAATATTACACATATAATGATCTGTTTAGAATTGTACTCTTATGATTTTTGGGGGTTAAAGATAAGACATAAGATTTATAGGTATCGATAAGCTTAATTATCAGTATAAATACATATTATAATCGAGTGTTTAATAAAACACTCTGTTATAAGTTATGTATGCTTAATTAAACAATCGGCTATTAATTACAGAGCACGAGCTGTGTTTGTTTTAAACCAACCTGTGGTTTGAATTAAACAAAGGGCTAGTTTGTTTAAACCAACCGGTGGTTTACTTTAAACAAACTGTAGGGTAGTTTACTTTAAACCACAGGCTGGTTTGTTTAAACACCAGCGCCACCAAGCGACAATTCTCGCCCGCTTTAAACACCGGCCGGATGTACCACAGGGATAAGCTTAAGAACAGACCGCAGAAAAGTGATCCAAGTGAAAACACTCTGATAGCGCACTATAACGTTTCTTGTCATCATCAGTACCAACGACGCCAAGCATCACCACCGATAAAACCCACCCGAGTGATAATCCATGAACGCAGCTATACCAACACCAACCCAACGATCACTTCCCAAGAACGACAGAAAGACAGCTATTTAAAATTCACCAATTCCCGCGCTTAGAGCCCCGTTTACCCTTTACTACTTCACATGCTCCAAGAAGCTTAAATAACCCCCCCCTGAGACACCCACCTCCCAAGCCCACTTCTTTGTCCTCGGGCAAACCCCCTCTCGATATATAAATACACCCTCCCCCCCCCCCCATATATGGGCCCATCCAGCAATTACATATATTCACATTATCTTCCAGACCCAAACACACCAACCACAATGGAATCCCTCTCCGCGGCCGCACCAGCCAATTCCACTCCCTCCACACGCGCAAGCTCCAAATCGCACACGCGCGACACACCCTCCGCCGCGCCCGCCTCACGCACCATCAGCGCCTTCTGACGCTCTCTTCCATCCCTCTTCCCCCCTCCCCTCCTCTACCATCCCCACAACCTCCTCCACCCACCCTGCCATCGCTTGCAGATACACCGCCGCAATCCACCGCCTCAAGCGCACGCTAAAAGCCGCCTACAACCAAGCACGCACACAGCACCTGCGCGCGATCCACGCGTGGGAGCGGGAGGTGGGGGATCTGCTTGTGTGTCTGAGTGGGCCGGGGGATGGGCGCGTGGGGTGGGTGTGGGCGGTGGAGGAGCCGGAGGAGGAGGAGGAGGTGGGGGGTGGGGATGGGGAGTATGTTCCTCCGTTGGTGGGGGAGGAGGAGGAGGAGGAAGGGGAGGAGGGGGATGAGCTGGATCAGGTGGATGTGGGGGAGGGGGAGGAGGGGGATATATAGTGAGTGATGAGTGTTCTACCTAAGGGACATGCAGAATATAAATTGTAAAAACTGCTTATTTAAACCAACTCATAAACCACCTACCACTACGTAGCATTATGTCCATAGCACTGCATCACGAAACACAATCCACCCCCACAAGTACGTAGCAACACGCCGACGAACCCCAACCTGCAGTAGAGCGTGATTTGTTCACTACACCCCCAAACCCCGGCCCCCCAAACCCCCAAACCACACCCAAACACCACCCATGCCTCTCCTCCACATCCAACCCCTATCCCATCACATACCTACACATAACCGTCCTCCACCACCAGAAATCCCCCCCACATCGAGCTCATACCCGCGGATGCTGGCCTGTGTCCGACAACCGAGTGATATCTCATGACGCACTTCCCCATCACCTATTCCACTTCACTTCTATGTACACCACACCTGCCTCATCACGCGGGAGGGAGCCAGTCAACTCAACATTATAAATGCACGGTCATGATCTATCCATCCGATCCATTGATACTCCCAAAGACAGGAAAGAACCGAAAGAAAGAAATCAAAAAATGAATAAAGAAAAAGACAAAATAAAAATTATTCCACCCAAGAACGCCTCCAACCAGCTATACATCAAGCGGAGATTAAATTAAATTTCACAATCCACCACCCCCTTCCCCCACCCCACCAACCAAAAGCTCCTAAAAAAAGTCCAAAAGGTCCAAAAGTCCAAGAAATCTAAAACCCCCCACACCCTACTCCACCCTCTCCGCCCTCCATATCCCCGCCCACTCCCACACATCCGCCAACTCCACGAACCGCCCCTTCCGCACCCACCTGCCCCGCGCCTCATCCCACACCGGCACCCGGTCCGCGCGGTGCCCAAAATCGCCAAACGCAAACACCTCGAGGTTGCGCAGGTCCTGCTGCGCCAGCCGGATCTCCATCATGGCCGCGTTCTGCCGCATCTCCGCCATCACGTCCGCGCGCGTCAGCGGCGCCACGGTGAGCACGTGGATGTAGCGCAGGCGCGTGAGGAAGACGATGAGGACGTCGAGTATTTTCTGCGGCGTCGTCGTCGGTGGTGTTAGCTAGCCCGCCATACACACACACACACACACACAGAGAGGGGGGGAGAGGTGTCGTACCCATTGACTATGCAGCATCGAAATCGCCAGTTCCTCCAGCCCCGCACAGGACCTAAACAGCCTACTCACATCCAACCTCTCATAGCTCCACCTCGAGCACAGCCTCAGCCGCTTCAGCGTCGCGCCATGATGCCGCTCAATCGCCTCCAAGAACACCGTCGCGTTCTCTGCCTCGTCGTGCGCAACCGCCGGCGGGTCCAGGATATACAGCTCCTCCAGCCCGTCAAAGCTGTTGAGCAGCAGCGCCCAGTGCGCCGCACACGAGTTGATGCGCAGCGACTTCAGCTTCAACTGCACGACCCGAATCACCGAGGCCGTCGACCCCGGCGTCGTCCCCGGCGTACTCACCACCGACGACGCCGCGCCCGGCGACTCCACACCCACCGTGAAGCCGCCGCCGCTGAGAAAGCCCGGCGGCTGCTCGGACTCGATGAGTGAGCCGTGGGAGCCCGCGCCGATAAGCTCCAGCCAGCTTGCGGCGTCAACGACCTCGCAGTCGAGGAGGCTGAGCTTCTCCAGCTGCGCCATGTCGAGCCACTCCTTGATGTCGCCGACCATGGGGAAGTCGAAGATGACATTCCGGAGCTCCAGCTCCTTGAGGCGGAGCTTACCCGCGGTCTGGCGGTCGCTGGGGCGGCCGGTGCCGACGCCGATGCCGACGCCGCGGGCGGTGGGGGGTTTTTTCTGCTGTAGGATGCGCTGGAGGAAGAGCATGCGGCCGAGGGGGGTGGGGTCGCGCCAGGAGAGGGAGATGGATTCGAGCGTGGGCGAGAAGAAGATGGCGGGGCTGTAGTCGTCGATGAAGGCGGAGACGCTGGGGAGGTTTGTGAGGCAGAGTCTGCGCAGCGTGCGGAAGGGCGGGACAGAGGTGAGGGGGGGCCGGTGTATCGAGGGGTTGTTGGAGAAGCCCTTGTGGGCTAATGACTTGCCGGCACCAGTCTTGCCGTTCGTGGAGGGATGAGGATGATATGGCGGAATGGCGGGATGCGATATCTTGAGCTCCTTCAGCGACGGGTTGCGCACCAGCGCTGTGAATAGTAACGGGTGCACATAGTCGTCTGTCTTCCACCTATATATATCTCAATCACATATATATTCACAGATCAGCACTCGATCGGTAATGCACCACACACCACCACCGCATTATCGTTCTTCCGCCCGGTGACATCAATGACGGAATCCGATATATATATATAAAAAAAAAAAAAAGATCAAAACCCACCAGAACGTTTCCAGCCTCGTACACCCCGCCAGCACCCCAGCCACCGCCACCGCCCACACAGTGTCCTCGTCGCTCCACTGCGCGCGCTCCCACCACTCATCCTCCGCGTCGCGGTCGCGCTCCTCCTCGTCTTCGCCGACGATCTCAAGCACCTTTACGCACGCCGCAATGCCGGGCTTCATGAGCGCGCTGAGGGCCATGTACTTTTTGCCGGCCCTGGGCCGCCGGCTGGGCCGTCGCAGGGACACGGTGTGGTAGAGAAGCGGGATGGAGAGGAAGTGGTGGATGCGGGAGGTGCGCGCGACACTGGCTAGGTCCGAGGGGGATTTGATCTGTGGATGGGGAGAGAGAGATGTCAGCTCCAGAGCTATCGCAGTTGCGTCACCCAACATCAACATCAAACATCGCAGCAGCAGCAGGTGGTAACTGGCAGGCAGGCAACCAACTTAAACCAGACCCAGCGTGAGGCGGAAAGAGGTGGGGGGAGTAGAGCGTGGGCATACGTGAGAAATAATTGAGCTCATGATGTCCAGTGGAAGCTGTATCCGCGCTGGATCGGCACCCGTCCGGAGCTTGTGCATTGTGGGATCGAGAATCTCGTACATCTCTCTCTCTCTCTGTGTGTGTGTGTGTGTATAGTTTCTGTCTCTGATGCAAGGATCGCGGTGTCTTTTATTGTACTGTATGTATGGATTGTGTGTCTTGTATTGTCTGTATTGCCTGTGTTGTGTAGACTGACTGTATGGACGTCTCTCTCTCTGTCCTTCTGGACCGTCTCGTTCTGTCACTCGGCACCGATAAGTACCCTCAATCCAGTAGTAGTAGAGTAGCAGAGCAGTAGCAGAACAGCAGAGTGAGTGAGTGAGTGAGTATATTCCCCCCCCCCCCTCAGCAGACAGGCGGTATCTCCTTCTCCTTCTCCCTCTCTTTCTCTCTGCTTCTCTCCCTCTCCCTCTCTGTCCCTCTCTCGCACTCTCACTCACTCTTCCTCAACTCAGCCACCCAACCTCGACTACTCGGCTTCTTCCGTTTCCGTTCCCGCACCCGCTCGGTCTCTCTCTCTCTCTCCTTCTTCTTCACTTCGGTCCGGGAAGTAGTCCACCGTCACCGCCTGCCCTTCAAGTAAAATACCTAATTCAATCGATAACCTTTTCTTGTCCGCGCACGACCACAGAAAAATAGAGATAGAAATAGAAATAGAAATTAGCAGGACCCAGCGACTAGGTATGTAGGTATATTCCAGGGAAGGCAAGGCAAGAAAGGGAAGGGAAGAGATAAAAAAAAAACAGATTCTCCTAACGAGACGAGCGATCGAGTGACTCCAAATCTAACTACATGTACTTTACTAGCAAGCCTAGTACCCTGTCTTTTTTTCTTTCGGGCCCGTATTCCCGACCGACAGACAGCTCTTACTCACCTCTACAGTGCAGCAGAAGAACCCGTCTGGATGGATACGTACCAACTACCGAATCGTCAGCATTCCGCTCTCTTCCGCTCTCTCTTCAACTGCCCCTCCACCTCTCTACTCTAGAGTATGTATTGTATTGTACAGTTGCACTCTACTCTAGCTACCTACTCTACATACTCGACCTTACAATCCCTGAGCCCGGGTAGAATCCCACCAAACACGTGAAAAGTACAAACAAGCTTCTCACGAGTGAGCGCACCTACTCTAGCCCCTCTCACCCCCCCCCCCTCCCCCTCCCCCTCCCCCTCCCCCTCCCCCTCCCCCTCCCCTCCCCTCCCCCTCCCCCTCCCCCCTGTTCGGGATAGTGGTGGTGGTGTGGGTGGTTCGACGGAGCAACGGAGCTCCGTGGTAGATCTAGTAGATAGAGTGAGCATGTAGATAGAGTATGTACATGTATGTAAGATAGATAGAGTATGTGGATAGAGATTAGAGTAGAGTGAGTGAGAGGCTCTGCTAGCTATCAACGTATGGATGGATGGATGGATGCTCTGAGGGGCAGTGTTTGGCTTAAATACTCTATTCCTACTATACTGTGTGAGGTGGTCTTAGTAAACGTCTGGCTTAACTAAATACTAGACGGCCACCTTTACGTGTACCTACAAGCATAGATAGGCGTCGTAATCAAGTAGAATCATCCATCCCAACACCTATCGAGTCTTCCTAAAACTACAGAACCAGAAAAGTAGGCAGATACAGAACCGTGTCAATGTGGTGTTGAAGATGGTTCGTCATGTAGAACTGTCATTTAGAACCGTCTTTCGTGAAATACATATGGATCTTTGCTGCATGCTCGTGAAAAAACACTTCCGTCATTTCAACTCCCAGAAAATAAAGAAATATAGTTTCACCTGCGAAAAAGCAAAGAGGGGGGGGGGGGGTAAACACAATAGAAAAATCGACTGCAATTAATTCATAGGTACAACCAAAGAACTCAAGGTATTTATGCACTTCTTGCTTAATCGTGTAGCCACCAGAAGATACGCTCAATCAACAAAAAACCGCTTTTGGGCAATAATGGAAACTTCCCCCAGATATGCGCGCTACTTGGGCACAGCTAAAGGTCTCTATCCTCAGCCTCCAACGCCTGCAGTTCGTCCATAAACGCCGTCTTGGCCCACTCCCAGTAAGCCGCCCACTTCTTCTGCCCACCGCTGCCTCCAAACTCGCCGTTCAACGTCAAGGTCGCTCTCATAGTGCTCCTGATACTCTCGTGGTGCTTCTCGATCTCTTGCTTGACCGCATTTTCCTTTGGCTTTGTCGAGAGGGTTGTTCGGAAGCAATCAGAGATGCTGTCCAATCTGCACAGCGTCTCTTCACGGGCGAGATGAATTAGCTTGGTCAACATGAGGTTACAGAGCGCACGAATGTCATGTTCGTCTTGGAGCCCAACAATGACGCGGTCAAAGTATGTCCGAACGTCGATACCAGCAAAGGAGGTTTCAAGGAGGGCGTAGAGGGTTTCGTAAGCACTCTTTTTGCAGAGGTTAGTTAAATCATTGACACACGGAAACGAGAGAGTAGGTAACCACAGACCTTCCTAACTTCCAATCCATCGTCTACCTTGTGCTTGAATGGTCCCATCATCACTTCTCTGACCAGCTCTGGCTTGATAAAACTCTCCCTATACACCAGTGGCAGAAGTCTCTCCAAATGGGGCATGATAAGATGGGGCTTGTTATGAGCGGCCGAATTCAGTGCTGTCAGCGCTAGCCTTCTGTTCTCCATCTCCTTGTCGTCGACCATGACAGTCAAGAATTCGACGACAATCGGCCTCAAGAGGTCATCGTAAGAGGCCTCAGTATCCGTAAAAGTGTACCTCAGCGCGGAAATGACCATACCACGTATAGCAGGGAACGGTGATTGGAGATGTTTCTGGAGCTCCGGCAAGAAGCTGTATGGATCAATGATCGTAAGTCTTCCGACACATTCAGCACCGACAGCCTTGCTATCATCGTTCTTTGCGATCGCAAAGAGGGCATTCCAGATTTGATCGGCATAGGGCTTGATGTCTGCGGTAGTATCATTTGAGTGTTGGATGATCTCTTTCAACGAGTGCAAGAGCAAATATTGATCCTTATCGCCACCAAGTCTCTGCATGATAACAGGCAAGTATCCACTGACATTGCCCGCAGCAGCTAGTCCCAAAGCCACTGCTGCAGCAATCGGAACATCATCACTCTTTGCATGGAACTGATTCAAGAAAATCTCTGGACCAACTGGGAATGATGCTCCCCTAAATCAATGGGTAAGTCAATGATTCAAAAAAACAAAACAAAAAACAAATGGGGGTTGAGAGCTTACATCCTCAATCCGATTTCACCAAGAACCATAAGACCCAAGCATTTCCTCTTATCATCAGAGCTGCTCTCAACTTCACCAACAAAGTCACCAACGCCAACAGCAAACCCCCCTTCCTTACCCCCGCCACTAACATGTAATTGTGCTACCAGCCTAGCGACAACTCCAGTGTCCCCATTGACACCAACATCTCTCAGCAGTGAGTTCATCACTCTCTTCTTCCCTTCATCATCGACCTCTCCAATTGTCTTGATGAGCAATAGTAATTTCTCCACCACAAGACCGGAACCAAGAGAACTCTTGGCCAATCCGCTGATACCATCAATTATTCCTTGAGACACAAAAACTCCACCATCAAGCATCATTAACTTAATGATTGCGAGCGCTGGAGCAAGTAGGTGCATATCTCCGACCACCAAAAGAGGCGTGAGAACATCAATCAGCTCTTTCTTACTCGTAGAGTCCAGCTTTCGTCTACAGATTTCATTTGCAGCAATGCTCTTCAAAGCGTCTAGGCTGGCCCCACGAAGTGATCGATTGGACTTTCTCAATTGAGCACCGCACTCGACAACCACAATCTTGACCCATTCATCGTTGACGTCTTCTGCAGTCTTGGTATTTCTTGCAATACCCTCAATAGCTCTTACTGCAGTGACGCGAGTGGTTTCGTTTCTCAATCTTTCCACTAGCAGATCTAAGGCTCTAGTCCTTCGGTCTTGCCCGATAAGCTCTACCTCGCCAGAGGTCCGGGCCAGTACGACCCCAAGAGCAACAATGGCTTTCTCCCTGACCTCTAAATCCGACTCGCTGCTTTGAACTTTCTCAAGAACAACATCATACAGACCTTGAAGGTATAGGGCATAGCTCTGTGCTCCTTGGGTAGTAAGGAGTTTAACAATTGCGACAATTGTGCCAAGAGCTTCAGAAGAGATCTTGTATGCAGATTCTTTGACTGCTACAATTATGGCAGGGATGAGTGAGTCAAAAAACTCTCCAACCACAGTAGCCGAGTGGTTTTCGCAAATCTTGCCAACCAGCTTCAGAACCTCAACTCTTAATGAAGATCCAGTAGCGGTTGCAGCACTTCCAGCTCCTGCAGTGGCCGCAACAACATTACCTGTAGAAGACAGCGTGCTCCCGCCCCTAACGGCTTCCACAAGCGGTTCGATGAAGAACCCGAGGACCCCATCAAGTCCGCCATGGAGAATCGAGACAATTGATGATAGTAGGGTAATGCTTGCCTGTTTAGTTGGCAGCGTTGTGGTCTTCGCCTTAAACAGCTTGCTGAGTGATTTGCTGAGCTCAGGGATGAGTGCTTGTAGACTCTCCTTCACACCAGCTTCATCCGCACTGGGAACTGGCACTTGTAACTGACTCGCACCATCAAGCATTGAGGCGTCAGAGCCCCGTCTTATTTTAGGGGGCGGTCCCATAGCCATATCACCGGGAACATTTGCTGCCACAGAAGCAGAAGAAGGAACAAAGGTCCCCTCAGCAACCTCCCCAGTCTTTCTCACCAAAACAGTAGCGGTTGCTAGAACCTCCAAACGCACGTTTTCTTCGCGTTCATGGAATCGCTTGACAAGCAGTGGTGCAACATCTGTATAAGCTTTTCCACCTCCCTCCCCCTTTCCTTTAATCAAATCTGCTGCACGTGTAGATATAACAGTTGACAGTAGTTTCGCTGCACAGCGTCTGACTTTCCAGCTGATATCATCCTCGTCCGAAAAATCTCCGTCGTCTTCGAACGCTCCTTCGTCATCGCTTCCGCCGAACTCGTCATCCTCATCGTCTTCTCCCTCCTGTTGAGTGCCTCCCATTTCCTCATCACCTTCCTCGTCACCAGGATCGGCATAGTTAGGGTCGTATTTTAGGTAGATCATTCCAGCATTCAGTACATCATCTGTGAACCTAATCATTTCGCTGGTACAGAAACTCTGGAAGCTCTCCAAGCTCACAAGGGCAGCTTCGCGAACTTCATCCATTTCCATCTCTGGCTCGTCGCCAAGTTCCCGGTCCTGGATGTCTCTTCCGTCCACAACCGAAAGTATGAATGGACACAGAATTTTCAGGTATGGCCCGAACCGGGCCGGAATGCCTCGAGCAAGGGCACCAGTTACAGAAACAAGCAGGCGAAGACGAGTAGGGTTCCGGTGCTTATCTTGTGCCCGGAAGGACTCAATGAGGTGATTTATGAAACTAGACAAAAGCTCATCCGGGGAGTACAAGCAAAGTAAGCTCAACGCAATGACAGCCCTTTTCTTGACTACCCCTGTAGTCCGATCGCTTTCAAGGAGGTTCATAACAGCAACTTGTAGTCTCTCGACTTCAGCACCGGTAAGGATTGGACCGAAGCAACGTAGGGTCTCGATGAGCAGATCTATACTATCGAGGGTTGCGCCACCAGCCTTGACAACTTCATTGCCAGGTTTAAGCAAGATCAGTAGCTTTGGGAGCAAAGTCTTCTGAACGGCGTGAACGGAGGCTACAATGGTCTGCTGCACTGGATCTTGCTTTTGGGCCGACCCAGTGCCGGCCTGAAGGGTGTTGTTTGTTGCTGGACGAGGAAGACTGGATATTATAGTACGGAGAGCTGTAGAAGGAATTGAGGGATCGGAAGATGACATAGAGAGTGTGGTAAGACGATCAATCAGAGGAGCGATCTGTGCATCTCGAATCTTGAGAACTAGTGGTCCGAGACTATAGTAGAGTTCTCCAAGTTAGCTTGCTGAAGCCTGTAGAGCTTCTGGATAGACCTTGAGTAGATATATAGTCCACGACCGAATAAGAAAGGTAGCCGGCTGGACAAGAAACGAAGCTCCAACACAGTCCGGCAAATAACGTACCACTTGACAGCCAGATTCTGGACCTCTCCGTTTGCGTCATCGAGAGATTTTACAACGCCGTCGATAACTCTCCCGGCCAAAGCGGTATCGGCTTGAGCCAAGCTACCGTTAGGACTAGTCAAGATGGAAAGTAAGTCGTTTAAAGACATAAAGCGATAGTCCGAATCTGGAGAGGACATCTTCTCCAGTAGGGACTGGAGAGCGAATGGGGGGTTTGAAGCTGCCATGATTCGTTACTATTATTTTTTTGTTATCTCCTCCTTTTCCGTAGATATGAAGCTGGGTTGCGCTTCTAGCACCCAGGAGAGCTAAGATGGATAACGAGGGAGATAAATGTTGATGGATAAGTCGATGGGATGATGGATGGTGATAGGTGGTGGTGTTTTAGATAACGATGGTGGGAAGGTACCCAGATTGATTCCGTTTACTTGTCTAATCCAGAGTTAACACAGTCTTCACTATTTGGTGAGAGCTAAGAGCTTAGAATGTTGAAAAAGATAGTCAAACCTTCGAGCTCGGGAGTTGTGGAATCACTTAGAATGTGGGGAAACCCTCACACCGAAGGAGGGGTCTGTATTCTCGCTTCCGCCACTTGGCTATTATTGGACTAAGAGCTGTGACCTGAGAGAAGCCTCAATTGTGACGTACCCCGGCATACAGCCAAGCCACGAACGTTCTTGTCCAAGTGTGAGGTCATCCCCCATAAGAACACCCGACCCTATATCATCCGGTGTTCTCATCCTCTTCCTTTATACCTCCTTTCGTCTCATTATCTGTTATATACCGTCTCATCTCTCCGATATCACTTCAATTACACCAATTGACTCTCCCAATATCTTCAAAATGGCATTTCGCTTGACTTCTGCTACCCCGGCCATCAGGTCCCTTCTAACCCGCCCCTCTACAGCCACTTCGCGCCAATTTATGCGCAGGATGTCAAAATACACTGATGAGAACCCACACATCATAAAGGGTACTAATTCTGATATTCCATGGATCATCGGTGCCGTTGTAGTCACTATTCCCACCGTAAGTGGTTCCGGGAGGCTTAGCCTCGGCATAATTTGAAAGCACCTGGCTAATAAAATTGGGGTACTCCAGAGTTTATACCTACTCTCAGGAAATCCTAAGCCTGATCATCACGCTACCCATGCCTCTACTGGTCATAGTCTTATCTCTAAGCCTCATGGTATGCAGGATGAGGGTCCTCGAGATATCTCCGAGAAGGCCTCGCAAGCAGCTGAGAAAGCCAGCGAAAAGGCTAGCGAGGTCTACGGCGATGTGAAGAGCAAGGTCACATCTTCAGACTCTAGCCCTAGCGACACTGCTTCTGAAGTGAAAGAGAAGGGTAGTGAGAAGGCCCAGGACTTGAAGGAGAAGGCCAGTGAGAAGGCCCAGGACTTGAAGGAGAAGGCTAGTGAGAAGGCCGAAGACTTGAAGGGAAAGACCAGTGAAAAGGCTGAGGATTTGAAGGAAAAGGGAAGTGAAAAGGTTAATGACCTGAAAGAGAAGGGTAGTGAGAAAGCTGCCGAGTTGAGGGAGAAGGTGGAAAATGAGAGTAACCAGGGAAAGGTAAGTGGAAATTTCATGCAAGTGATCGGACCAAATGCAAAGTATTAACGGCCTTTGAAGCCACCTTCAGAAACCGATAAGCCGGCTGCGGCAATTAAGCCCCCCAAAAGTATGAACGAACAAAGTGGGAAGCAGGAGGGTATTTCAAATAGCGAAACCAACCACGCTGTGAGTTATTTTGGCCTCGTTTCATTGGTGTGGAAGAAATTATTGACCCCGGATAATAGATACTTCACGATGAAAGAGGGCAAGCAATAAGCAAGAAAAGCGAGGGGACTCATGATACCGCGAAGTTGAAAGGGACAGTAGATCCGTACAGAGAGGCCAAATGAGTTTAAAAAATTATACAAAAGCTATTGTGCTTAGCGAGCGAGTAAGAATTCAGAATGCCATGTCAATGGGTGTAGAATTTACATATTTAGCAGAATACTATTAATACACCATTGGTGTTAAGTCTATTTAAACAATTTCCGGGGTTGGCCATCCAAACCTCACCTTGAGTATTGAATTGAAAACGGCCGATTTTCTACCTATAAACTAATTGAGACCGTCTCCATAAAACCCAGCCAGGCCAAACCCCATTAGAGTACTTACAGCGCGATTATTCTTTCCGGGCTCTAAATTCATACAACTATAAGTACGAGTTTTCTCAGACCCGCGTTCATTTTTAAATTAAATAATACAAGTATGTAAATAGAATCTTTACCTACATTACGCACTAGGGTATAGCGAAAAGTAATCAGAGTCTGACAAGACAAATACACGTATTCACCGCAACATTCACTTATCAGATTCTAATCACTTACCCTCAACACTTGGTACATGTATGTACCTGCTTAGGGTATTCAAATTTACGGCGGAAGTCTTATATCATGGGTCTTGGTACTTTAGGACTTGGATGCCACAAATCTTTTTCATATCCATTACAATAAAGTTTATAGGTATGTACATGTACCTCATGTACGTCTACTTAAGTAGCCTCTTCAAAAAAGGCCTTCCTTTCTTCATGATCAAAGGGACAGCCAATATTGCAATAATATGTAGTCAAGGTACATGTTTCCTGATATACAAGTACATCTAGCTAAGCTAGACCATCCTAGTTCGGAGCAACCAAATTATTGCATATATATACATGTAGTCAGGTTATATTACAGGCCGTTGCATGCTGGAATACTGAATTGAAGCTCTGCACATGTTAATACATGTAGCTTCTATATACTTTATGTATATGCAGTGTCAGGATAAACTACACTAGTAGTATTCTTCCAATGCCACGTTATATACATATATACTAGATACGTACATTTATTAATGTGAAAACGGTTGAGTATCACACATATACTAGCTCTAATGATGGGCACGAGACAAGACGAGACCATTTTTCACCATTTTTCACCAAGTCTCGTCTTGCCTTGTCTCGTCCCATCATGGTCTCGGAAGTCTCGAGACCTGAGGTAAGTCTCGAGACGAATCTCGAGATTGATATAAGCTAAACTCAATCTGGGTTTGAGGTAGGAATTTGTACCTGAATCCACTAATGCTCATTTTGGAATAGGGACTAGATATTCTTGGCAAGGAATGATGGATAGAATTTGGGGCCGAAATACACACTCTATTTTTCAAAAGAGGGTGCATGAGGAAGCCTGTGGATGAGGAGGCCTAAATACCAGGAAGCACCCTCGCTTTGAATCATTTAACATCACTCGGAGGTCTCGAGACAAAGTCTCGGGACTGTGAGTCTCGTGCACATCATTAACTAGCTCACTAGAGACCATGTGGCCAAATCTAAGGCCAGACTTAAGGCCATGCTGAATCACAAACCCGTGAACTGGTCATTGGTCCAGCTAGACTAGATTATGGCGATTGTCTTAATGACACGAATTAAAATGAATTATTTAAGGGAATCGATTGCGGCCGGAGTGTGGGAATGTTTGGTGACATATAAGTATAGGTGGCGCCACGTGCACCTACTAGTACCGTTACGTTACATGTAGACTTCCCCACAGTACATATGACAACTTTCCATGATCTTTGTAGTTCCTACAGCTAGGTAATTAAGAAATTGCCGGGTTCGTATCAGATATCTTCGTCTGTTCCCATGGCCACGATTCGCAACTGTTTGCCAAAAAAAAAAAAAAAAAAATGACATAATAATAAACATAAATTAATTAATCTCAAGAAGTATATATAAATCACTACTTCTGGGAGTTACTTACAATCCCTAGGGTTCTCTGCGGGCTGGAGTACTAAAAATGGTACAGTTAGCTAGTCGAAGAAGCTTAAGGTATCAAATTTTCATCCCCGACCAGGGTAAAATCTGTCAATCTGGCTTGATCAATTAATAGTCCACCTGATCTGATAGTACGTCGTTCTGGATAGGTCGATAAGTAATCCGAACGATCCAAGACTATTGCAGGGTCTTAATTAATTAATCTGGTGCTCACTAAACTTTAAGGTTTAACTACTTATCCCTGCATATGCAAGACTATATATAGGGTAGACCTATCCATCTATAAGATAACTTATATAAGGGTACATACATGATATATAATATTTGTAGGCTATCATTTAGTTACATGTACTAATTTTCCACAGGGGCGTCGATCCAATAGCTATATAGCACAACGTAGAGTAGAGCACTAGAGTACTTACATGTATGCACTACGGATCTAGATTCCATGGCCGTGCTCTAGCTAAATATACTCTTATGTGACGAGTCAATTGCCCGTCCCTACGAATAGTTGCTTGCTTTATAATTTAGCTGTACAAGGATTACACAATTGGTAAGAAATCGGCAGGATGTCTTTGAACCGCTCAATGCATATAGCTTCTTAACTAGCTAATTGGTTATTTGACCTAGATCTCTTATTTCTTGTAGATAGTCCGGTTCCTGATCTACTATAGATTTATCTATAGATTTAGTACACTGCCAGTGGGCACGTGGCTGGCGGACAATGCGTCGTCCAAAGGTAGACCAGTAAACCACAAGTACGTGCGTACTCTACTCGAGCTCTACATAATGTCTTAATCGATTTTTAGATTCTTCTAATCCGTACTATCTATGTATTCTGCAGTTACATGTACAAGTAAGATATATAAGTGCTTCCTTATGTACATGTATATATACGCATACCGATATATAGCGACACAGGCGCCATGTGCACACACATTATATATATCTATGCAACGTAACGACAGCTAATATAAAACAAAATGCAGTACATACATTAAGTACTCACTTGAATCCTATATTATCCCATGGTCCGACGAGACCTGCTTAGAGTCTGGTGCTGTGCTGGCTCGGTATCTTGGCACCACTTGTTATTGTTGGAATTAACGAGGTTGAAAGTAAGAGATCAGCTCAATTGTTACCATGTCTGGCCAAGTTTAGCATTAATAGACAGCGCTAGATTCTAAGAAGGTCTCGTCAGGCATGATAGATTACTACTAAGAATAAACCAATCATATGTAGAACAATGTATCTCCGCCTTGCAAGGGGGGTGTAATTGGACTATCATTGTACAAACCAATGGTTGAATGATTTTTTTATCGTACTTGAGAGGATAGAAATTGAATGGAGTACATACATGTATATATATGTGCGAGCAAGATTTGGGGTACGTTTTCTCGCAAATAAAACTAAGGATATGCGCTT